AGGCCCCTGCATGATGAATTTCTATCCGATGAGATTTTCTCACACTTTTTTCCGCAGATATCGCATAACTTACGCCTATATAAAAAATTCCTCAAAATGTGAATACCAAAAACCCTTGATTCGTGGTTGTCGATATACCTACCCTTTTCTGCAGGTGTCCTATAACTTCGAGGAATTGTGGTCAGTTTTGCCGAATCTTCAGCCCCGTTTACTCGTATTTCTTTGTGGATGTTCGAAATACGTAATTATGTAAAAAGTAAATATTTAAAAAGGTGCAAGTATCATTTAATTTTCGAAACGTTTGTGGTTTTTCGGTGTGTCGGTTACGGAGAGAGATACAGTTGGGTTAAGAGATCGTTTACTTTTTTTTTGAGATTATTACCATAAATAATGAACGGGCAGTAACTAATTAGATATTTATTTGTAAATCTGTGAATGCTTTATCCTAAGCATTTTAATTAACTATTCGATTCCGGTTTATTGAAGGTTGTTTCGCAACATTCAAAATGAAAAGAAAAAGGAATGCCTCTTCGAAAGAGCAATAAACCAAGGGTAGATTTTTTTCCTGGTGTGTAGCCTAGAGAGGTAATTTAGCTGATTTAATTGCGAGCGCTTTAAATTTGTTTTTTTGATTACTTATCCATTTCTTTTCGATGATTACAGTTATCGTTTCAATAACAGTTACTTTTTTGATATCGAAATTTATCTCTTTTTTTTGTTTTGTCAAAAGTAGTTATATAATGCTTGTTTTTTTGAATATTACTTATTAAGCGATGGAAATGGCTCTCTCTTTTAACGGATTGTTATGCTTTAGTTGAGGGGAACGTTTTTATTATTTTTAATTTATTATTTTTGGATCCGCAATATCCAGGTGTATTGCTAATCAAGTATTACGATACTGCTGGTGCCTAGTCAAGACAGACACGGTCTCTCGCAAAGCGATATTCGCTTGCTAGGGCGTTGAGGTACATACGATCCGCGCTTCATGTGTCGGTGTGCTAGGATGGTTACAACGTGTACCCCCGCTAACATGCCCGTTCTGGGTGTTGAAACGCATGGCTTTTTTAGAAGACATGTGTTTGTTTAAAAGGAAGCAAAATAAATTAAATTAACTCGCGATATTCTTGTTCTTCATAGACAACGCCAATAAATGGAAAGGACACCCTTTCTTCCAACCGAATTCCATATTCAAAATATCCCGAAGTAATTTCACTCTTATTTGAATTATTTTTTTGAGCTAACATATAATTTGTGTTGCAGCGTGGACCATGGCGGGCTAACACCGTACCCGGTCATAGAGATAGCAGATGAAGAAGAACTCCCTATAGGGTAAGTTAAATAATATTTTAAAATAAAAATATTAATACTTTTTTTACAAAAAATAGCTTACATGACCCTGATTCCGACGCATTCAGCGACGAGACAGTCGAATTCCCCCGGCCTAGCGCAGTGGACGAAATTAGCGGGGGTTAACCAAGCTCTGGGATTAGCACAATTTTGAAGAAGTGAGAGTCGAACATATTTAAAAGTACTATCATCAAGCTATTTCCACAATAACCCTCATCCCCTAATATTCTTTGCAAATTCCGGAATATAAATAATTAACTTCTTGCCTCTCCTGTTTTATTTCACCTTTACAAATGTTTTGGTCAATATTCACTAGGAAAATCTTATTCTAAGACTCTGGTTTTCATTCCAACACTATAGGATAGAATGTATCTAGCGCAGTTTTTTTAAACCAATTTGCGTGTTATGCTTTAAAAACAATGCGGTATTCATTTTGGCTAAAAACTAATTAATAAATATTTTACATTTCTGTATATAATGTTATCTAAGCTTAAATCGTCAAAAAAAGTTTCGAGACTATCACAACCATCACCATCATCGCTTTTCTCTATAGGTTTTTAGTTTTAATTTCGATTTTCGCGATCCTACAGACAAACTTGAAATTAATGGTTCTCATGTATCCATCCAAGCTCTATTGAATATGTCGGTAAAAGTATTAGTCCTGCTGTTTTTTCGTGCATGGTTTTCCCGGTCTTTGTAAAATTTATTGCGGAACTCTGCTTCTTTCTTCCCTAGGAATGCTGAGTGGCAACAGACAGTTTTGTATAATTTCTCTATTATGAATAAGTACCTTATGGGGACTTGCTGGCATGGAGAACCAAGAGTATGTTTTCAAAAAAAAATCAGATTTAACCAAATTTAAAGGTAAAAGGTAAAATTAAGTAAAAGGAAAATAAGTTTACATTCGAAAACGCTTTTTTGTGGGTATTTCCGTCATTTGTTGAACCAAATCCGTTAGGTTTAGGTTTGTCAACGGGCAACGAAAGTTCCAGAAACGAACTTGAATAGATTTTTTTCTTTCAGCGAAAAGATTTTTATTTTCAACCTCTAACTTGCCAAACTTTAAGATGGACTCTATAAGAAATATGTAAGATGCATTTGAAAAATCGTATCCAACAGTGAAGAGGACTTATGCCATATTAACGTAAAGTTATTGTCATAATTGTCCATTTGGAAATAGTTTCTAAGAACATCTTCTTGAACCAATAATATTCTCTTAGTCGTATGATGAAGAAGATTTTCTAGGGGCACCTTAGCTATTCCTTCACTTAATTACAATTATATCTGGTGGTCTGCATTCAATTTAGGCAAATATTGTTGTTTTGTGAACTTGTTTTCCAGTAAAAAAGATACAATACTTGTTAAGAACTGTGGTCTATTAAAATTTACAAATAACCTGACATTTCTCTTAAAAGCATAAACATTAGGATAGCTAAAAATCGTATCATTTCAAAAACTGACGTCATCTTGAAATTCATAATGGCGTTCGGTTTTTTTACCAAGTGGACGGGCTTAGTGTTTTGCTATCATTCAATGTTTGATTTATAAAAATCGGTCAAAAAATAAAAAAAGTTATTAAGAAAAACATTTGTTTGGCTTTTATGATCCACTCGGCATCGGTAGTAAAAATATGCCTAAAACGTGTTTATGCAAAAATATACCACACGCTATTTAGGGTAATGCTCCAATACACAGTAAAATGTTACTTAAATATCAATGAATTGCAATCAAATTTTTGTAGCTCTTACTTAAAAGAAGTATCGAATATTTTAAACAACTTTAAACCCTGTTTAGGTTTTTTAGATGTAAATCTACACATTTACATAATTAATTATTTTGAACTTACCCTGAGTATTGGCTTCACTTCAAAATCTATTTAATCACGCCGTTTAATTAAAATGACACTAAATTGTCACAAAAACAAACAATTGTTTTCTTTGACAGGCAAAGTTAAGTTTTTCATCCGTTTTAAAATCTGAATGATTAAAGGGGTATTTGATAATGTGTATGTATTGTTTTAATGGTCAAAATTAATTCAATCTATCCCAAAGTGTAACCGCTAGAGGGTACTGACGGTCATTAGAAAAATGTCTTCATGTCAAGTCTCATTGACACCTTTGGGGGCCGTCATTACTTTTCTCACGGGTGGGAGAATATCTGGGCTCTGATATATTGCAATGAAATTGAAATATTTTTATCAAACGCGCAGTGTTGCGATGTTTCGCGGGATGTTACGGCCCTCAATTTTTTAAATCAAACAACGATATGCATGAGATTTACCGTTTTGAATTTATTAACTATTTTTATTAATTCCGAGACCATATTAATGCAATTAACCTTAATTCTCAAAACGTCTCTAATATTTTTTTATGAAAGTGATGTATGGATAAACATTTATTTAAAATTTTGTAAAAATTATAAATTCTTTCATTTTTAAAACAGTAACATTTGACAAACCTTTCTAAAAATAAAAGTAATAATTTTATATAAAATGTTCCACTAATGCAAGTGGAATATATATTATATATTGCGTTTATATTCCCTGGGAATTCTCAAAATCGCCAATAAACTAGCATCGCACGCCAATGTTCACATATATTGTTGGATTCGTCTTTTAAAGGGCTATCCTAAAATGCAAAAATATACAGAGTGTTTCATTTACAAAAAATTGAAAGAAGTAACAATTTGCGATGCATCGCAACACAGCGCATTTGATAAAGACAATTAAATTTTGATTTCGTCTTTTAAAATGGTATTTAAAAATATAATAAAATATCGGGTGTTCCTTTTAAAAAAACGTAACTTTATTTGACCACCATGTATCTAATTGAGTGACAACTGATATAATAGATGAAAATTAAAGATTATTTTACTAGAAACAATTTTTGTATTCAAAACACTCATAGATTTGAAGATAAGGTATAAGCCGTTCTTAAATCGGCCGCCCCGTACATATACACAATAAATATACATAATTTTGGACAACAAATATCACAAAAATGTCAACTTATGATTCTTTTTTAACATTTTGTTAAATATAAGGATCAAATTTTCGAAAACTTTTGTAGATGTATTTCAAAATTGATTAAACGGAAGGGTCAAAGATCAAATATTTCAAAAACGGTAAGACATAGGTATAAGACATTATATAAAAAATATGTTAACAATTTCACACAGAATCTCAAAATTGAATAATATACGGGGTGTTCATTTGACATAATCAAGTTGACAACAATTTCCGACTAAACAGGAAGTGGCCAGGCGTTGAGACACTTGCCCCTTACGTTAACCCCAAAAATAGAAAGGTGTTTTCTGAATTACATCCTAATAAACTTTAAACGAACGGGTTGGGTGAAAACGCCTGTATATGTATATATAACGGTAACTATTTTCATTGCATGGGATTACTTTCATTCAAATATCACTTGCATTTAAAACTGTTCGATAAAGCTAAGTTATAAGGGTAAAAGAAGTCCACTGTAATGATCTACCTTATGCATTGGAAAATATAAAAAATACACTTTGTGTCATTTAAAATTCAACAGTGGCTCTCATTTCCAAAACTTGAGGTATAATCATTATAATGTTATAATATTGAGGAGTTGGGCGTATAGGTTACAATATTCTTAAAACACAAACTGCTTAAATATATTCTTCTATTCTTATTTTGTGAGTACAGAAAACAAGAGGCAAACCGTCTCGTATCACGTGCCGATATACATGTGGGTACCCAGCAATTAGAGTTTGAACGTTTCATCTTCCTTCATTCGAGATTTCTCTGTTCAATACCTTAACTATGAGTCATGGTTTATGTTTCAAATTACAAATGGCAGCTACTCATTTTTCTTTGGTATTACTAATTTGTACAAAACGCATGACATGAGGATACCTGAATAATTGAAACTAGTTTGAGAAAGGCTTCAACAAGAGATTGTGATACATTGGTAAAACAAAAAAAAATCCACATATCAAAAAATCTACTAACAAAAATGATTAACAAATTGGCAAACCTCAACAAAACAAATCATAATCTGGACACTGTCTCTGTTGCAGTGACACTAGTTCTTCTATAATCATATTTGCTACTAAACCAACTACCCAAACCGATAATTATGTAGACCAGTGCCAGAATAATGTGATAAAAACCGTAGGCGAAATACTGCCGCCTGGGAGGAAGAGCAAATCCCATATCGCCAGTAACAATCCCCAATGTCAAAATAGTTTGGAATGCTAGTGCTGCAAATGTATTAATCCCAAAGATCAGACCATAACTATCTTCTTTAATATGTTTCGCAATTTCACTACTAGCTACAGTAATCATTAAATGATACAAAGCACCAAATACTATGTAAGATATATAACTAATTACCACTTGAGTCGTCTGAGAAGCAATTATCATAGTGAAACCTTGCAAAAGAGAGCAACATGCTAATGAAAGGTCCCCTTTGGTTTTCCAATCAATTTTTAACAATCCAGACACCAGGGCTCCCAGAAATCCAATTACAGTAAGCACAGCTTCCACAACTCCATTGTAAATCTTTTGCTTTGGATCACCAACAATTGCCCACCATAGAGGCTGCATATAAACTTGCACTTGGATAAACCCACAGGTAGATAATGCCCACCAAACTGACCATTTGGCAGTATATTTATTAGAATATGCCTGTACAAAGTGAGACCACATTAATGCATAGGCTTCCTTACTTTTTTGAAGAAATGGCATCTGTTGCATCATGTTGTGATGAAAATAAATAGATTCACCAGCTGGTGGCAAGAACAAACTCCAGAATGTTGCTCCTATCATAGCACTCAGGGTAATATAGTTGAGTTCCCGGTAGTCCATGAGTTCAAACGAAATAAGTAACTGGGCCATAATTCCTGACAAAGCACGGCCCAGTAATATAGCCGCACGAGTGTGGGATGTTACTAGTTGATACCATTCGCGGTCAACTTTAGCATAAATGTATGTAAAATATGCAACCTCACAGGCGCAAAATGTTCCATAGAGTACCTCCAATATTTGAACTTCAAGGAGGCTAGTAGTCCATAACAACATTGCCCATACTATGATACCTGTGCTGCCAAGTAATACAATGAGAGGTTTATATCTGCACAAATCTGTTATCAAGAAAACTATCACCAACTGTGCAAGATAACTGTAAGTGCCCACAGGATAAACCTGTTGATTCACTTGTAAATCGGTCAAATTTCTCCAAGGCCCAATCAGGAACTCATAAACAAAAGGTTCAGATGGTCTGATCTCTTTCAGAAAGCCAAAAATGCAGAGGAGGATGGATATGATCAACCATTCGTCCAAGCCCCTACGTATTTTTTCGACGAGCATGGTTTGAAAGTGTCTACTTCAGGACTTGCTTTAGTAGGGTTCACGTTTCAACTGCTGATGGCTTCCAATAATTGTTCAATTGCATAATTAAACAGGCACCCATAGAATGCCACCAAACACCTAATTAGAGACAATCTAATCTAATCTATCATAGATTAGAAATAGATTCCCAGATATTCCTATTACCTATGAAAAAGATTGTGGGATTAGCTTGCGATACCATCAGCTGCTTCAAAGTTGACACAGAAATTGACAAATTTAAGGATGCATATCTATATCACAGATAATTCTTCTTTTTGACAATTTTCTTCCAAATGAGATGGCATAGGTAATAGGTTCAGACATTCTTCCACTTGCATTACGAAATGACTGTAGCCTTTAGCATTGAATGGAATCTTTTTGGACCGCTTTTTGACACTCCGTTGTGGTTGTGGTAGCGGTGGCGCTGCATTTTGTGTACTAACATATTTTTAACCAAAGGTCACAAATCCATTTCGTTGTGGTAGTGTTATTTTTTATTGTTAAATTTTGAATATTTTCAGCATGATAAAATATCAGATAAAAATGTGAAATATTAATTTTGTAAAATAAGCTCAAATTTCTTTTTTTTTAATGTCCATTAACCAACCAACTGCAACTAACCAATGTGCAACCTGTGACGCGTATTATTAAAATTCTGATAAGTTTGGCCCGTGATAGTCGTAGTTCGAATTTGATTTTTTTTCTTTATTTTTACATCGCAAATCTTTTCAATATTATAAACAGCTGGGGTCGCCTTGCCGCTGTATACTCTGTTCTTAACTGGCAGGAATATATTAACTAACCTAATGTAACTTAAACCCCCTAATTATCGTGTTTGAATCAACATATATTCGACTAAGACTATTGTTTTGAATTAGAAAACTGGGTACAAAGTTAGGTAAGCAAGTCGAATTGCCTAATATTACTTTGCCCAAACAAACAGAAAGAAGAAAATGACAGGTGGTTTTAGGGCATAGAACTAATGTTTAACGGCCAACATTAATAAAGTTCAAGTTCAAGTATGCGTTTCACAAAAAAATGTTGGGCACGACTGCTAGGATCCTTCGCCCATTGCCGACTTCCGTCGAGGATCTTCGCTTTTGGTCATGGACCAACACGTACAAAGAAGACATATAACCAATATTTGCTCAACTAGCAAAAAAACAAATTTGACCGATACCAAAAAAAACCGACACCCCCCGCTTCCGCCGCGGACCATCCGGGCCCATCCGGCCTCTATACCGGCGTGAACGGGGAAAAACGAAGGGATCGGCGACGATTATCACTTTACAACGTTCACAAAATACTGAAAACACTAAATCCACTCAGTGGAGACCGATTTCAAAATTTTTGGACGATTACAACGGATTCTGTAGGGAACGAACGGAGGTTAAACCGCCGCGTGCAATGTTCCACCACAGAATCCGCCAACATTAATAAAATTTATTATATTTGTGGTGCTTCCAAAAGAACTTGAGTCAACATCTTTATAATAAAATGTCGGAATTCCTGCCCCTATACATGTACATTCTCTTTTGTTTCGCCCATCCAACCTCGAATTTATTGCACCCGTTATAGGAAAATTCTTGCACGCTTGTGGTATTTGCTTGTAAACTAACTAAGTGGGTGGTTTATGGCTGGATCTAGTTGTTTCTTCTGGTTCTAATTGCTTTAGTAAACCCTCTTTCTTTATTTCGTTTACATAAACGCAGATTAATATGTCTCTCAAGCCGGAAAAGAAACCAGACTCATCAGTGGATACCGGAAAATGGGCGAATTAACACTGGAAATGTAAACATAAAAAGAAGAGGCGAAGTAGTTAAAATGAACGATTCCTGTATTTTTTTTAAATAATGTATCAAAATTATTATAAACTATTTTTGTGTAAAATGATACTTACGGGCCTGCATTTTATAAAAATTTAAACAATGGATGTGATGGGTAGCAAGGATGGAAATAGCACCTCCAAGGCAATATATCTCCTTTTTTTTTGTGATTATATCCTTTTGATTGTATAATTTCACAGCCTACTACCATCCAAGGATTTATTGAGGATGTTTCGTCGGTTAGGAGTTTTTCGAAAGACCTGAAAACTTTTCAAGATCAAAGGAATGAAAAAGAAACATTACATCTTTGCAAGAACACAAACATTGAAGGTTGTGTAAAACAACTCAGTATAGCTGAAGACTCTGAATGGATTACACTGAATGTGGGAGGAAAGTATTTTACCACTTCCAAGAGAACTTTAACTACTAGTGAACCATCCAGTATGTTGGCCAGGATGTTTTCCGAAGATAATAATTTGTTTTGCCCTAGTAGTATAGATAAAAATGGAGCATATTTGATAGACCGAAGCCCAATGTACTTTGAGCCAATCCTAAATTATCTGCGATGTGGTCAATTAATTTATAACAGAAACATCAACCCAGAGGGCATTTTAGAGGAAGCAAAATTTTTTGGAATTGAATCAATAATTCCTATGCTAGAACATATGATGAGTAAATCAAAAGAATCACGAGATAAAGCCCCTTTGACTCGGAGGGATGTTATAGATGCTCTGATTAGAAGTTCTGGAACTACAGAGTTGAGGTTTCAAGGTGTTAACCTGGCTGGTGCTGACCTAAGCAAGTTGGATTTGCGTTGGATTAACTTTAAATACGCCAATTTACAAGGGTGTAACTTGTCCTGGGCTAATCTAAGCTGGTGTTGTTTAGAGCGGGCTGACCTTTCCCATGCCATTTTGGATAATGCTCAGCTATTAGGTGAGCTGTATTATGGTAGATATTTGTTAACAAAGATATTGCAGGAAATTATGGATCAGTTCTCCTAGTTTCCTTTTGGAGGTTAATAGTTCAACTGTATTGTCAAAAAATATATAATGATCCTGTCCTCTCTGCTAATAATATGTAAAGGAGAACGACCTGGTACATATTGTTTTATCTATACATAATTGTTATTAAAATATTTAAACAATAAGTTTATATTTGTTGTAAATACATTCTGATCTCGGTAACACAGCACATTTGCCAAAGTTTTAGATTAGGTATTATATATTAAGCCAATATTTGGAAAGTTAGGTCTTCATAATTTTAGTAGGGCCTGCACTTATCCATAAATCACCTGCTGTATTAAACGAAATTCAAAATACTCACCTGTGACCTTAGACTTCAAAACAATTTCTACTTTATGGCTCTGGTCCACCTTACCACTTACCATGGTTGATTGGTATTTTGTCCAGACGCCCTGTATGTTATAAATGATGACATTTATTCTAATTCTGGCCAACATAATTCATCACAGGAATAGCCTTGTTTTAAACTGAAGTAGAACCATCATATATAGAAAAGAATACCAAACTTTAAAAAGAAAATGCAAATTTAGTTGAAATTCAAAGCTTTCTGTAACATGAAATATTTTATTTGATTTGTTTCATTTTGATGTATTTTGGATTAGGTATCAAGGGTCTAAGGGCCACCATGGAAGGGGCATCAATGAAAAACTGCAACTTTAAAGACCCCGCGGGGCAACGGGCGAACCTGGAAGGGGTTAACCTTAAGGGCGCGTGTTTGGAAGATAGTGATATGGGCGGAGTGAACCTCCGCATTGCCAACTGCAAAAATGCTAACTTGAAGAACTGTGATCTTAGAGCGGCAGTGTTGGCGGGAGCCGATCTTGAGGTAAGAGCTTGCCGTAAACAATACAGATGTTGTTTAACATTCCTTTTAGAAATGTGATTTATCTGGAAGCGACTTACATGAGGCAAACTTAAGAGGTGCCAATTTGAAAGATGCAGCTTTTGAGTTAATGTTGACCCCTTTGCACATGAGCCAAACTATTCGTTGATGAAATTTTCCGCCTTTTTGTATTGTGCTTCTTTTAGTTAAATGCGAATCTTTATAGCCTTTAGAGCCTTCATTTTTGCTGATATCATATATAAAAGACTATTTCTATATATTGTGATGTTTCGAATAATATTGTTCAGCTATTATGTTTAATTACTACCAAAATATACAAACATTAAAATGAAGACTGATGCACCTTAATATTTATTATTTCACTGCACTGATTACTTTTCATTTAATTTCACATAAAGAGAACAATCTCTTTTGCGTTTAGAAAAAGCCACAAGCCTGTGTTCGATTTTAATTTTTTTCCTTCACACCATTTGTTTATCCTCTCGAAGCCTTGTTACACCTTACTAAAATTTGTAGGAAACGGACAATATTAAATTAACTTAAAAAAAAAACTTAAAACTTAAAAATTCAACAAACCAAAAAAGCTGCTTTTGATGGCTTTATCGAAAAATCAACCAATAAAAACAAAGATGTCTGGAAAATCGTTAACTATGTGATAAAGAATCTGATTTATCAGCAAATAATCTTAACAGTTTTTTTAGTTCTGTCTCGAGTAATATTATAAAGATCTTAACGGTGAATCACAATATACAGAGTGCATGTGTTGAAGGGATTCCACTGGAGGAAACTACTTTTTTTTGCATCCAATAACTTGTGAGGATACGTACCGAGCCATACTAAGATTAAAAAAATCTTATTCTAGCGATGCTTATGATATCAATAGTGTCTTCGTGAGGGACTGGTTGAGTACATTACACTGCCATTAACCACTTTATTTAATAAATGTATTGACACAGGTGTATTTCCGTCGCTGTTTAAGATTTCGAAAGTAGTTCCAATCCATAAGGCAGGTGATATAAATGATGCTAACAACTACAGGCCGATTTCAATCGTGCCTTTGTTCGGAAAAGTTTTTGAGATCTTACTAAAAGATCAGCTAACTTATTATATTAATAAGATCGAATGTCTTTGTGCTGGTCAGTTTGGATTTAGGGGAGGGTGTTCGACGATCCAAGCAGTGTCTAAAGTTGTGAGTGGGATAGTTGAGGGCCTCGAGGGGGGTGAATTAGTTGGTTTAACCTTGAGTGATCTCTCCAGGTCCTTCAACTGTGTTTCTCCACCCGCTTCTTATTAAAAAGCTATATAGATATGGTATACCAGGTCTGCCCTTAGATCCTATAGCGTCCTACTTGCAGGGCCGACAGCAGTTTGTAGAATACCAGGATGACCGTTCATCACTTGAATCAGTAGTAAGCGGGGTGCCCCAGGGTTCCGTCCTGGGCCCGCTACTATTTACATTCTACATAAATGACCTTTATCATTTCTTGGCCCCCAATCAGTGCGTGATGTCTGCCGACGATACATCCTTCACTACATCTGCTAAGAGTATCGAGGAGTTGTCTGTTAGGGTTGGCATGTTGGAGGACAGGACTAATGTCTGGTTCGAAAATAATTATCTTAAATTAAATTTAGACAAGACCCAGAGTATTGTGTTTTCCTCCAATTGCTTGGTAAATAGTGGACAGTCCGTCAAGTTGCTTGGCATTAGGATCGATGATAGTCTAAATTGGAAACAACATATCTCAGACCTGAAAAATAGATTGTCCAGCAACATATTCGTTCCTCAAAGACTAAGAGGCCTGATAGGAACAAGGACTCTGCTTATGGTCTATTTTTCTTTGTTGCATTCACACTTATGCTATGGCACGGTACTGTGGGGTGACTCCTCAGCTGCTGTGGAGATTTTTAGAAGCAGAAAAGGGCCATTCGAGTCGTGGCTAATATAGGATATAGGGACCATTGTCAACCTTATTTTAAAAAATTCAAAGTGATGCCCCTTCCTTGCATCTATATCTACTACCAGTTATTAGAGATACAGAGAACGAAAGGAAACTTTAGCGCTAATTCCGAATGCCATACCTATTCAACTCGTTCGGGGGATCTCCTTAGACGACCTAGGTTTAGACTGAGGAAGTCTGAGAACAACTCATTGAACCTGAAATTGTATAATGTTTTGCTAGGTACCGTGAAAAAGATGAGCAATAGAACATTTAAACATACTATTAAAGAATTCCTGCAACGTCATTGTTTTTACTCCCTGCCAGCATACATTGACACTGTCACTGGTATCGATGCGCTATAAAACTGTATAGTACTGTCTAATTTTGTTTGTATTAGATGTGTGTTTTTATGTTATTTATTAATTTGATTTTATTGCACTTGAATATCACTTCTGACTTGCTACAATTGTACGTCCCTTTTGTACGAAACGTAGTCAAAAAAATGAATCTATCTATCTATCTATAGCCAACATCCGACCGACAACAATATGTTAAAATTAGTTGAAATTAGTTTAAATTTGTAATAAGATTTGTGACGTCTCATGTGATTGAAAGGTATTTTTGTCCATGTACAACTTGACTTTATCAAACCATACAAGATTAACGTGGATTTAAAGATTTATTAATCGGCAACAATGACTATTTTAATTTGATCAAAGTTAAAGGTAAAAGTTTATTTAAAGGAATATCTTTTTAACTAAATTATCCACACAAATAAAACAATTTTTTCACAGTGGTTGCTATAAACACTAATTCTTTAAGCTTTTAATCTATCTATAATCTAGTCCCTTTCTACCCGTTGAGTTATTTAATATTGGGTTTGTTAATATATTTGTAAAAACCCGTTACAAAATATTAATACCAATTTAAATTTTTCATTTGATATAAAATAAATTTTTGATGGAAAATAAAAATACATATTCCAGCAGGTGCTATGTACTGTACTCGTTTTAACTGGCGATCGCCAAGAATCGTAAACCTAATAGGATTGCCCAATCGCATAAGACATACGTTCGCCAAAACTATCGATCGCACGTGGTCGCTTGTGACAGCAAGTCCTCTAACGGTTTTTGTGTATTCTCTCAATGCATTTGAAGGCGTATTAAACCGTTGTATTTTGTGTTCTTTGAACAATTAAAATAATTTGAACTAGGGAGTAGTGCGCTTATGTTTGTGTTAATTGTATTCCTGAAAAAAAAGCTTGGACAAAACAGTGTTTTTAAGCTTTAACAAATACTTTAAAATTGTATGTGCTTGAGTGGCGAGAACTGAGAAAAACAGTATTTTAAACCTTAAACAAAGAATTAAAAGTTATGTGTTCATGCTGCTTATTAGCGGTGTTATTAGTAAGGAGGTAAGCTCAAAATATTACACATAATAATATAGGTAAAGGTTAGAAATACATTTCTTTTACCTTTTTCAGTGGCATAAACTACATCAAAAAGTAGTTAGGTATGTCTGGAACGAGATGTGCCATGCATGGGTGAAATAACTATTTTGATGAAAAAGCAAGTTCTCTATTCGGAACGATTGGATTGTTCAATGTAGAAGGGAGGACAAACTTAATCCAGATAAAAGCTATGTCTGCTCAGGTCGTTTTACAGAAAATGTTTGTGACAGAGACTTACAAAATCAGTTATTAGGTTTTTTTTGTCTTGAATAACACATTAAATTCACCACAAAATTTAAATTTTAGGTTTTCCTTTAAAAAAGATTCTAAAAAAACACTGCTGTTCCCACCCTATTATTATTTAACCAGAAGCCACTAACAGAAGCAGGATTATCTAGATCAAAAAGACTTCATTCCAAAAAGAAGCTCAACAGGTATTGTCTGAGCTTTTAGCAACAACATCGAATGCCACAAGTGAAATTCTAGAGAAAAATCTATCTCCAGAACCCATGCCAGAAATAAAAGCAAAATAAAAGTTAGTCTAAAATGAAAATATTTGCAAGAGGATACCTGCAGAAAAAAATTAGAAAGTATTGTAAAATAAAGATTTAAGGATATATGTATTTTTTATATTATGTACATACGCGGGGGGGTACATATAAATACATATTATTATTTACCTACCACCTATAAATAGTTGTTATGTATTTTTAATATATTTTTTGTTTTTTAATATGTTCTTTAATATATCCAAAATTAGGGATTTCTAGTTTACAATTATTTGTTGATTTTTGTATATTTAAAACGGTAGAATGCCCTAAAACACAAAGTTTTACAAGTAAATCGTTTTGTTTACTAGTTTTATGTATTTATGTGTAACAATATTTAATTAATATATGTATTTCAAGATAATACATATAAGCCAATCTTGATTGCAATAGTATTATTTTTACCCTACCTGAGATCCTACCATACCTTACTTCCCAATAATTATTAAATAAGTACTAAAACGATTTAATGTTGACATTAAATGAAAATAACGAATGATTATCCAAACAAAATGCTATATTAACTACTCAAAATACTGGAAGTCCATCAAAACTCGGGTCAGTTTCAGATTATTTCCATGCATTTACATAATAAACGCGCCCATACAGGACTTCACTACGTCACAGCCAGCGAGAGTTTTCGCATTTCGCTTGCGTACATATTTGGCGGATTAGGCAATCCTATTAGGATTGCGATCCTTGGGCGATCGCAGTCATAAGAGCAAGTTGTGGTTAGTTTGGTACCGTTTCAAGTTCTGTCATGATAAATATTCAGGTAAATATTCTTTCATGGTGTTCTATGGTATGATGTTTATAGAATAACAAATTTAAATATTAAAATTTGCTAATAATTTTAATAGAATAACTTTACGATCAAAACAAGCAAGTAAGCAGAATGGAAAATTTTCACAACAAAAAACAAAAAGTTGAAGGTGAGTTATAAAATATTTTCGAACTTTTTTAAAATATATTTAGCATTTTATTGCGACATCTTTGTTATAATTTCGGGTAATTTTCTGACATACATTAATGAAAAGATGTTGGTACTGTATCCTAACAAAACTGTGCAAAAATTTGTTTTTTTCACCTAACCATTTCTTCTGTTGCCATTTACATAACCTAACAAATTTTGTAAACACGTCTTGATCACGCTTTTAAAAAAGGCGTGTGAAGATGTTCCGCCGTCAGGCGCGCCTCCGGCGGGAATATTTGTACCGGAAAACAGTCGAAGATAAACAGAAAACTATCCAAGACCGCAAAAACAGGATTAAAAACAGTATTGAAAATAATACCCACATACATGGAGATTTACAAAAGAAAGCTTTGCACTACTCAAAAAAACTTGAATGGGAAGATGGAGGTCCCGAAACTACAGCGCTATTAGGTGGCGAGAGCGGCGGTGCAGTTGCTAATTCCCAAGATGATGAGTATCGTTATGCTGGTGTGGAAGATCCGAAAATCGTTATCACCACGTCGCGAGATCCCAGCGCGAGATTGAAAATGTTTGTTAAAGAACTAAGGTTGATATTTCCGAATGCGCAAAGGATGAACAGGGGTAATTACGAGATGAAACAGCTGATAAGCGCATGTCGTGCAAACGATGTTACTGATTTCATCATTGTGCATGAACACAGAGGTTTACCCGATGGTTTGGTCATTTGCCACTTGCCATATGGTCCCACAGCTTATTTTAATATGTCTGATGTGGTTATGAGGCATGACATCCCTGATTTGGGAACCGTTTCCGAGCAATATCCTCATTTGATATTTCACAACTTTAAAACCAAATTGGCAGAGCGAGTGATGAGTATTTTGAAGTATTTGTTTCCTGTACCCAAGGAGGATTCAAAACGAGTGATCACATTTGCGAATCATGATGATTATATAAGCTTCCGACAGCATACATACAAAACTGTGGAACGTCAGGTTAGTGAATTTCATTCAATTGAATTATGGCACAAAATAATATTGTTATGATTAAGTGAATGGGACAGATCAGATAGTATTCAACAAATAATATTGACAAACAACTTAAAAACTTAAAATAATTGCATTTTTAGATCGACCTGAATGAAGTAGGACCTCGGTTTCAATTGAAACTGTATGAAATAAAGTTGGGTACTTTAGATATTGCTGATTCAGCCGATACTGAATGGGCCCTTAGACCTTACATGAACACATCTGTTAAAAGACGATTCTTAAGTGACGAAGATGGATGGATGCAAGATGATGATATTGAGCCTTAATTCAATGTTGATGTTTCTTATACATGTTTTTATTGGTACAGTTATATCAGCAAACATATTTTATATATTTGAATTATTTACTTTTGCAAATTTCAGTTGACTATGCGACAAACCAGTTGTATATTACTCAAGTCATTAATAAAATTTACATATGTATTTATGATTTTCATAAAAAAAGAATTTACTAAGGTTCCTTGAAGGGCGCAAACATTGCCTCCAAAGCCAGAAGCAACTTATAGAAAATTTAAAGTCAACAGTTTATAAAACTCAGAGAGCTAATCCCAATCAATTGAGAAAAAAAAGGGAGTGCTAGCTAAAAACTTTGACTAATGAGTGAAGAATTTTCAGAAGAAATAAATATTTTGAACCTGTATTACTGTCAGCTTTAAAATCTGACTGCTTCATTGATTGATGTATACACTTGGATCATTTTTGGATTTGTTATCTAAATTTGAGTTTCTTTACACTTAATCTGAAGCAGTATTAGAAAAACATCTAAAAGCTTGCCAATCCAAAAGATAATCTTATTTTTCTATATAAAAAATTGTCCTGCTCTCAATTACTATAAAGTTAAGTTAGTTCTCAGCATTATACTTCCTTAAGTGAGTAAAGTAATGTTTTATCCCTTGCAATAAAAGCTAGAAATCATGATAGCAGCTTTTGACAAAGCACGTGAATCATAAAATTCTTGATATGTATTCTGTGATACTTCTTATACCTAATTACAACTGTTTTCGAGATATTGAGTTGAAAACTTGCCGTTTTGGACATACTCATCTTAACTTTTCAAAGCTTAATACTTAAGCCCTCTTAAGAAAGTATAAAATTAATTAATGAACCCACCCTGTACAACGTCATTTAGAACATTTAAAAAAAAAAATTTTGTGGTACATTGTTGTAGTATATTGTTTTGAAAATATTATACTTTAATAAAAAGTTATGTAATGTATTCAATTCTTCCTTAACAATATGTAACTTTTAATTGATTATTATTTTTATTTATGGCATACTAAATTATACATTTTATTTTATAAAATTGTCATTTATTTATGTTTTCTGAGAAGAAGTGCATACTATTACACAAACACATTTAAATTTAGGAGGTTTACAAATTAAATATAATTTGAAAAAGATACTGTGGCTCTGACTTGGACAATCTCTTAAGAATTTGTGATAGACACCGTCTTCAAATGAATCTTTACAAATCTTTAGCTCTGTTATTCTATAATGATCACATTCGAGAAGAGTTAACGGAAAGTATAAAACTCAGATTGGGGAACATTACAATCTCATTTAAAGATTCATACAAAAACTTAGGTCTTGTTATTGATGTGAATTTAAAATTTAACATAAATAAAACATAACTTGATGTATAAAGAGAACATTTTCAGTGTTAAAGTGTTATATTCGCAAAGACATTCATTGTCTCAAAAAAAAAAAAAAACTAAGATCATTTCTGGATTCTGTTGCCATTAAAAGGATACAAAGTCCAAAATTCTCGTATAAGGCCAATATTCGGCGGAGGCAAAGAATTTCGTATAACCTTGAAGGTTTGGGATGGCTTTCCGTGGTTCAGCGACGTGCTTTGCATTCGGTATGTCTCTATTACAAAATAATTAAGTCGCCCTCCTTATCTTCATGAAAGACTAACATATTGTACGGATGTTCGTAGGCAACATTTGTTCTTAAAAAAGAATTTTTCAAAAAGTGCTTCTCCTCTCAGATTGCGTTTATAATTAATTAGCTCACTCAAAAGACACATGAAATGCAAATTTTCGACACTTTGATAATTAGCACGGCATTTTAATGATGGTCCATTAATTAACAAAGCATTTTGCTTAAATAAAGAAACACCTTTTTTTCTCTTTTCCTATAACCCTGACTTATTTCTTTCTTTTCTTTTTCTTTGTATCCTGTCATTCTTCTATACCGTTCTCTTCATCTCTCTGAATTATTGTATTTAAGGCGAATATTAAATGTTAAAATATGTATTATTTCTTATTATAAGTTTAGTCGGCTTCAGCAACATCATAAATAATTAAGTAATTAAGGCAAACGGTAAAACATACTGAGTGTACAAAAATTATAGCCAAAAGAGTATTTTATATTTTTCACAAAACTTCAGGAGGAATCCAGAAGTTTTGTGAAAAGTATTACAGTAGCGTATGCAAGTTGCTTTGGAAAATTAAAAAAGTATTTTCACCACACATAAATTTTATTTCTCATACAAAAAAACGATGTATCATTTTAGTAAAGAGTGGGACCACCTAGATTGTTAATGGCGGCTCTATATCTGCTGCTCAGGCTTTGAATGAAGTTATCGTCGTCTTGGGAAATTAAACGCCATTGGTGCTCATTTGGCAACTCATTTTTTTTTAAATATTAAATTTTGTGCTGATACATGTCTCTGGAGCATGTCCCACGCGTATGGCGCAGACCATGGTAAAACGTCAATATCGTTTTCTTCTAAAAACTTTGTTACTGTCCTTGCAGTGTATGGTCGAGCATTACCGTGTAGTAGAATAAGACTTCCGGGGCCCATTATAAACGGCTAGCTCGATTTCCTCTGGAAAACACAGGCACTCGTATCGGTCTTCTCGAAGTCCATAGCTATGTAGTCTATTTCGTTTAGTCTGTCCACTTACAGCCAAGTTGTGAGTTGGTAACTCTTGTAGTGCCTCTATAGTGATCAATCGCACTTTTGGAGATGTTAATAGCTTCTGCTGTGGCTCTGTCATACCCCCTTACAGCTGTACTGTACTATACTGATCAACATAAAACAATTATGGCCAGTATGCTCCACATATCAAATAAAATTATTTTATTTAATAAGTAAAAATAGATTTGAAGATTGTCTCCCATTCAGTTATGATGTGTATATATTTTTGAAAAAGGTAAGAGAAAGACAACTTTTTCTATAGAAAGAATACATCGATAAGTTTAAGAATAACGGAAAAGTCAAAAAGGGCATGTATCTTAAAAGCTAAAAAGTAGGTAGGAAAAAACGAACGGAACAATCTATAAAAATTACTGAGATACCTCGCAAAAATACCCAAAATGGGATATCCCATAAAATCATCATACTTTATTTGTATACCTTTTGTGCCTGTTGAGTACGGCAAATACAGAGAAGCGCATAAAAAATACTTTTGGAGTTGAAAAACAGAAAATCCTTCTTCAGAGATACACAGTTCACACAACAGTAACCAAAAACTGCTGAGCCCATTCTAAACGAGAGAGTTCCTTTCCGGATCCAGCAACGATCTATTGCCTGTGTACATGTGTGTCTAGCAATATTTTGTCGGCAATGTTTCTAGTGAACCCTTATATTTGTTTTAGACTTAGAAGTGACTGGAGTTTCGAGAAGTGGGAGGGTGAGAAAAAAATCGTCCAAGTTGATGGATTTCGAGTCGCCTGACGAAATAGAACGATCTTACGCCAAAAGGGCTGCCGCAACTCCGAAAAAACCGGAACAATTCGACGCGGTGGCTCCCCCAAAGAAACCCGCGAAATTGGAAAATGTAAGCGAATGCCTTGACCAAGGTTTCCACCAAAATCTGAAATTTTCCTGACCTTTAAAATTGAAGGTAGTTGGTTTAGTTTATAGATTAGATCTATAATTCAAAACCAAATAATTCCAAAACAACCTAAATGCGTTTTTCTACTCTCTACTCTAAAATACACAATTATGCACCAATCGTGGATGGTATTTTGACATTTGTCAATCCCGACTGTCACGTCGCACGTCAATCGGTGCATGGATTTTTTCGTGCCGTCGTAGACTTGCAGAGTTATTATTAATTGAAGATGGGACCTTGTTATTTAGTTTAAGCATGGCGTAGATCTTTAACTCTCGTCAAGTTGGTAACATTATGAAACTCTTAGGCCATAAACAGATGGAGCGACTTCAAGTGCGGGTTGTATTTTATTATACTTAGGCTAAAATATGGAATAAATTCATTTAAGTCAGGTATTCGATTTAAAAAAAAAATCTAGCACACGTCCATCAGTAAATGATTAAAGGGGGTTTCGATGAACATAACTTCAAAATACAATCCCGTTGCGGGGCACCGATGCTTGTAGGGAGTGCTTCGCCCCTGGAGTGGGGTCATGATACTTGCAGAGGGTATTGCGCCCCTAACGGGAGGCCCCATATTTTTTCTTGTTCGTTTTTGCAGTAAACAGAAAATATGGGTCGAAAAGTAAATGGCGATTCAACGTTTCTTTTTGAAATGGGACACATTTTTTAAAAATCCATTTTCGAAATCTGCGTGAAACTTCACGCAGAATTCATGTAGAATACCCTATACCTATCTCTTACTTTCTATGAGTAAAAGAATAAAAGCCAGTAAAGTTCCTAAATTGCCACAATTACATTTTTTCTGTCAGTTAAGGAAGTGAATATAGCGCAGCTATATGAAACTAAGACACGTGAAATTTATTGGATATGGAGGCATAACGAAAACTCAAGAAGTTGGTAATTTGTTTAATCTAATATATTGAGAAAGACCCAACAGGGCGCGTGAGATATTATTTTATTAGGTGTTGAATTTCTTTACATCCTAATCGGTTTAAAAACCCTTTCAAAACTATTACAATCGGTGGTTTTATTACTTTGCTTTATTTCGTATCTAATTCCAACTTTAAATCATCTAAATTCTGTGGGTTTTGCTTTTAAATAGCCGTTGAGCAAAAAATCCAGTGGAATAATATCTGGAGATCTTGCAGGTCATTCTACTGATCCCCTTCTACCAATTCACTGTCCGGGAAATTCCGTATTTAAATATTCACGCAATTGTCGTGCAAAATGTAGGGGAACAGCATTCTGCTGAAACCATTTTTATTTGATATTTTATATTTGCTATTATTTATTTGATATTTGAAACTACATCAGAACATGCACAATAGGGACTATCTTCAACTTTTAATAAAATGTTTAATCTCGTGTTCTAATTAGTTTTTGAACGAACTGGCTGGCTGTAAACGATCTTTTACATGTCCTGTTTCTTTAAATTTTCTCTCAATTTTAAAACGTACTATGGTTCTACTGATTAATGCTCTGCGTCAGTTCGGAACCATAAAAGCCGCCACCCTTAAGGCAAAATCTAATATGTGGCACAACTTTGAATTTTAATCCGTTTTTATGTACACGACCTGACTGCCATAGCTTGGGAGTGTGTTGCTGGGATGATTTCAAGTTAAACATGTCCAATAAACATACACCCGCAAAACTATTCTTACTGAGCTACAATTGACATAAACATCAAATTACATGTTTATTTTCGTGTGTTACATTAAAATACTCTTCAAGGTACAATGTTTACTTTTTTCAATGTTGAATACGCCGACATTCACGTTGTTTATGGATTGTGTAATGGCAACAACGGTCGAGCGGCAGTTGATCAATATCGTCGGCGATTTCCCACTCGTAGAGTTCCTTGTAAAACTGCTGTTAGCAATGTTCATCGATATTTAAGAGAAACAGAGAAGCTTCCTGCAGCTACTTCTGATCGTCTCGTTCAACTAGTGTCCTGTACAATCTTTAAAACTTGCCGACTAAGGTTCAAATTTGAATTTAGTCGCTGGATATTGAGAAATCAGAGGATTTGTCTGATAATATTATCAATAACACCAGAAATTCACAGTGTTGGGCACTTGAAAATGCACGACAAGCTCGGGAATTCCATTTTCATGATAGATTTTCGATCAATATTTGGTACATTACATTGAAAATGATTTTCAATATTACTGGATGATGGTCCCCTTAAAATAAGGCAACGAATGTGGATTCAGCACTATGGTGCACCTCCTCACTATGGTCGACAAGTAACAGAATTTCTTAATCAAAATTATACAAGCTGGTGGATTGGAAAAGGTTCAGCAGTTGCTTGGCCAGAAAGATTACCTGACCTTAATCCGTTAGATTACTTTTTATAGGCAAGACTCAAAAATTTTTAGCAGAACGTATTGAAAACAGAGAACAACTGGTAACTAGAATTATTTGTGCTGATCCTGAGACTGATAGCAGAGCTACTAATTCAATTCGAAGAAGAGCTAGACAACAGAAATTGGGTGGACATTTTGAACAACTATTTTTTATTCTTTCTTTTAAATGGTCTTTAAAATTCAAATAGCGTTCCGGGTATATATTCATTTGACATTTTTAAGTTGAAATCACCCCAGCAACACACTCCCAAGCAGTTATGGCAGTTATGTCGTGGGACACCCTGAATGCAAAAATATATAGGGTGCTTCATAAGAAAATTTTAATTTTATATTAGCAGCCCAGAAGTGGAACACCCTGTAGAAAAACTTTAAACGTTTTCGTATTTTGGATAAAAAGTTGCAGAGGAGATGTTTTTTTCAAATTTGAGTGCCTCTAAAAATGGTCGCTTTTGGAGTACACGTTAGCACTTCTTCTATCATTTATATTGCAGATGTATACCAAGGATTCCGAGTACGACAACTTCAACGTCAACCAGGGGGAGGGGGCGAGCGACTCGGAATACGGAAGCGAATATGAACCGACAGCGAACGCGACAGAATCTAGCATCGACGAATCGGTGGATTCGGACAGCGACTACGATGACAACGAGGGTGGTTTTAAGAGGCTCGATCCCTCCAAAAAAAAGCAACTCGTTATTAAGGATGGCAAAATCGTCAAGTCGGAGAAACTCAAAGGGAAAGAGAGCGGTAGGCATCCTTATAGTTTGTTTACATTTATTTCAAATCCAAAAGATCCCAATAGCAATATACAGATTGTTTCTGTCATAATTAATAGGGCGATTTTTGAGTCCATTTTAAAAAGAAAACTTCATATGAACATATGTCCTAAACTTCTTAACTTTTGAGGTACAGGGTGGTTAAGTTATCAAATATATTTTTTTAATATCTCTAATACCACAGTAGATATTTTTATGAAATTTGGCACACATGTACTGTGTATCAAGAGACATTATTTAGTGTACCACCATTTTTTTTAAATACACCAGCGGCCGGGGCACTGTGGGCCCATTGCCCAAACTAGGTTGCATTAATTCGATTATTTTCTAGTAACTTAAAAACCTTAAATTGTTTTATTATTTATTATTATTACACATTGCCGGTAAATAATAATACAATTTTTTTCAATTTTCCAGCGTTGCCACATTAGTATTTTTCGGGGTATATTTTAAAGATATACCAAAACTAGAATAAAAAAAATTGGAAACATTTTGCAATTGCTGCACTGTTTTATTCAAAAAGCTTCTGCAGTTACGTGAAATAATTTAACTGTATTTAAGGAAACAGAAAACATACTAGTTAACAAATTCCAAATATAGGAACTATTTACCGAAATTAAATTAACTTATTGAAAATATAACTATTTTATTTAAACAACACAGCAAGCAAGAGATCATACAAAACACAAAAAACTTAAAATTAACTAAACCCCTAACTCTTTGTCTAAAAAAAGAAGCGAAAGTAATTCATTCGCCCGAATTTATACAATCTTTCGAAACTTGTAAAGACATGTTAATAAACTCGCCTATTCTACAATACCTTAACTTTGAAAAATCATTTAACTTAACTACCGATGCTAGTAACTTTGCTGTTGGTGCAGTGCTCTCCCAAGGAGACGTTCCTAATGATAAACCTGTGGCTTATGCTTCTCATTTGGCTTATAAATAAAATTTTGACAGAGATGTTTTCTACTTAACATACTTTCTTAAACCCTGAAACCCACTAGGTAAACTATAATTTTAGTCTTTCTCGCTGTCACGACATGTCAGACTCACTACCCATACACTCAAAGTCATATTCGGAGGTCTCCGAAAAATAGTCATTTTTTGTAAGGCATGGAAGCTCTGGGCTTTTAAGTAGAGCCAATATATCAGGTGATAGTGGTTTTTTTGGTCTTACAGTTTTTTGTCGGTAACTGGCTATAACGGGGTCAGAGGACACTAATAACATTCGCATCAAGTCTTTATTCATGGCAATGCGCGATTTTTTTTGGGTGTGATGCTCGCGATATCGCCGACAATCTTTGTAACGTGCCTCTTGGGCCTCCTCAGAGAGCTACCCAATAGGCACAACACAATGTTTAATAATATCTGTGGAATGGTACAGCAGTTTGTGGACAGTTATGGGCATATAATACCACGAGTAAAGACTGAAATATTTCTTCTACAAGGTTTTTCTTACTTCAGAATTGAAACAACGTTTTTTTCGATATTTCGTACATTTCTAAAAACGAAAAAATAAAAGTAGTCTTGCAATTTTGAGTTTAAACGTGTGTATAAAATGAAAACAATATGTATAAAAATTATATTATAATTGGCTCATTGCGCAAGCAATACATGCGATAAACAACTTTAAGAGCATATTAATTGTTAATATTTTTATCACTCAGAGGTTGACATTTTTAATTGGCATAAGTTTTGCGATTATTTGCGACATTTTTGGCTAACAGTTTTAAGTATTTTGCCTAATAAAAAATGTATATTTTTGCTTGGCACTCGTTGGCCTTCATATTTTTTTACTCTATAGAATTTGAAAAATTAAATATTAATGGTACTTATCCCGTCACTTCTTGTCAAATCGCAGAAAAAACACAAACATTCTACATTGCATGTACATGTCTAAACTAATTAACAGGACCGACATCAGTTGTCAAATACTTAAAGCGGCATTTGCTTTCAATGCCTACTAAGCCATTTAAAAAGTACGAAAACTTCGTTATTTTATTGAAGCGATTGTAATAAAAATAGACTTTCTTTTAAACATCTGATATTGTGCCTTTATAAAAAATTTTTGGTAAAGCATTTTTAGAAAGCAATACTGTTTTTACATGTTTCAGTATGTTCTTAATTTAAAAACATTGACATTTTGCATTTTTAATAATGATTTATTGCAACCTAGTTTATGCATGGGGCCCACAGTGCGGCGTACGGAATTTCACCTGTCTATTTCTTTTAAAATAAAAATTATTCTTACAATCTCCAATCTCCAAAAAAAAAAACTAAGACATCAAATCTGCTCATAAATGAATGCAAATCTCACAATTTTTTTAAGGAAATTAGTGGCCTGCCACTGACTGTCTATGAACAAATAATATTTTTTGTGAAAAGTAAAATATCTAGTCGGTACTTACCAACTAAAATTCCAATTTAGGCGTACACATGGACTCCTTTTTAAGATGGGATGTCCAAATTAACAAAGTTATGGAAAAATTCAGGGGACGGTTATATAGATTCTATTAATTTGGGAAGTTTATGTGTGAAAAACATTTAAAAATTATGTAGTCGAATGTTCAATGTGGAGCAGTTTTAGATTTATTATACAGAGAAACTAACGTAATGAACATAACGGCAATTATACGCCAAAAATATATTCATCATTCTCAACACATCTGTATGCATACTCCAAATTTTATTGGATAAAACAGCTTTGTATATTTTGTCCTAAAATTGTTAATATCTTGCCTCGTTTGATAAGAGAAATTGGTGACTAAAAAAAGTAAGTAAATGGATTTTGACACAGGGAGACATGCGCTTGAATTTGGTATTTATTAACCCTCTGTAAGTAAATCAATTAATTGATTAATTGAGCGTTTATCTGTTTTTTTGCTAAATTTATTAATTTGTGAAAATAAATAAAATGTGAATATATTATGTAATAAGTGAATAAACATTTATATTATTATTATTATTTATCTAAGCGATTTTTATCTCATGACTTCAGATTAATTAATTAGGAAAATTTTAATTTCAATTATTTTTTTACGGTTTTCCACACGGTTTCTTTTGGCTTCAAGAAATTAATGTGAATTACGAAAACAGAGGATATACAAACTCAGTTCAGGGTCATAAAATAATTTTTAATGGCATTAACGAGGACCCAGAGGCACAGCGCATTTTAACTGAAAGTTACACTTGGAGACACTTTACCTCTGTTCAGAAGTAAACTTTTTTTTTGTTGTTTCTTCAACTGTTTTATAGGTAGTTTTTCTTTTTTAAGATTTTGGAGCTAGTTTTAAAGGATCGACTCCTAGAACCGTCACCAAGCTCATAAACAAACGGTCGAACATCGGCAAATCGTCGGTGAGTCCACTGTCAGCGTTGCAGTCTGGCACTTCGAGCTATGAGAACGTTAATGTTTCGCCGCCTAGTCCCAGAGGAAAAGACGGACAATACAGGGTGAACGGCATCAAACCGATCGACGTGGCGGCCCATTTGAAGCTTCTGGGTGAAAGCTTGACTATTATCGGGGAGAGATTGAAAGAACACGAGGTAAGACTTGCTCCATACGTAACTTTAAACGGTTCATCTTGGCTGCATTCTAGCTGTTACTGGAAATTTTAAACACTCGTTTCAGCACCTGCAGTAAAGTTAAAAAACCAGTCATTAGTCGGTTCTTCTACCTGTCATTTTAGTCACGATTTGGCAGAGCGCTACAGAGCTAGTGCTGGATAAACAAGTAACTGGAGAAGTTTATCAAAGTGTTGCTTACTCTACTTACTTACTATACCATTAGTTTTTGGGTATAGTGACTTTCTGGGAAACGTCTTGCTTAGGTAAAGACGTATACACCGACTCCAAGGCGTTTGAAAAACTTGAAAGACTGATTCTTGGCAGCTCACTTCTACTTTGTTGGGTTAGAAATGATCTTATTGAAAAGATACAGATTGCCTATATTAACAACTACAATTCAACCTATTCATTACATGCATTAACTCTTGCTTTTTAAGTTTATTCTTTTTCTTTTCTGATGACATAAAGTTGTTTATGAAAATTGTTACTTCTGCTGATTGTCTCATACTGCAGGAGGCCTTTGACCTTGAGGACCGGGCTAAGAGTATGTAAAGTTATTAAATTTCATAAAACCAGAGTTTTCAAGAACTGTATTTATTGTACATGATCTGGGTGTCTTGGTGAGCTCCAATTTTGCTTTTTAGTGCCATACTGCAAAGCTCGCAACAATGTAACACAAGAAATTGTGTTCTCTATCAAAGCTCTGTGTTTTTAAATCATGGAAAATTTTCAGCGTAAATGTATACTTTGTCAATTTGTGACACACTTTCATATCTTTTTAGATGATCCATCCCGCAATACTCCCTCGAATTTTTAGTCAACAATTTCACAGAACCCGTGCAGTTCGCTCATTTATTTCACGCACCCTTAAGCCTTTTTTCCCTTAGAGTTATATTATATTTAAACGCTTATATCTTTCTTTAGTTTATGCAAATCTTGTTGCGTTGCTTCATGGCTGTAACGTAATTTTTAGCTGGGCTTGACCCGAGAATAAATAAGTAAATAAATTAACGAAATGGAGTTAGTTAGCAATATCGTCGTCTTCAAAGTAACCTAGAAAAGTCTATAAAATACGCTGTATGCAAGATATGATAATGTTCCTAGACCTTAGATTTATTTATTTATTTAGACTACATGAGCAATGTAGTGACGATGGACTCAATCAATATTCGATCACAAAAACATCCATAAATATCCATAACCAGGTCGACTACATTTTAATAGACGCAAGCCATAGTAGTAACGTCATTGACGTAAGAAATTTTAGAAGCAGACAGGGACCATTTCCTAGTCAGAGCGAATATAAGATCAGAACGAATCCCAACAACAACAAAGAAAGAAAATGTCGACACAATATAGCAAAGAAATAGCATGTCATGAATCCATTGCACCAGCAACACCATAGGGAATACACATAACACAAAAAAAAGGACTGGTTTGATTATGACTGTGAAAGAGAGCTGAAACTCAGAAACTTGGCTTGACAAAGAATGCTGCATTGGACCACCAGAACAACATATACAACAGTACAATCAGGCTATGGCTAAGGCAAAAACAACTATAGAAAACAGAAAACAGACCCAATGTGAACATAAATTTCTTGAAGGCATTGAATTACATAGACAGAACAAGACAAAAAATTTTTTTCAGGGGGTGAATAAAAATAAGAAAAGCTTTTTTTTAAAAGAAACTTCCACAACCTATTTACAAAACTTCTAGATTCATCATGCGCTGATTGTTGATCAATCAAATTTGGTAACGTTTCGCCAATCATCCTGTTGGCTTTTTTCAGAGCTTAACTGAAATTGACTCGCATTCTACTCTGTACCTGCTTGTATATTGTTTGAAGGGAGCGGAGCTAAAGTACGGGCAAGAAATTTTCCTTGAATGATTGGTTGATGGTTTCCATAATTGGGAAAGTAAAGATCTGAGTCGCGAAAGAAGTAGTAGATATCCTTCATCAACATGGAGAAATTGACCTCCTACTTCGAGGATCAAATAGGTGACTACCAGTGTGGTTTCCGAAAAAATCACTTAATAATATACAAGATTTTCAGAATCAAATGGTTAATTAACTCAACTCTATTGATTTCAAACAGATCTATGACGGTATAATAAGAGTGGAAATGTATAATGCTACTGCAGGACTTGGGATACCCAAACAGCAGATTAATAATCTCACAAGTGTGTGGAGGGATTGAGAAGTGCTGTCAGAATTGGAGCCAAAAACCTCAGGCTTCTTTACAGTTTACAGTGGGCTCAAACAGTAAGATGAACTGTCGCTATTGCTCTTTAAAATCGCCGTTAGTGGTGATCGCAACTGTCAATTTTAAGGGGGAGTTGATCAATCTGGAAAGTTCTGCTTAAGGATCAACGAAGACAAATCAAAATACATGGTAACTGGAAGTGCACAAAATGTCACAATGGACCAATATAATATTGAAAGGATTCAGGAATTTAAGTATCTGGGAGTTAGCATCACCTCAGACATTGACATGACTAAAGCTATCAATAATGTGATACAAAGGGTAATGAAATCAAATGTCTTATCCCGAGACATGATGAACAACCTGTACCTGACTTGATTAAGAATTGCAGGGAGAAGAATCCTAATTCAATAAAAGCTAACAATAAACAACAGATACTGCACTAGAACGCACAAGGAATTGGAAGAACTATGTAATCACCCAGACGTTGTCAAACTAATAAGGTCACCGAGACTCAGATAGGCTGGCCATGTTAAAAAACAAGTAAATAAGTGTCGAATTAGACTGGTGCGGGAAGAGGTGCTGGCTTGGAAAAAACCGTTGGGAAGGCCGAGATTGCATTGGAGAGACAACTTAACATCAGAGAGAGAGATATTACGCAACTCAGACTCCCTGTATACACATACATGCGCTTTTTGTAGGCACAGCTTTCCTAGCGATCAAGTTGGCAACTTAAAAATAAAATTTCAGCAATTTTTCTTGACTTTCTTTCTCTTGGTAGTTTGTCAACTACTCATCACCCAGCAGCAATTATCCTAACAGCTTTTATTCCCTACAGCCACAATGAAAATATTGTGTTGAGAAAACTGTTTGCTCCTATTTATGAAAGGTCAGTTCTGTCGTTGCCAAAAAGACTAAAAATTCGTTACATTCACTTTCAGGGTCAGATAGCGGTATCCGGCAGCCTTTCGGTACTGCTCGACTCGCTGCTTTGCGCACTGGGCCCTTTGTTGTGCCTCACCCAACAAATACCCGAGTTACAGGAAAACTGCTGCAGTGCCGAACAGTTGCTGAGTACATTGGATAACGTCGCGTTCATCATGCCCGGATTGTAAATTTATTATTAGAAATAAAATAGACATACTCCCGTCACAAAAGTAGTTCTTTAGTTATTGCTTGTGATTAAAACAGTGGGCTTTGCAGGGGTCCGTATATTCGCAGTCACCATCCTTGGGTTTCCAGTGCTTGCAGCAGGGCCGCTTGCAAGCCCCGGCAACATACGCACCCGTTTTTTTCTTTGGCTTCTTGGGACAAGGTTCGATTTCGGCGCACCACGCCCCACAAGGATGACAGTTGGAGAACGGTGTTACCTTCATGGAGCATAGCTTGAAACCTTAAACGACCCTTTATTTATTTGATTATTAATAGGCCTGAAACAGGTCTAAGCGTTTTCATCCATAGAACACCAGCATATTCTTGGTATCAAAATACTTAACGGTGATACCGACTGATAAAAGTAATTTAATTTTTCGTTTTATATTACATACGTTCACAATTTTTAAAAATACAGGCACAAAAATTCGAAGATGGAAAATTAGTTGGTGTAATCAGTTTTTGCGATAGCTTGTAGATGGCGACGCCTGCACATACTTTTTTGCAATAATAAGGTACTCATTTCTGGTATCTCTATTTTAAGCCGTAGACGAAGTAATAACCGATTAATAATTTATCATTGAAAATATTTCTTTTAAATAAACCCATTAATAGTTGCGCCGATACAGCGCTAAATTGAAACTGGCTCTTATTCTACTCTGTACCTGCTTATATACTGTTTGAAGGGGAGTTGTTGGGGATCACCAAATCGTGTTTAAGATTGTTTGGTTCTTTAGACATTTATATGGATTCTGAGATTTTTTTTGGTAAAAGAATTGATGACACGCAAGAATTTTAGTTTGCTGCAAATGAGGTTATTTGTCGTAGTCTTAAGGCAATTTCATGTTCTTTTAGCCAAGTTTTTTCGTTCGGTAAGTGTGGCTCTTGGACTCATTTACTTGAAGTCTTTGGTTATCAACCTTCTATCTCAACCCGTGTAATTATTTCCATTTTAGAGATATTAAATGTACCATCGCACACCACAACCTTCCAAAGAAAATGAGTTCGTAAGCAACCCCACACTTGCCACTGTGGTCCCTGCTTACTTACTTCTAAGGAAATATAATGTTAATACCAGATTTACCACTTGCAGAAACAGGACGAAAAAATATCAACTAGACTCAAAGAATATGAAAGAGCCCTAAGACCGTGACAAATAAACTCATAAGAATATGAAGAGCCTTAAGACTATGACAAATAAACTCATCAGCAGTTGCGTAAGCTAGTCACGAAACCGGACGTTAAATTTTATGCGATAAAACTAAAATTTTAACAGGGGCCGCCTAAACAGGACCTCGCGCGCTTAGTAAGTATCTTTGCTTGCTAGGTATTGGAGATGGGTGCAGGTGGTGCAGTGCATGGAAGGGGAGGAGACCCGTATCATCTGCTCACCGAGTGCCCTGCTTTGATATGGGCTAGATTTGGAGTCTTCGGAACGGCCTTGATCGATCCGGATTCAGTGCAAGGTATTGGGCTAAAGGAGTTGCTGACCTTCTATAGGATGGGCGGCATTCTGGACACCCTCTAGCACGGTCTGGTGACACAACGGCCTAAGTGCTTGGACGCCCGCGGGGCGCGCACCCCTTTAATACCAATACCAATAATAATACCAATACTAAAATTCTTCCATGTAATCAATTCTTCTACCAAAGAAAAATTCGAAGATCCGAAGAAAGAATTCATAGTAATTTCTAAACAACCAAACCAACCAAATCTCAGGTCTTTACCTTTCACCAATATATGGAAATCAGTCATCCGAGACAATGTTCATGGCCCTCCTTTACCTCCACCCCCTCAAACGGCATATAAGCAGGTAGAATAGAATGTTTTTCGAAACTTCCTCAACTTCTATTTATCAACACCGGTTCGAGGTGGACCCCAGAAGATTCGTAAATAGTATTACAGTATCTTGTGGAAGTTTCTTTAAAAAATCCAAAATTCGACTCGAACGTGATTTGATTTGGTACCTGTAGGGCAGCCCTTGTCTTCTTCGACTTTTTTCAGGTTTTCACTGTCGGAACACCGAGGGCTCTTTCCGTCTGTCGTTACCCCTCTCCACTTGTCGGTTCGTGGATCGGGCGATGGCTGCTTATCACGTGCACTGTCGGAGTGCCAATCGATATTGTAGTTGTTATAGAAATTTGCGTATCTGATGCGTTCGGCTTCTTCGGTAGACATTTTTGGCTAAGGGGGACGTTTTTAGTATTACTAAACCAATTAGGTCCTTTTTTGCACAATTGCAGTAAATATCTTATTAACGGGGATTGAAACCTTTAATGAAATGTAGATCAAAAACTGATCAGCAACTACTTTCTTTGCCAGTTTCTTAATCTCAGATAAATTTAAAATTACTTGCCAATCTTACCTACCAACGGCGCTCCAATTAATTTAAAAAATAAGTTATAATTCTTAATATCAAAATCTTACTCGCATTTTATTTACTTTGCAAAATTGATTTTTGAACCTCTCGCTCTCTATATTATGGATTTTAGAATATCTCGAACTTTTACGAAGCATGACTGTAATTTTTATCAAATGAGTCCAAAAAACCCAACCAGTAAGATGCTTCTTAGTAGCCAATTCAGCTCTATCCATGTTAGGGAGCCAAAATAAGGCAACCCTAATATGGTCCTACCCACCCTGGTTACAATTACCACGGTGGTTTACCAGGGTAAACCATGATATGGATATATACCGAACACAAAGTTCAAGATGTGCATGGATGATGAGCAAACGGTGATGGGAAGTATCAGATATTCAAAACTAAGGTATGACTTTGTTTTTCCATTCCTTTCTGTCTTCTGATTTTCTTCTGCAGTTTTTAATCAATTCATTTACCTCTCCTCCCCCTTCCTCCACTATATTCTTTAATGTTTTTTTGGGTAATCTGTCATTTTCTTATGTGTCCTCTCCATCTAAATCTATAACTCTCTGGTGTGCCTACAATGTTAGGTTGGTCAAATAGCTCTTGTAGTTCCTTATTGTTCCTTCTTTCTCATCTATTACCAACTTTCTTTCCTTTAAAGATTATTTTGCGCAAACACTTTCTTTCCGTTTTGCTCACTTTTGTCTATTGTCTATGTTTGTCTTCCAATTAATTTTATAGGTCTCAGGACTGACTTGTAAAATCTTAGTTTTGCACTTCTAGACAGCAATTTTTAGTAAATTCTGCGCGCAAGAACAAAAATGGTTTCACTTCCTCAAAAGTATATACTTGTTATTCTAAACTGCCCATTTTCCCTAGCTTCCTTCCTTCTTAGTCCATGTACATGTGTAATTTATTTTCATTTATTTCAAGTTCCATTTCCGCTGCCCTATATTCGAGACGTAAGGTACTCCTTGTTTGATTCTTGTCACTAATACAAATTCGTCTGCAAATGGTAGTCATTGGTGCCTGTCCTGTTCTTTGTCTATCGGTTTTACGTGAAGCGCACACCACTCCACAAATTAACAAACTTCATATTTGATTGCAAAAATAATTAATTGAAAGGGTGCCTCAATAAATAAATAAATAAAATATTGTGGCACTACTGAATAAATCTGTTTTTTTTTTGCAGGCAACTGCCTGACATTGCCTTTAGTTAGTGACAATTTACACAATGTTTTGGCATCACTGGCAATTTTGCAGTATTCAAGTCGGGAAGAATGTTGCAGCTTGATGAGAGTCGTTAGTTATCTGGTGGATAACTGAACACGGGCAGTGAAGTAATAGTAGTTTTTCGATAAATTTTAAAATTGGTTTTGGTTTATTTTTGAAACTATTTTACAATTTCCATTGATAATAACAATAATATTGTATTTTCCTTTTGACAGTGTATAACCAAACTCGGATAGAAAGAATACAAACATTTTCTATATATTTTATCTTCCCCGGCAATCTATTAAAAATATTTTTTAGCGGTATAGGTACCTAATTTCTTCTACACTCCTTGTATAAACATTTATTTATAGCAGTGAAGGTGAAGTGAATGTATTTCTATGAAAACAATCAAGAGCAATTTAAATGTATTAACAAAAACCAATTAACTTTTATAACTTTTACTCTCTATCTGATTTAAAGTTGATTTCAATTAGCCAAACTAATTTTCTTAGGTTCAGCTATGATATTGCTCTAATATAACATATCAAACTTTTTTTGAGGGGTAATATAAAACTTGCAATTAATGTCGTTTCCGTATTATAACCGTGCAATTAAGTGATTCTCACTTACTTCACTTTAAACTAAATTGAACTTACACTATCGTTGGAGTAGAGAAAACGAGATGTTCTGAAAACGCAAACACACTGAATAGTTTTTTAAAGTTACTATCGAAGCAAAAATGTAGTTCTGGATGAGATAATATTCAATTCTGTTCGGATATCTAAGTGCGCTTATATAAAACAAAATAAGGGTAAAACTATAATAAGGAAAAATCGTATGCATGGTAGCTATTACTAGGGTAAAAACTGATGCGCCTCATGCAGCATTTATATTTTCGAAAAGAAAGTTATGATTTTCCGCGCATGCCTCTACATTTCGAACACCAACCGGCACTTTGCATCATTTTCTTGCTAAACAGTGATCTCCACACACTTAACTCGTTTTCCCAGAACATTTAAAGAGATCAAGGCATATTTTGAGAAAATATTGCCTTAAAAATGCTACATCCAAACTTACTGACGGTCTTTCAGCGGCCATATTTTTTGTTGAATGTCATTGGTTAAAAATAAAATTTTACATCTCGCAAATGCGCATAATGAATGAACCTTCCCAAAGTTTTTTCATAGCTGCATAATAAGTTCCTGTATTATCAAATTCTATACCTCTAGTAGATAAATGGGAAAAATGGTACAGTTAGTTACCTACTTCTGATATTGTTCGTTTTGGCAGGGGCCATTGCAAAGGCCTAACAGGTTGTGGAGCTGTGGGAACCAAAATTGGAGGGGGACAAAACAGGTAACAACATCTCTGGAGCGGCTTCGTTTGGAAGTTTTTCTCTTCATTGCAGTTTCCATTGCTATAACCGAAGTAGATAGTATATAAGGAGTCAAATTGGGCGGTTTTTAAATGTAAATTCCCATAAGAAAATTGAAGCTTCATCTTATCGACACACTACTTCATTTCCATGTAACCAGCGCCTGGCAACAGGCGATCACTACCTCAAAACCTTCATCCTCTACCCTCATTCGAATAGCTCCTGAAGTCGTTACACGAAAGTTTTGCTTTTGTTTTAACTATTAGTTAAAACTAGATGAAAAATAGTAGATCTACATTTCCAAAAATTGATATTCATCACTAGAGAGTGAAATATATCTTGAAATTATTTTTGTGATATATCACTAATTTTGGCTACTATTCATACAATTTATTCAGTAAATAAGTTCGTAAATAACTGATATTAATATTAATAACGGTTGAATTCAATATACTCACATGATGAGAGGAAAAGTGAGAGAGAATTGAGAATTTTAAACGCCCATACCATGTGAACAAATGTAGTGAAAACAGACAAAACAAAAAACAAATGTTTTGGAAAATGCATTTTGTAATGATAAGTTCAAAAATACTAAAACATATTATAATGCTAACTAATATTTTGGAATGCATTTATACTGTTTTTTATATCAAAAGCGGCAGTTTTTATTATTTGACTTTAAGTATATCCATATGATAAGACAGAAAATCATCCGTATTACCCCTAAAGAAGGCAATAAAATTGTGTTTTTCATTTTCCTACGTACTAACCCCAAAGAAATTTTTATTATTTATTTCATGTATTGTAATGTAAACATTATTTTCTTGAGATATCGGAACAGTTCGGCAGAGTATCAACTTTAGGATTGTGAATAAGGTAACCAATGTAATCAATGAAAAGCTTGGACTTTACAGGTCACGGTAAATGTTTTACACTGGTATAGCTTACCCGTGTTCATATTCTTGTATTAAATCTTTTAATCGGGACACTAAGCAAGCCATAATTCACATAAATTTTCGTCAGGTGGATACTAATTCACGAAAAGAAAAAAATTGAGACTAAAATTTGTATGACTTCTAAACGTCATATGAAATGACAAGTGTTTGTTTTGACGACCAGTACTTTTTATTTTTAATAAATGTAACGTTTTGGTTGGTTGCACAGGATAATTTTTGAGGTAATGATGGTATGCTTTGCTCCTTTCTGAGGCCTGTTACTGATATTAGTACCTCTCTTATCTTAAAAATATTTCATTTGCCTGTCGTTAGTTAAATGTGCTATGGTTAAGCAAATTCATTAAAAAAAATGAGAAAGGGGATATCGGTGACTACAAGGCGATTGCTTTGTTTTATGTCTTTTCAAAGGTTTTTGAGAAAACATTCTATACAAGGCTTTTTGGATTTTTGTGACAGGTTAATTTTTTTTAGATATTGGAAGTTATATTTCCAAACAAATATAAAGAGGTTCTAATGTCAACAATAATGACCACCCTTATTTTTTTAACCATTAAAGATATAAAACTGAAAATTTGGGGGTTTGAAAATTGGCCTGATTCGAAAGATAGATTTAATGTGCTTATTTTCCTAAACAATTTAAAATAATTTAAGAACAAAGAGTAACACACTGAAAGTGTGTTACTCTTTCAAATGGACCTAATTCAAAACCCCTTTTCAGACATACTAAATAACTGTAAATTACTAATAACATTTATCCAATGCAATTCCAGAGACATCACTTTGTTTTTAATTTTCGCTGTATGAGTTTCTAGCTATTTAAAGTTCCTCCGTTCCAATGAGCTTATACCTTGACTAATCAACCAGTCAAATATTTTATACAATTTTTAAAAACGGCGGTTGTAAGTAAAACGCGTGCCTTACAAATTACTATGTTTATTGTTTGTCTTTCACAACATAAAAAATCACAGTTCAAAACTTACTCAAATAAACCTAACCCATCGGTTAAGTTGTACCCAGCGAAAAGAACTTAAAACTAAATCGGAACTGATAATGCTTAAAATTAAATTACCTCGTTCGAGTATTTCGATCAATTGATACAGTTTATGGTTAATAGATTTATAACAAAATTTACATAGTACATTTCATTTCTATGGGCAAAAGTGGGATCCATTTTTGGAAAACCGTTATTAATAAATTATAGGTGACGAAAAAGGATCATCTAACGTAATGCTACTCATGAATCACTTAGCAAAATTAATTTAACCAAGCTCACAATCGCGGTGGGCTAAAAAGGATACAAATCGAACTAACCAAAACAAGATTTTTAAAATTTCCTCTAGAGATGCATGTGTTTTAATCGAGAATTCTTAATTTTCACTTTCACAAATTTAGGTAAATATTTCAGAAATTTGCGTTCACTACCTATATTGAAAACTCGTATTATTATTATACAAGTGGTCAGAAATTTTGGATCAGCTCTTCGTAGGGACATTTCCTTCTTATGGCCCTTCTTAAAATCCTTTTTCTTCAATTAAAGTTTACTTTCTAACATTTGCTCAAGGCGGACATTATCTCTATACAATCCATTGTTGTAACTTACCATTAACAAGATCAGATTAGCTAAGAATACCGCTAAAACAGCTCTCAGGAAGTGATATTTGGAAATAATTTCGTCGCCGGAGGGCAGCTGTGTTTTTCCTTGAATCCTCGTATCAATTATATGAATGATGAACCCGATTGTAATAAAAATGATTATATTAACAGTTCCGGAACGATTCCAAGTTGCGGTATCACTTTTTGATATTTAAAGTCATTGTATACTAACTAAATATACTAAGGTAACCAGAGATGGCGCTGGCAACACCGCTTTGGAATTGAGGAGCCAGAGATAGAAGTACCATGGACCAAAAGTGTTGCGTTGCGTTTGTCATTGTTTTTTATATATTCCTATTTGTTATAGACATGTCAGAAAATATTGGTTGTGCTATTTCGGTTAAAACTAAGTTAACTAAAGCGTGTTGTGTATCTGAATGCCGAAAAAGTCCCCAAATTTATTCAGTGTATGGGTGGAAAAAGTCCCCAAATTTATTCAGTGTATGGGTGGAAAAAGTTCACGAAGTTTTGACTTCATTTGTGATTTTTATTTCATTACAAATGATGTCAGAGAGGAATATCCCTGGTGAGTTTTCACATTATGTTAGTGTTATACTGATACAGATATTAAATTATTGAAGTTACATTTGGCGTCATAATATTAAGTACATATCTACTAAACATTTTTTCAGGTTTTCAACTTACAGTGTCCAATTTTTAATAGATCTACAATTACAACTTGGCCCGCTTCATTTGATCAGTAATTTCAGGAAGTTTTTTTTACCGTTCTCCATTAACATTTGCGAAAAGATACATTTTCCACTCTGCTTGTATTTATTTTTTAAATCGATAAACTGAAAGACATTTTTGTTTTCTACCTGCACGTATCGGGTGGCCAATTAATGTTTGTAATGCTGGGATAAATTTGCCTCTTTTTCGTTAAATGGTTTTCGCGTTTGTTTTTTGTTTATTGCTCTTTGCTCTATCTCTGTGAAGAAAAGGTGAGGGGCGTTCAACCAATTTTAAAAAAAATTGCCATAACTCCAAAAACATATTTTAATAAGTTTCAAGTTGTTGACAAGAGCTTTTTCATGGCTATCAACCCTGCTCTGAGCAACCGATTTAGATTGCTTGTACCGCCACTAGAGGGCGTTTATTTCCCTAAAAAAAGCACTTTTATTCTATTGCAACAAACGACAGTTAAATAAGAATTTAACACGCAAGTGAAATCCGTATTTCGATATCTTTTTCCCAACCGATAATATCAATAAAAAGAAATAAAAACTCGAAATTATGTTTTAGTAATATCTTCAGTACACTTGCCAGTATTAAATCTCAATTTTCGTTCTTTTTGAAAACAAATTTACAGTTAAAATACAGAAACTTTATTAAAGATATCAATAATAATACTCATGATTGAATATAGCCCACATGTCAACACAAATTTCAAACTCTTTAAAATTGAAGTGTGCTCAGGAAAAGAAAATATGAAAAACAGTGATGCCTAAGTGTCAATAAAATTAAGCTATTTATGGTATATTTTAGTGCCCTTATTTGCAAAAAAAAGCTTTTTCGTGTTTCGTGTTTATTTCTATAAGATTGAAAACTCAACTGATTCTGTTAGAATCTATACAATGCAGTACTACATTAAAACACAAAAAAATATGTTTATCTGTGTTATTGTTTTTCATGATTAGAATTATACATATGTATAATATATGTTAATATACATTTTGCTCGAAATTAATAAGGTATCTTGAAACTATTCCCAAAGATGGCGCCCTTATTTTCTTGTTATAAATTCATTTTATTTGTAGTGATGTAAAACGTACCCTAGCGGCGATAAAAGCAATTGAATTCAATTCGCCCGGGGCAGCGTTGATGGTGTAGGAGTCCTCTTCGACGACTCTGAGTTTGACAAAATGCATTTAGATATCCTGAAGTTATTGACCATTTATTTCTGGAGCTTTAAAACAGTGTTTATTTTAGTTATTTGTAATATGCGATTATTTCTCAAAAAACGGGATTTAATATTCAAGAAGGCGCACCCCAATTATAATGAGTTTTCGAAATAGTGCCGGGTACCATTCTTAACTCTTTCAGGGTCAGATCAGTGGTACATCAACTGTACAAAAAAAAGTTTCTATTTGTAGTGAGGTCTAAAAGCGGCTCAATTTGTCGACCACTAATAAAGGGTGCATGCATTTTCAACAAAAAATTAGTAAGCGTCAAGTTTTATTAGAAACAAGATGTATTTGAAAATAGATATTTTCCGAAAAAGCACGATTTTGTTGTTTTTCTTAATATTGTTTTCCCACATGTAAGGTGGGAAAACCTAGATTTAGAAATAAAATACATTTGTACCATCTCACTATAATAAAGAAAAATATAATAATAACAGGCGCTAATGGAACCCTTACCATTTAGATTACAAGGAATGTCATACGAGGCCCTTATAGAGGAAATTGAAGGTATAGACGCCCCATCTGACCCAGAAGCAATCGTAAACAGTTCCAGTGAACAATGGAACTCAATACTGATCGCTATTTCTTTTGCGGTCCCAATTAAAAAACAGACAAGAAATAAAAACCTTTCTTTCGATAAACTTGTGAAGCAGTTCTCAGTTGTCATGATCCATTTATAAACTAACTCTTTATTGTCTGTAAAACGTTTTAGTTGGGTCCTTTCAAATTTGCATTTGAATAATGTAAAGGATTTACCTCAAATATGGAATTGGTAGCAACAAAATGACGATACAAGCGAAGCGTCCATGTATTATCAAATTTTCATGATCCAAGAAGTTCCAGGAAAGACAGAAACGATAGATATGAAAATATCAACTTCGTTGATAAGTTTGGCGAAAACCAAAAATGTTTTATAAGATCGATCGAAAGTTTAGTCAATCTTTTTTTATTTTGTTGATGCAGCGGTTGCAAATGCATTCGTTTTATATAAAGAATTAAATTTACCGATGAAATAGATTATCGATGGGAGAAATCGACATAAGAAAATAGTTGAGCATGTTGGGCATCTGATAGAAGTTGAAATAAAGGCAAAACTCTAAAGTTCGGTGCATTTTCCGAAGTAAACAAAACTGTTTATGGGTCCTTAAAGAAAAGTCTAAAGGTAAGAGTACAACTTTTGTAATCAATAACAGGTAAAAAGCTGTTTTGCTGGCTAAAATTAAGGAACGTAAAATTGAAGAACTTACCATCTAAGGCTGTTCTTTTGTTGGATACACAGAAATCGTGCATGGAAGATAAACAAATTTTCGCTATATTTTAAATTACTGAAAAAAATTGTGGCCTCAGAAATATCGGACACTAAGGCAGAACCACCTAAAACCGATTGTAGTTAATCTAGACACATCCCCTTTTAAGCACAGAGGATGTTAAGGACTGAAAAGAGGAAAATGGGATAATATAAATCAGAAAGCATCAACAAGTTACTACAAGAAGAACTAACTAAAAGATTGCTTGGATAAATTTGACCGACAATGACATTCTAAGAGATATTCAAAACGAAACCAAATTCCGAAGAAGAATTTGAAAAAACCTAACCAACCCATGTGACGGAGAAAAAAGAGAAATTGGAGAAACAACTAGTCTGAAGCAAAAAAAAATCACAATTTTTTCACTCGTCTATCTTAAGTGAAATTTGTAAATGTATTTTTTTTCTAACGCTTCTTTTTAATGATTTATGCATTCATTAGTCAGTGATGTTAGTTTTACCACATATTTTGACTGCAACCTTAGCAATAATTAGATAAAACTATAACTGTTTCTGCATTGCACTGTTTCTGAAGTACACTTAATTTTTTAGCTTGACATTTAAGAAATAAAGATAAACCGCCCCTCTAGCATTTGTATTTACCTGAAAGAGTTAATTGACCACCCGTGTTTAAGAGATGTCGCTTTTAGTTCAAAGTGCCTACTAAAAATGGACGCAGCTCCTCAATTCAAACTATTCCGGAACTGTTATCACGACTGATTTTGATCGTACTAACCACTCAAGTTATGAATGAAGGACCTCGAACCAAATACATAGTTTTAAGGGTCGTTCAAGAATTAGCGCAAACCAATCAACTGAACCGAAGTAACTAGTTGGTTGAAGGAATTCGCCCGATCCACGAACAAGATACCAGCTTCATGGGCACGTAATGATCGATAGGAAACATATAACGACGTAAACCATACATTTACGTTTGCCACCACTCCCCGGAGTCATATAAATATTCGTCGGTTGGAAAACCGGGTCGATTGCGAACGACTTGAACTCCCGCCCACAGGAGACCGTCTCTGAGGCACACCTCGTACTCATTCCGGTGATCTTTGAGGGTATATTTCGACGACTCCGTGACGTCGTAACCCATTGCCAGCACGCCGTTGCAGCAGATCCGGGGCACCTTCACTGGCGGGAACTCGTGCCGTTCCCACGTCGGAAACAGTTTGTTATCGCCACCGGGCTCGATGACGTCGAACGCGTCCGTAGTTATGTTCCACGTGAACAGGAAATGAGCGGTGTAGTTTTCGATGTTTGGGTTCGAGTCACAGGCCTTCGCGGCCCCGATTTTGATCACAGCCTGACATAGTATTAGCCCGTTTAAGGGGCACACCTGCGAACAAAACGCGCGGGGTAAGGGTGGGCCCACACTGGTGCGAAATGCGGGAAAAATCCAAAAAAATCCTTACCTAAAGAAATGATCTGGATATATGCGAGATGCTAAAAATTTGGTTCTTGCGAACTCTCAATTCACACGTTTACGTACATTCATGAAATTTTAATAGACTGATCGACTGGCTTTTTAGCACACGATAAATGATCTTGTCTGCCCTATCATAAACCGTTAGGGGGATTACAGTCATTATTTACAAAACTTCTGGATTCCTCCTGTGTCGGTTGTTGTGGAATCGCAGTGGTAAAGAGTATTTTGTGATAGTACGCTTAATATCTAATATCCCTAATGTGGAAACTATTAGAGAAAAGCAGATGTATGGTATTTTAATTCGGAGTTCAGTGACTCAGGTTGAGATAGTTTTACTGCTCTGTAAACAAGGGAGCGCCGGATGGTGATATAACAATGCATTAAGGAATCGGTTTGTGTGTGTAGATTTTCTGTAAAAGAATATTTATTACAGTAGTCTGTGGAAGTTTCTTTGAAAAATTATTTGTTATCTTTAGACCCCGTGTGAGAAGAGTAACGAACCAAAAAGAAAGTGCCATTTGAAAGAAAAAATGAATGAATTAAATTAATATGAAAATTTATACTATGTATTTATTATCGGAGAATTGCACAATCATACTGTTTCTCTATATGCTGGCAAAATTTGTTTGCAGGTTTTGTCAAAACGTCAGAGGACATGAAAGCTGCCACTGGGAGGGCAATGGCGTTAACTGGGATTGCAAGATCAACCTTCCGTCGATTCTTTGATAATGATTCACTTGAAAGGAAGGAACGATGTGACAAAGACATAATGAAAGTGTCTAGGATGCAGAGAGGATTCGCGGGGAAGTGTTGGCGATGTATAAGAATAATCAGATTGCGTCACTTTAATAATTACAACAGAAATTAAAAGAAAATGGTAGATATACTAGCGGCAATTGGTAAAACACAGAAAAAAGTATTTAACTAAATTCATCAACTTCGTGAAGAAAAACGAAATATGTATTATTTAGACGAGACTTGGTTCAATACGGATGATGAAAGAGTGGTAAAATTCTTCATCAAACTGCTTTTCAATGTACCTGCATTATACATTGTGGCTTGAGAGAAAGTTGAGTGTCAAACGCTTTGCTACTTTGAGCAAAAAACATCATAACTGCTCATTAAACTACCATCAAGTCATGACAAGTGAACTTTTTGAATATCCCATCACGTAATCGCTTGTGATAATGGTAAATATCACCGCATTTTAGCTAAAACGGTATCAATGACCAGCAGCAAGAGTTTCTTAGTTAGCATGATCTTTAGTTTCAAGATACTTATACAAAAAAAATAACTAGTTGAAATTTTAAGAAGAAGAATCGTATGATAAAACTTATTTCGTATACGAGGTCATAAAAAAATCCGGTAATATACCCCTTAAATTACTACTGCCACTTGAATCTTATAGAAATGATTTACGCCGAATTAAAAAACAAAGTCAAACGCAATAATATAAACCAAAAAATGTCCGCCAAAGTAATTGATTTAATTAAAACTCAGTGGGAATTAATATCAGAGACCAGTTGGAGAGAATTTGTTAATCATGTTAACTTGGGATAATGTAAAACCATTAATTATCTCCCTTAATGATAGTGCTAGCACAAATTCAAACTATTTTGACCACTAATTTTATTTAATATATATTTAATAATAAATTAATTACCATTACACAGTACAGCATACAACCGAAGGTATTCATATATTTTGTGTTTCAATTTCCTTACTACTGCGCTTGACCGGTTTGACTTTTTGGCCCAAAAATGTCTACGAGCAGATAAAAACGTTAATGGCATTATTACAGTTATGACAGTTATGCAAATATTCCTATAACAAGGATCTCTAAAAGATAATGCGAACTTAATGTTGCGGTCAATTCTAACAGAATACCTACTGAACAAAAACTAAACACCACAAAATAAGACAAACAAAAAAACGCCATTTTCCTGAAACCCGTTAAGATGGCAACCAAAAATGAGTGATTAATAACAAACGACCTAAGTTTTAGACCTACACAGATATCCACCCCGGCTCTAGATGCAAGATTATCCAGTTTTTTCTACAAAAAACTCCACTGAAGTATAAGCATAGAACAAAATACGAAGTTGTGAGTTTTAGTAAGGAATGTTTGGCAGAAATATTTAAAAAGGTATAAATTCAAAGACTCCTCTGAAAATCGGTCAAAGGCTTTGACAGTGGCTGAAGCATTTTCGTATAAGTTCTTTATAACATTGATGAAGTTGGGACTGACAGCACAGTAAGTTACGACAGACAGAGCTGACGGCTCTACGAAAATCAACAAAGACGGCATTTCAGGTAACAAGATACGTACTAAATTTTACATACTTAAGAGTAGCTTAGTAAACATCGGTGTTATAAAAAATCGACTGAAAAAAAAGTTTTTTTAAAGCTACTTCTAAATTTTACACAAAGTATTAATTAATTTTCCTTTACTTGCCGAGATTTTTTTTGTCGTTTTGTATTATATATAAACTTTTCTTTACCTAAATCCACTACTGTTTTTTTCACTTTTTTCGAATTTTCCTCTACTATATTAATTTTGATTGATTTTGTGATATATTTGTTATTTGACATAAACATCGTCAAAAACGAGTGATTTTTGCCAAGACAGTAGACCCATTATTAGTGAAATTAATGGTAATTTGCCCATATAGCAGAAGGAAACTGTAAATGTAGAGCATCTCTCCGTTCGCATAAATTATATGAACAAAAAAATTACACAGTTCTGGAGAAAACACCGCTACAGTGATGTAAGAGTTTTACAGCGTCATGCAAACTGGTTGGTTGCTTCTGAAGTTGTAATCTTACCAAGAATCAGTCAACTGCAGCATATTGGCTTGCGCAATAAGTAGCAAACTTTCTGCATCGTGGAACAATTTTTTTGCAACATTTATAGAAATAAATAATTTACATGGAAGCTACTGAATAATATTTTCCGATCACCTTTTACTTACATAAATTATCTTAACATCATAATCTTCGCAGTGCATGAAGTCGAGTTTGGCTTCGGAGCACAACGCCTGGGCGCGTCTCTGCATAAATTGTTCACAGTCCATTGATCTCTGAGTAACTATAATGTGGCGTTCGGGTACGTGATCTGCCTTGCAGTCTGGCAAGATGTCCATTTGCTGTTCGTTGAGGCTTTGGACCAACAGGGGGATTTCTATGGGAATGTTGTAGTCATCTAAAATGAATGAATAATGATCAACATTTTTGGGGTAATCTACCAAAATCAAGCTTTTTGAGAAAAATATTAATGAATCAACTACACAGGTGTACAGTGATTTTGATGTTTGAAAGCTGTTTGCTTATATTTTTGGCGGCCCTTTTTCCAAAAAAAAACGCAATATTTTTGTTCTATCACGTCATTTTTTTTATAGCGCTCTATATCTTAAAAATGTTATTTTATTAACCTGTTGTTACATGTTATTTGTTCCGTGTTAGACCTGATTTTTAAATTAATTTTTATGAAATTAAATGTGATTTGGCCACAATGGAATATATTAGATTTCTCTGCAGAAACGTCAATACAGCGTTGTAATCTGCTTATGCGCAGTTTGATTGTATTGCTCGTCGTCCTACTGTGTTCGCGCCTGTTGTCTCCGTTGTTGCATATTTATTGACATTATATGAATAATCCGCATAACTTTTGTTATATCTGTTGTGGTTATATCGTAGTAAAGCAAAGACAAAGTATAACTTTTGTGAAAAATGTATACTACGCTTATTTTGGAGTAAAAATTGGCGACCAAGAGAAGTCCTGGGACCCTCATACTGTTTGTTCCATTTACGTTGAAGCATTAAGCCACTGGCAAAAAGGTAGGAAGAAATGTTCAAGCTTTGGTGTTCCTATGATATGTCGAGAGCCTAGGAATTACAGTAATGATTGTTATTTTTGTTCGTGTGATGTTCAAGGATTCAACAGAATAAATAAGAAACAAATTGTGTATCCCAATCTTGACTCTTCTATTCGACCAGTTATACCGATATCTACCGCAACAAAAGAACTAGAAAACATCATACCGTCAGAATCAGAGGAATCTAATTTCGACCCTGATAACTCAGATTTCCAATGGATGCATTCGAATTGATTGCGAAAGAGTTATGTCAATGCCATGAAGGACCGATAGTGTAGTGTAGTGACTCATGTGACATATATACAAGAAGAATGGCGCCTTTTTATTAACTCAAGTAAGCGTAAAGCGTTTTATAGCACAATGGTAAGGAACTGGCCTTGGTTCCTATTGCACATTCGGTACATTTAAAAGAAACGTATGTTAATGTAGGACTTCTTTTGAAGAAAATAAACTACCAAGAACATCAGTGGATACTTTGTGGTGACTTTAAAGTCATGCTCCTAGGACAACAGTGGGGGCTATACAAAATTTCCATGCTCTATTTGTGAGTAGGATAGTCAGGCAAGAGATAGATATTGGACTCAAATAAAATAGGCCTCTAGAACAAGTCTTACAGCGGGTAGCAAAAATGTATTAAGAGATAGCTTAGTCGACCTCAAAAAGTTTTTACCGCCACCTCTTCCAGCCAAGATAAAAGAAGGAATTTTTGTTGGGCCGCAGATAATAACATTATGCAAAGACAATGATTTTCAAAACACAATGACCAATGTCGAGAAAAAAGCCTGGGTTTATATAATAATATAATATGAGTTTGAAAGAGCATTTCCTCTTTTTACATTGGAACTATTTTCCTGAAAATCTTAGAGCAGTTAGTGAAGAACAGGGAGAGAGGTTTCACCAGGACATTAAGGAAATGATGGCGGACTACTGCGGGATGTTAATCTGAATATGCCCTTAAAAATATCCAGCCGAATATCGGGACAACGCAGCTTTCTGGAAAAAAGAAAAGATTTCATTCAAAAAACTCTGAGCAAAGTATTTTTTTACGTTTTAAACAGAGAGTTCACTTTTTTACTGAATAAAAAAATTAATTATTTTAGACATATCGTTTTTTTGTCTTTTTGCAAAAAATCCTTACGTGATACAAATAAATGCATAGAATAGAATAGAAAAATTATATAAAATCAGTTTTCAAAATAACAATATCTGTCAAAAAGTTTAATTATGTATGCCTGTGTTAAACGTTTAATGGTTATAAACATTTAAACACCATAGTTTTCCGCGTATAGGGTTGAAAAATTGAAAATTTTTCCTACATTGGACACAAGACCAGTAAATATAATGGGGTCCTAGGCACCGAGCAATTGAGATCTTGGAAACCGTTTAACCGTTTCTAATTGTTTTGAAAGAGGACCTCGTTCTGAAAAAAAAAACATGTATCACACTTAATGATTGAATTGACAATAAATTAAAATTTGGTGATCATTTATATCAAACAGTTTTGATCTATTTTTTAATTATTAAAGTGTCAGTTATTTTTTACTATAAATTATAGACTTTAGACTTAATTTAACTTAAAAGGTTGCAATGAGAAAGTGTCATTTGCTTTCAAAAAAATTGTAAAAAAATGTCAGGAAAAATTTTAGAAATGCCGAGTTTCAGTTTTTTCCAGATGGAATTTTATAGATTTTGAAACTGTTTTAAGTTAAGCACTAAAATGCGCAACGTTGTATCTCGAACGGTTTTCAAGATCTCAATAGCTCCCCTGAAATTTGGTCCACCCAGCATAATAAGGAATTAAAATCTGGTAAGAAAATATCATTGAGTGGGAGAAATGAAGATAAATGGGCTAGCGAATACTGTCGTGTTTATTCTGAATATTTTACAGAAGATTTTAAACATGACTTGCATATTAATCAATAAGAAACCAGCTAAGTTGAAGACATTAAGACAAGATGAAGAAATGTTTGAAGATTGGGATTTTCAACAATATGAAATATGAAGTAAAGATTAGATTCCTGCATGCGAGCTGGAGGTGGTCCGTTTCAACAGTTTTTGTGTGACAAATATTGTAATTTTTAGTTGAATTGTTCACAAATATTTTGCGAATGTTGAAAAATGTTTTTTGCAATTGATATAAATGCAATAAAACACTTTTTGTGAGTTGTATTTTTATCTTGCAAACGAAGTAAGATATGAGAAAAATTCAAGAGACAAAAATGTAGCAGTTTTAGTCGCTTTATCTCAATTTTTCAAAGAAACTTCCACAAGCTACTGTAATACTATTCATAAATCTTCTGGTTTCCTTCTGCTAGGTTGTTGATAAATCGAATTTGCTGATGTTTCGTCAATTTTTCTTTCTGAAATTCGCATTTTACTTTATACCCGAGACTGGACGAAAAATATCATCTAGACTAGAAGAGCCTTGGAACTAAGAAAAAATAGTTGATTCTTTTCGTCCTGTTTCTTCAAACTATTTTTATGGAATGCTGTAAATTGCTGGTATCAAAGATGTGGTATGTAAGGACTGAAAACGGTGGTAAGTGTAGCTTTCGGAATCATTTATTTTGGGTCATCGGTTATAAAATCTCTTGATTACAAATTTGTAAAACTATCTCAACCCGAGTAATTTTAGCCACATTAGACTTATTAAGTGTTCCATCACAAGATACACTTCACCACAACCTCGCAGTTGCCTTTCTTACATACACAACGTCATTGCAGGGACAGGATGAAAAATATCAACTAGGCTAATAGAACATGAAGCAGTCTTAAGACTACGACAAATAAACTCATCAAATCTTATTCAACAAAACTAAAATTCTTGCATGTAATCAATTCTTCTGCCAAAGAAAAATCCAAAAAGCCACAAAAATGTATAAGCAACCACACATTTTTAACTGTGACTCAGTTTTTTACCTTTCATCAATATGGGACACAGTCATGCAAGACAAGATTTAGCTCCGCCCTCAGTATGTAAGCAGGGACAGAGTAGAATGCGAAGATTTGTAAATACTACGTCAGGAAAGTATCGAAATTAAATTAACGTTATTAATAATATTAAAAATTGATATTTATTTAGTTAGTTAGTTGGAAACGGCGCTTCCAAATTTCAAACAAATCCGTGCGAATATACTTAAATTAATTTAAAAATTTACATTATTTAAAAAAATTAACACCTCGTTAAATATTGCTATGTGTTTTTTGCACAGCACGGACGTTTTCTTTCAAAGACCATTTATTCATTCAAACAAATTTTTGAAACTGGATAGAAAAGAACGCATTAAAATGAGTGAAAAAGAGAGCCTTTGATATGCGATTTAAAAACCAGATTCCTGACCTATGTTCTCCAATTCTAACGTTCAAAAGTCTTTCTGGCTTCTGGACCCTTAAGAGAGGGCACAAATGCTTGTCGTCCAGGCGGAACAACCTCACCGACTTCGTCACGGTTGAACGCTCTGTATAGCTATTGAGTTTGGCATATCTTTAATTGAACCTACCGATACTAATGCTAATTAAAATGATCGCCGCTATCGCTTACCTCGACTTTGACCGGACAGCAGCGAACTATTCTCAAAATCGCCGTTGGAGAAGCGACGCACGACTTTCCTGATCCACTTGGGGCTCTCGACCTTCGGGTCCACTATAAGCAGTCCATGGTTAAACCGACAATCGGCGGAACAGTTAACCGGAGCCCGTAAAATAAGTCTACTGTCCGAATCGGAGCAGTCGCTGTCCAAACTCGGAGAGTAGACGTTGAATTTGCGGGCCGCCTCCTTCGGACTGACCGGCGACTTGGAATGGTGGGGGTAAATGCTGCGCGCGCCGCCGGGTGAGAACTGGCCGTTGCGCGAGTTCGGACTCTGCATCGGCGAGCGCCACCCGGACGAACGCGGACTCAAAAAGAGGGCGCTGGTATCCGGCGAGCGGACGCAACGCCCCTGGGACCGGTACAAGTAGCGACGCTCCCGTCTCAATATGTGAAACGGCACGATGTTCTCCGTGTTGTCCTCGGAGAACTCGTACTTTTTGTCGGCCAGCCGCTTTTTCCGGAACAGACTGATCTTCTCGTACTTCTCGTTCTCCTCGATGAACTCGTACGCCTTCTCGGCGATTTTTTTATCGATCTTGCTCTTCTCGGACGTCAGGCCGACCTTGATCGGATTCTGGAGCCGTTTGATCCTCGGATCGAAAATGTTTTGGACGAGGGCGTTGTGGTAACTTTTGCCGGTGACGTTTAACGGTTCGCAACTAATATTGAGCTCGTGGAACGGTTTGTTACCTTCGTTCGACTCGAGATCGTACTCGTTGAAGTCCTCCAGGATCGAGTCCACCACGCTGTTGTAGCCGAAATGATCGCTCGGAGATTCGGACAATTCGCTAAATGTGTCGCTGCTGGCGAATGCCGCGGGGTTGCATTTGGCGGGCGCGTCCAACAGCGGGTTGGCGGTCGCCTGGACCGGTTCGGACGTATCTACGTTTACGATGTAGATGTGGTGGACGGTGTTGATGACCAAATGGTCGGGGAAGCTCATAGAGACGTGGGGATCGAACGCGGGGGCAGGCGGTGTCATGGAGAACATGAAATGGACCACGAAACCGTGCCTCGCGCACCATCCCCGATGAACAAGATCTAAAACGGGAGAAACGGTGAGTTTTAAGTGCCGACAGGAAGCCGACTACCACATGTCGAGTTTCTAAACAAGCTGGCTATAAATTATGTTTTCGTTTGGGGTACTTTAACCCGTAATTATGGTCGTACGGTTTGCGATGGCATAGTCGGCCATAAAACCAAGAGAGAAGGTCCCTCAGTATTTTAACTGCGCAGAAAATGTGAGTTGTTAAAAATTGTCAAATTACAAAACAAAACTTGCCGTATGGCATAAAAGAAATAATTACTGAAATAGGTCAGCAAGTGTTAGTGGGCTCAGTGCAACATGTTTTTTAATAAATATATTGTAAATGAGGCAAGGCACGATGATACTGCAGTAGTATCCATTTGGAAAGAAGCTCTTCAGACAGTTACCAAAAAAAATTGGATAAGTTGTATAAAACATATACAAAATATAATAAAGGAATACCGGACAAAAGGGAATATGCTTGATATAATGGTATCACCAAGATGTTACCGTAAACCAAACTAACTATGTTTTACTTGTATATTTACCTTTGGAAGATTATATTTCATATGGCATGAAATATATTTTCCAAATTTTCAGATTTTTTTTGGGATTGCATCAATTTTTGTTGCATGGACAGAGTTTTCGGACAATAGTTTATTTACAAAATTATCATAATTTTTTCATGTAGATTCACCTACTTAAATATTCGCATATTATTATGGAACATCCTGATCTGCTACTTCATAGAAAATACATTATTCCATTTCAAATAACTAATATTTAAAAAATTAAATTAGAAAGTTCATAAAATAATATTGATGCCACCAAATTTCCGACTTTAAATATAAATTACGATTCTGAAAAAGAGACCAATAAGAAAATATTGTCCCAGTTTGCTCCATTTTTTATATTGAATTTTTAAAATTGTTGCGTTTTGAGTAATTTTAAAATAAAAAATTTAAAGGGTTCGCACAATATTTTCACCAGAGTCCGCAATTGCCACCTGGAATTTTAAAACTCGTTTTCTGCAAAATATTCGTATTGCAATGATATTTAGAGTGAACACTAGCTTAAAGCTCAGACAAAACAAAATATGAGGATATCACAACGTAGTAATAAAGCACAACGAACTTTTTCAATAACAAACCGCACAGTAGAGATGCTTACCAAAATTCACTTCTTTTATTCATATTTTAAGTTAGGATAAAAATATTGACACGTGGATTCCACTGAGTTGTTGGACTCTTGTTTGACTATCTAATGACTACGAAAATTTATATCGCTGCATTGATTTTTTTGAAAAAAATATTTTTTACCATTATCCCATAGAACGCCATCTGGTGGCAGCGCACTCAATTGCAATCATCGCACTCGGGGCACGTTTATTAGCTTAAGAAAAACCTTTTTTAATGACTCCCAGTTTAATCGAATCCATTCAACCTTTTTAAAATCATTAACATTTATTTCCACTTTTTTTTTAGAGAAGGAGTAAAAAAGTATCTAACAGAAAAGATTTGAATTTTTCAAAGAAACTTCCACAGGCTACATACTTTTCACAAAACTTCTGGATTCCTCCTGCGTCGATTTTTGATGAGTCGAACTTGCTGACTTGTCGATGTTTCAGCCAAGCTCTGAAGAAGCCAAAAGGATGATTGGCGAAACGTCAGCAAGTTCGACCCAGCAAAAACCGACGCAGGAGGAATCCAGAAGTTTTGTAATAAGATTTGAATTTGTCTCAGTTTTAAGTCAGTGTTCACTCGAAGGATCATTAACGTAAGAAAATTTTTCAAAATGACAATTACGCTCTCTAGTGGCCGTTCCAGAACCTCAAAAAATAATATAAAGCATTTTCTCTTGGCAGATTAACTTTTTTTTTCTTGATTTCCTGAAAAAAGTAAACCTGGATCGCGGGTTGCATTTTCTCTGAGATACAGGGTGCTAAAAAAATATTCTTATTAAAAAATGTTTTTTTTGTTCCCATTAGAAATTAATTTATTAAAAACACCTGATATTTCTTTAAATTTAGATTACCGAATTACACTCACTCGGTTCCGATTTTTCTTTTAAAAAATAGTAGGAGTTAGTTTTTTTTGCTGAAATGCGTGTTGGTTCTATTATAGGTATGTACACACATATAAAGTACACAGTATTAAAACAAAAAATATATTTATATCTATAGCCTTTTGCCGGAAGTAGTCGGGAGCCTTGCATAATTTCTGGTAACCCCTATTAGGCCAGCTTATCTAGAAATTCGACCAGTGTGCCCATGGGACGGTGAAGTTACCTTCGACGGGTTTCCCATGGCAGTGAACGCAGCTTTTCGGTGATGGCAGAGTTAAGATGCTTATGTGAACCACGGGATTATGTATACTGGAAGGTAAAGGATAGAATTCTATTTCGATTATGTAAAACAATCCGGTAGTTTTTTTGCTTTTGGGTAGTAAATTTTTTAAAAAAGGTTTAACGCGAACTGAACATTTTTTAACATCAAATCTGTCGTGAGATAAGTAGGGCGCACTGAAAATTAAGTATTGCAGCTGTAGCCGTCAACTATATGGTTTTAAATAAAGCAATCGGTTTATTATTGTTATTCGAAAATTGATTGAAAATTGAAAATGAAAAAAAAAAAGAAAACATAAAAGCGATTTTTTCCCAATAAAAATAAACCATAATGTTGCTGTCAGTTGTTATTTGAACATTATTGTCATAATCTATATAGTCTATGCACTGTATATTACGTATTACATCTGTCAGGTACATATTACATCTGGGGTGCCACAAGGTTCCATCTTAGGACCCTTCCTCTTACTCCTTTATTTGTTTGTCAGATATAACTACAGGTATTGGTTCAGTGGATAAGACAACAAATTTGAGACGAGTAATTGACAGTATCTAACATTAGGTTTAAGCAACAGTTAAAAGCTATATTCCAAAGAACTTTTTTGTCTACAAAAATGCTTAACAGCAACCGACATATTTTAAATTTCAAACTAAGGAGAACTTTGTATGAAACCTAAGCACTGTCACATTGCTTCTGTTAATTTAACAAGATTTTGTAGTCAATATGCAAACCTAACCCGAAACATTTCTTTTTATTTATTGGACCTAACTAGGTAATCAGATTTGCCCTTGTTTAACTTATTGGCACTCTTTTCTACATTTCCTTCCACCACCTTGCTCTCTTAGACTTCCAAAAAACAATGTTCCCTTTTATTTTTGAGATTTTAAGAAAAACGCAAAAATTTATAGTAATTTCTTGGGTAATGCCTTACTTAAGGAATTCTAACTCCTTCTTCAACTTGTCATTTAATCCTTTAGGTTTCCCTCAATGACAACATTAGGGAATCATTACACTTTGTGATATGCCAACCAGTTTATTTGGACCCAAAAATGATCAGACTATCGGAGACAGCTAGACAAGACAAACAAGGGAGGTTATTTCATAATACTATTTTTATAATATTTTAAGGTTTTTACTCCTTTTGCTTCTTGGTTTTTGAAGATTTTGGTATAACATAAACACTATTGCATATACATTATTTGTGAAGGTGGCCAATACAGCTACATTGATATTTTTAAAACCCAATTAAACATTAAGATTGAACAATTATATTATAGTCAATTATAATTGAATTTATTTACTTACTCTTCTAAACCATAGCAAACTATTTTGTGCAAATTGCCAGGGAACTGCATAAACATGACTTTATCAAGGGCGATGGCGCCATTGAGGTGCTTAAAAATCTTGTGCTTTGAAGTGAACTGCAAATGAGATCCAGGAAGAAACCTCCAAATGTAAAGCTCATATTCATACATCTCATTAAACATGTAGGTCCTGTTGACAGTTTGAGGTCTTGGGTCGTCATACACTCTTTCAGTGTAACTCAGAAAATACTGACCACATGTTGTAAAGCCCATAAATATGTGTCCCCTAAAAGTGCTACTGCAAAGGATTGTCAGATATAAGTAAATTATACTTACAGCGCCTCGGGGTCTTTAATAAGAGAGCTTAACGAGTATCTACACTTCGTATGGATATTATGAAACGCTTTTTCAGTCTTTGCTCGAGGATGTTTGGTAAATCGTCCGTAAGTCTGAAATCGGCTTTGAAAATAACCAACATTTGAGGTTAATGCACACAAATTTACCTGTCTGTTAATTACATTATTTGCTAAATTGGATGGTTTACTAAAAGCAAACATGTTATCGCTGTTTTCTGAGTACCTATCTAAGTACGCGTCGTCCCATGTATCGTGAAAATCAGAGGAATTATCCTCGGAAACCCCATATTCGGATGTTATTGACGCCATGTTTTTCTTGTATTTTAAATTGTACCTTTGGTTGCATATCTTGCCTGAATTGATCCTAGCGGTAGAGACAACAAAGGTTGTATAATTTTCATACGCAGTGTTAGAAACTGATAAACTAACAAACACAAGCTATAAATAATATACAATATATAGTATTGATTAATGTTGTGTGTCGTATTAGAATTACTAAAGAACTAAATAGGTTTGTTTTCCAAATCTGGTATCTGGCCATCTTTCTGAATATTTGAAAATTCAAAAAAACTTAAGGGCGAGATTCCTTGTTTAAGATAGAGTGTAATTTTTTATCAAAAATTTGATTAATTAATAATGTTTCTATTTTTTTTATGTTAAAAACGAAATAGGTAGGGCAATAAAATATTAGTATCATAAAAAAACTTTCTGCATTTTTTCATGTTTTTTTTGTGGCGGGGATTGAATTAGAGTGCCCCTATCATTCTTAACTACTTACTAACATACTAATTTAAGGAAAAACTTCTGTAATGACGGAGTATTCAGTAAAAAAATAAAATGTAAAAGGAATAAAAGTATAAAAAATCTACGACTAATTCGTTGGAAGCTTGTTCACTTTATAAATAAGCATATTCCAATGGTTCAAATCAAAGACTACAATACATAAAACGCGCGCAGAATATTAAGCACCATTCACTTCATAATTGAGAAAATCGTCAAAAGAATAATAACACTTATTAATAAAAAAACTCTTTTAACCTTAATTTAGAAGTTCTATTGACATTGTAATCTTTGAATTTGTCAATTAGTTCATTTAATTTGTTGAGTCACATTCTCCCAAAAAAGCTCAGATTCTGTTGACACGTTGTTAAGCTGGAACACAAAAGTCTCAGCAGACTATAAAGGGGCATTATTTTTAATGGTTTAACATATTTTTAGCTACACATCTGAAAAATATTTTTTGTTGAATTTGCTGCTGAATTTCCCCAGTATACCTACCCATGACAAGAACGACCCCAAAATATAGTAACTTCTTTTCGGCAAACCGGATATTGAACACATCATCGCAGAAATCAATGTTGGCTCTGACAGGCCACGTTCCCTAAAAATACCTCTGTCAGATGAAAGTTTCGTACAAAATTTACCAGCCCGTTTGCTTATGATAGAACTAAACGGCAAATGGAACATTACAAAAACTTTAAGAAGCAATTAATCCAACTTCAAGCTGGCAACAAAGGAAAAAATCGCATTAAGTACTTAAATGGAGATAGGCAGGTAAACTAAATCAGCTCTACAGGAAATCTGAGCTCAACTTACATTTTCAAAATGCGAGCGATCTTAATACGAAAGTGGGTGAAGGTCAGTGTGAATATCTTTGTTGTTATATCGGAAACATAGTTAAGGGAATCAGTAAATTCTAGTGAATTAGTTTCATCGGAATATAATGTTTACAGAAAGGATCGAAATTTGCCTTTTTTTTGTTGAGAAATGATATTGAAACTGAAGTAATCGAAACTGCTTAGTATGATCAACATTGATTTCCTAATTTGTAAGTGCACTCTACAATATAATTCATTAATTATAGCAATATTGTACATACCACCAGTTCAGCTCATTCAAAATTTTCACAGCAATAATGTTATATGCTCGGGAATATGTTAACCGTAGGAACAATGATCAAAAATTTTACTGTCAATTGCATGGTCAGATTTTTTAAATATGAAACAATACAATTCTTTACTAAATGACAGGGAAAAGCTTTTTGATTTACGATACGTCCGTATTAATGATCTGATGATTGATTCGTGGTGAAACGAAATGCCAGATACAATGTTAAATCATTGCATCATCTTCAGCGCACCTCAAAACGCCCGGAACCACCTTGAAATTCCAATTATTACGAATTAGTGCTCTGAAGATGGCTTCGTGCTAAAACGAAACGTCGGACACAATTTTAAATCATTGCCACGTCTTCAGCGCACCTCAAAACCCCCGGAAACACTTTCAAATTCCAATTATTACAAATTAGTGCTCTGAAGATGGCTTCCTGCTAAAACGAAACGTCGGACACAATTTTAAATCATTGCATCTTCAGCGCACCTCAAAACCCCGGAATCACCTTGAAATTAGAATTATAACGAATTGATGCTCTGAAGATGGCTTCCTGCTAAAACGAAACGTCGGACACAATTGTAAATAATTGCATCGTCTTCAGCGCATCTCAAAATCCCCGGAATTTCCTTAAAAATCTTAAAATATTTTCCTTCGATACCGTTGTCATTAACGACGTTTTTCCAACTAAAATCTATAATGCAATGAGTCTTCGACGAGATGCAAAGCTTACTATTTAAGGCATAGACCAATAGGATTAAAGCTTAAGAAAATGGCATGTATAATCGCTGAACCAATCAAAATAAAGGATACAAATAAATCTCCTAGCCTACTTCTGAATTGGAAACATTATTCTCAGAATATTTACATTTCTAGTGTTTTTTTTTTTAAATACTTACGTTGCTCCAAGAGGGTTAAAAAATTTTTTCAAGATGGAGGTCAACAAGATCTATTCGCAGATACTATAAAATCCCCCCAACCCCCATTTTTAGTTAATATTTTCGATTTATAGTTTTGATCATCATAATTTTCTTTAGAAATATAGATTTTTAATTTTTTAAAATACTTACGTTTCTCCGAGAAGGTTGAAATTTTTATCGAAGATGGAGGTCACAGATACCATACCATAAAGTTTCCCCAGCCCCCTCCATTTAAATATTATTAATTATTTTTTTAAAATTTGCAGCCTCACACGTAAACCGCTCCCGACGGCAAACGGTGTAAATTAACGGTGTAAATTATGGGAATCTTTTTGGTATCATTAAATAGAGGAAGGACCAAAGTATTTAACGTATAAATTTCAATTTCTCAAAATTAAAAATAAATAAGATATAGAACGTCCCAAATTGATCATTGATTTTTAAGCCGATTTTTCCATTTTATAAACATACTATAATGTCCCAACCGCAACACCTCATTTTCGGTTAATATTTTCAATTTATTATTTTCATCTTTATCATGTTTTTCCTCAAAAATTTTACATTTTTAATTTTTTTAAATATCTATATTTATTGAAGTTAGAGGTCAATTCGCCAATACCATAAAATCTGCCTCCAGTCCCCTCCATCATTAGTTAATATTCCCAATTTATAATTGTCATGGATATCATGATGCTTCTCAAAAATTATTGTTTTCATTTTTTTAAAATGCCTTGGTTGCTTCGAAAACATTGAACTTTTTTCTGAACATAGAGGTCAATGAAGTCTATCCATAAAAATTATAAAGTTCTCCCTAACTCCTACTATTGAATTGTAAATAATAATTAATATAATTTTTTAAAAATTGCAGTCTCCGACAAAAATCGTACCCGACAAAAAACCGTATAACTTGTGTAAGATCTTTTGATATCATTAAGTAGATTAAAGTCTATAACGTATAAATTTTAAATTCTCGTGATTTTTCTCAAAATTATAAATAAGCAAGATATTAAACTTTCAAAATTAACCATTGATTTTCGGGCCGATTTCTCAGTCCCAAACGCGATTTCGAGGAGATTTCCCAAAAGTGGTTAAAATTCTGCATATGGTGGTTTCTGAGGACGAGAAATTCGAATTTGTAATTATTTTTTGAAAATTTCTGCCGGGTCGGTTAATATCGATCTGGATCCAAAATTGTCATGAGCACTTCACTTGGTCATGATTTTTCCCAAAAATTTAAATTTTTGATTTTTTTAAAAATCTACGATGCTCCGAGAAGGTTGAAATTTCTATGGAAGATGGAGGTCGATGAGGTCTATCCGCAGATACTATAAAGTTCCCCCCAGTCAGCTCCATTTAATTGTAATTAAGCATTTTTTTTTTATTTGCAGCGTCTTACAAAAACCGTTCAATTTCTCACAGTTTAAAATAAGCGAGATATAAATAATAAATTATGGACCATCGATTTTTGAGCTGGTATTTCAGCCCAAAATGTGATTTCGAGGTAATGTCCCAAAAGCTTGCAAAATTTTGGCTAAAAGGATTTCTGAGGATCAGAAATCCGAATCAGAAACTACTTTTTGCAAATGTTGACATTTCATGACGATTTATGATTTTATTGATTATGTTTTTCTAAATATCTCACGCACCCTGTGTAGTAGACGAAAGCTCTAAATCCGAAAATTGTAGCTCTCGATACAGTTCATAATACGTTTTAAACCAAATTTTCCTATCTTATACAGTTTTTCATTTACAGTTAATATTTTATACACGATAACGGCAATTTTCACGGTACTTTAGATATTTTGCCCATAACCGAGACACCCTGTACGTAATCGGAAAAATTACGGAAATAGAGATTAAAACTCTGAATCTTCCACGTTCCCTGGTAGATGAAGTTTGCCAATAGAGCAAATGGTTTTCGAGAAAATAATATTTATCTGAAACAATGCAGCGCACCGTTGGTCGTAATAGTGACGTCATCGCGTCTAAATTGAGGGCGATTTTCACATGGATTTTTTCAAATATCTCGAGCAGCGTGTGTGGTAGAAGAAAACCGTAAATACCAAAATTGTAGCTCTCGATGCGGCCTATAAACTTGTTTAAACCAATTGGCCATATTTTTCACGAATTTTGATTTACGGCAAAGAATGTACTCTGGAAATGGACAATTTTCAGAGTCTTTAAGATTTTTGTCTATAATGAAAAAACTGCATAAGATGCCCGAGATAAAGGTTATAGACCTGGATCTTCTGCGTCTTTTGGTTCAAGAATTTTGTCGATCTGGTGAAGCGTTTTCGCGAAATGAATTTTTTTATACAGCTCAAAATGACGACAAACAATTTTTCGAAAATTTTCAAAAATATTTGACTTTTTGTATTTTAAAAAATACTTCCCAATTACGCATCCCTCTCAATTTCAATAGGTTCCGTTAGGTCTCTACCCTCGTGGAAAATTTCAAGTCGATAGATTCAAATTTCGGACAGTTATCGTGTTTCATAGCGAAGCCGAAAAATCGAAACAAAAGTGACAAAAAATCGGGGTTGCCGTGGTCGGATTGGGCTCATATTTCGTTTTTAGAATACAGTTTTCTCAGGAAAAAAGGGTCCAAATTTCAGCCCTGTAGCTCAAACGGTTCCTGAATTATAGCGGTGTGAATCGATACGGAGAACAGAGAACAGATAAATGCACAAAAAAACCGTTTTTTTTTTCGACGCTGAATCGTTCTGTACCAACGGCGGTCCCGTAGGACCTACCGTTACCGAGATCTGGAAAAAGTTGACTGGCGCGTATACTTTCACAAAAAATGATTTTTTTCTTCAATATTTTGAACAACAGCCTGGAATTGATGACATTCATGTACTTCAGCTTAGAAAAATGAAAGAAATTATAAAGTGTAGAAGCTACGAATCTCCTTAATTTTGGAATTCTTCAGCAATATTTTGCTTACTATGAGCGGATGAATTATTGGCCCCTTCTGATGTTCCTGGGACTGCGATCATATTGCGCTCTTAAATGAATTTGTTTGCCAAACAAAAAACAGGTGGATCGTGCGCACGAGAAACGAATAATGAGAAGTTGACAGCAGAAATGGAATTGGGCATATCTGCCAAAACTAACCGAAACTAACCAAAACACGTGAGCATAGTTCGTCAAGAGAGTATTACTTTCAATTCAACTGACGTTTTAATTTTTATATTCATGATTCCAAGAAGATTCTCTATTACATCTTTTACACACCTAAAATTGCATAGTTGTTATAGTTTAAATTTCAAGTACAATTTTTAGGAAAATTAATTGTTAATTATGGAACCACAATTTTTTGACATAACAATCGCTGTTTTGCTGATTATATTGACGATAGGTAGTCCTATACTGATCCAAGGGTATCAGTTAATTTCATTTGTTTTAGCGTTATTCCTGGTTCGCAGATATTACTACTCCGGCAAACGTTACATTTTATTGGTTGGCTTGAACGAAAGCGGGAAAACCCTAATTTACTCCCAGTTATTCTTCCAGAAACACGTTACAACTTACACGTCCAGCCAGGACAACCTGGAAAAATATTGTGCCAACGGGGTATTTTTTTTACTTAGCATAAGTCATAATTACTGAAGCGCATTGCTGAAACAACTTTAAGCATAAAATTTGATATAAACATGTGTCCAAAGTTCTTTGTTGCTGCTCTAAACTAAGTTTGGGCCAAAATTGAACCCTATTAAGGGAGTTCTTTGTTCCTCCAAGCTTAGTTTTGCTGCAAAGTCTTCTGTATTCCACATTTCTTTAGCCTATATTCCATATTATGCGACAAGTTTGATAAAAACGTCAATGAGGTTGATTTGGCACAGGTGGAGGGCAGATTGATTAAAGTTTACATAGGTTGCTTCCCATACTTGAATGACAGAATTGGGAGTGATTGAACGTTTTTCATAGATTTTAGCCACTGTTGGTATTTTGAAGTTCGTCTGTTGATAAAATCATATCACATATCACTCAGTGCGGTGGTAAGAAGAGCATTTAGTTGGGAAACTTCTTCAGCTACTGTAGTAAACACTAACTGCGCTGTGCTCGTAACTAAGCAGCAATGATCAAACATGTTGCATAATATGCTATTAGAAGGACATTTTTTAGCTGTGTATGAAATTTGAAATGAAAGTAACAGGAGTGATCACATAAAAAAAACCAATATATATGCACGAACATTGTGGGAGACGCTATATTATAAAGTTTTATTTCATATTCCTCAAATCTTTGAGCAATTATATTAAATCGCCCTTAATGCTTTTTTAGTTCGCTCTATGCTTAAATTTGGTTCAAAAATGTGACCCTGAATTGCAATCTATCAAGTGACATCCTGCTTGTTATTATATTATTAAATTGTTTCGTAGAAGGAAGTGACTGTGGTTGATGTTCCTGGATTTCACAGTATTAGACAGAGATTCTTTGAGAAATACAGAGACAATTCCAAAGGCATTGTTTATGTTGTGGATTCAGTTACTCTGGGTAAAAATATTAGAGATGCTGCGATGGTACTTTACAATATTTTAATTGATCCAGCTATTTTGAAAAACAGACCCGAATTGCTGATATTGTGTAACAAACAAGATCAAACCACTGCTAAAGGGTGTAACATTGTTAAATATATGCTCGAAAAGGAGATGTAAGTAGTCTATTCTTCATACACCATATCAATTTATACAGGGTGTTCAAAAAAGGGGGTGAATCGCAACTACTACTTTTTCGTTTCTTGAATTTTTCTCACACCTTGCTTGATTTGTTTAGGATATAAATAAAAACTATTTTATTGCATGTCCCTTTCTCATAAAAATACTTTTTAACATTAAAACTACCTTAATCTTTATTTTATAAAAAATTTACAAAAAGTGCTGTTTTTCCTAATTTGAGGTTCCATAATATGAATCGCTATAGGAATACCAATATGTGTCGACATGCACTGTATTTGTGGATTTAATGATGGCAATACATTAGAAGCTAGCCGGTTGTATACTGAAAGGTGTCCTAATCATATTAAATATTAAAATTTTGAAAAAAAATTCATCTACACCTTTATATAATGGGCAAATTAAAACGAAGTGGAGGAACAGGAAGGTCAAGAACAGCAAGAACCCTATAAGTAGAAGGGGGTGTTCTTAATGCACATTTATTGATGGGTATCCTATTCGAAAAATTGCTGAGGTTTTGAATGCAACTAATGGAAACTGTTTGGCAAATTCGCAAAAACAATTTGTTATTTACACAGGTTCAGTTGCATTTTCATGTCTATTTTCCTCCAAGCATTGCGTCCTGATAATGTCCTTTGCGAAAAATTACTGATGCTGATTTTGTTTACTGATGAAGCGAGTATTTCAAGAAATGCAACAAGAAATTTCACAATAACCATTAGTGGTTTCAACATGAGTTCTCGTGAAATGTTTGGATTAGAATTGTGGGCGACTGTCTAATTGGAACGATGTTTCTACCAGGAAGAATTACTTCCTGAGTTCACTGGTCCACAAGAAGACGATTGGATTCCTGAATCCAGCTGGAGGTGGTCACTTAAAACAGTTTTTAAAAATTTTTTGTATGATAAATATTAAATTATTTTTAGTCGGATTGTTAGCAGATATTATTTGAATGTTGAAAAATATCTTTATGATAAATGGGCATGTAATAAAAATTCGACGAGACGAAAAAGTAGTAGTTTTAGTCACTGTTTCGAAATTAAAATCAGTGGCGTACATTTTGATCAATAAATTTTATAAAGTTGCATCCACCCCCTAACGCTCTGGTTAGGGGTAAATCTTCTCCTTATCACAATAAACAACGCTGCCAAAGTTTAAAAAAATCCGTGAGAAGATATTTCAATTGATTTGATCTTGGAAGAAATGCATTTCCGGACCTACATTTATTGGAATTCTTTTCATAAAATGATCTGAGGATTACCCCCTTAAATATTGAATCTCCTTGTATAAGTATATGTAAATTTAGTGGTAAATGAAACTGTAATATCCATTGTATTTGTAGAAATACTCTACGCAAAACGCAATTGAGTCAGTTGAAGCAGCTGTATGGAAGAGAAGCGACTACAGATAAGCTTGGCGACTCAAATAAAGATTTTAATTTTGAGAACATTTACTGCAAGGTGAACTTTGCCGAATCGTACGCTTTCAACAAGAACGGATCAGTCAATTTGGATGATCTTAAAAAATGGATAGGAAAAGTAACTAACTAGTTTTGATTACAATTTATGCTGTATTTTGCGAATGACAAGAAAAAACAAAACAGCGAAAATAAATAATTTTTATACATGTACAACAAAAAACTTTAATTTTTTATAAATAATCTTTTAACGGAAACCGCTTTTGTAATCAAATTGCAATTTTATGTAGGTATTGCTTCTTTGATTTAAGGGCCATCCATAACTTATGTCACTCATTATGTGGTGGAGGCCGTCAACTTCAAAGGAAACTTTTAAATATTTAAAACCTTTAAAATATCCGATTTTTTTTTATTTTACCCTAATTAACATTCACTCACATGTTAGAAAATATCAAAATTTAAAAAAAAATGAGACTTAATTCATTGGTTGTATTTTGGGATTATATGACACTTATTAATTTTAGAAGTAGAATAATTTTTGTAGCGTTGATTTAATTTGTAATATTCTGTAGGATTTGTTAAGAAATGATTGATTTATGAATTCATCAGACATAGTTTATGGTCGGCCCTCGAAGACGAAAATAATGAAAAGTTTCAACAGGTAGTCTGTATTAGGCACATTCACTAAAATGTTTTTGCGTATTCGCATCATGTAGGGAAAAATCACAGCTTCCATATTCATTGTACAACAGGGTGCAATCGCCTACTAATCATTTGGATTGGGCTGCGGCTTCAAGTTCTTGCTCGACGATCTTCCTGTATTCATCAAAACCGCCCTCTATACTTTTAACTGATCCCGCTCCGCACACCCATAACTCATTGGTTACCATACGGATTAGCCGTTCATCATGGGAGACCAATACCACTCCCCCCTAAAACGTTTTGGTGTTTATTCCATAAAAGCCAAGACAAATTTATACTAATAAAACGGTACTTCAAAAAACAAGGAACAAAAATGAAACACCAGACTCACAGTATACTTTGTAATTGCCTTTCCCAGCGCTTCGATAGTTTCGATGTCCAAGTGATTAGTAGGTTCATCCAGAACCAGGAAATTGGGTCTTCCCATGCACATACTGGCGAATGCGACCCTAGATTTTTGACCTCCTGACAGACTAGAAACGGTTTGTAGAGCTAGGTCCCCAGATACTCCAAAACTTCCTAATTGTCTCCTATATTCCTCAATGGGTTTTCCTGAAACAATTCAAAAACTGAAACTTACATGTGAATTAGTTTCACAACCAGATAAATAATCATGTTAATATTCTACATGAAATGCATTATATCATTATAAGAAAAAAAAACAAGATGCCATATAAAGTCATACAGGAAATAAAAAGTAGTCAATCGTTGAGTGTTACTGCTGCTGGCGCAGTTCGCTCTGTTTCTGTGGCTGTCCCAGTCAAGCCTGAATGCAGTTATATAGAAAGTCCCACAGCAAAAATTACAACTTGAGGGTATCAAACAGGCAATGGCCGAAAGTCTTCAGACTTAGTCTGCTGATGTAAGCAAAATATCTTTTAGTAAAGAAGCCATTGAAAAGTTTAAATTTTGATTCAACTGCTGGTAGTAGCCTCAATAAAGTAACACATTACTTTGAAACGTACAGCAGAAGGACTTTAACACGTTGAGACTCGCGTGCCCACAGGTGGGCATTTCTACATTACTCCTCTTTTTTATTTATACTTTTTTTCCAATTTTTTGGCGAGAGTCACCAGTGGACTCGCGGTCCCAGAATGTAATATCACACCCTGGGACCGCGTGTCCATCGGGGGAGCACTACATTGTTTATTTATTTTTTGTTAATGTTTGGTGCAGGTTTTTCTCTTTTGTTTCAAATTTAAACAAATATGACTTCTAAAAAGTTTTTGACCGAAGAAGAGCTGATTAGGAGCTGGATAATGTTTTGGACAATGACCTAATCGTTTCTGAAAATCTTTTCTGGATGACAATATACGTCTCGCACAATTATTCACACGAAAAATATGGGATCGCGTTCAAGGGGACCGCCTTTTTTTTTAATTTAATGTAAGCCCTCAGATGAGAGACTATTGGTTCACTAAATCGGTTTATCAAAATCGTATACCTTAAAATATATTCAAATACAGAAATAGATTCGAAAGTCTTTTAGTGATGTTTCACGTGAGCGTGGGGTGGGGAGCAGGTCTCCATCGGCTCATCAAGGGGCTGTCTACAGGGTGGGGTCTTGTCCCCCTTCCTGTGGTGCCTAGTGGTGAATGAAATATTGTTATTCTGAGGGAAGAACACGGAATCTATACTCAGGCATATGCAGATGACCTTGTGATAACGACACAGGGGACGGTCGTGGGAAGGATGCAAAGGCTCCTGAACAGGGTGTTGGCAAGATTCTCACAATGGTGCCGGGACAGCAAGTTAGTTATTAGTCCTGGCAAGGTGGAGATGGTCATCTTCACCACTAAAAATAAGGTGAAGCGTAACCTCAACATTTCGATGGATGGGGTGCTTCTTTCTGCAATTTCTGCAAGCGGAAGCGTCAAGTACTTGGGGGTATGGTTGAACTTCAAGTTGACCTTCCAGGAACATATAAGATCAAGGACCAGGTCGGCCTTTGGAGCTCTGTGGGCGTGCCGGAGAGCGGTAGAGGGCACTTGGGGCCTGGGGTTAAAGATCATGCAGTGGATCTACGGTACCATGGTGGTGCCTATGCTCACGAATGAGGCAGTGGAATGGTGGCCGGGCACTAAAAGAGCAGGAGCAAGGTTAGTTCTTGACAAACTGCAGAGATTGGCTTGCCTCTGCATAACGGGCGAAATGAGGACTTCACCTACGAGGGCCCTAGAAGCTCTGGTGGGTTTGCCCTTTCTGGCGGATGGAGGCGGCCAGGACGGCGAGCTGCGGGCTCTACAGAGAGGAAACCTTCAATCGAGGTCCGTACCACATTTTAGAGGGCTGACCCGGGGATCGCGGTGTCATGGGCATGATGAGTCACGTCACGATCCCCGAGATGACCTTCTTTGACAAATGGACCTTACTTTTCCCATCAAGGGAAGAGTGGAGAGAGGGCAGAGTTGGTCCTGGGATGGACTTGTCTGGTACACGGACGGGTCCAGAATGGGATATTTGGAAGAGGAGGAGACCCCGTATCATCTGCTCACCGAGTGCCCTGCTTTGACATGTTCAAGATTTGAGTCTTCGGAACGGCCCTGATCGATCCGGACTCAGTGCAATGACAATGACAAAAAATACTCAGACATTTTTACAAATATTGATAGCATTACATTTTAAAAAATAAAGGTGATTACTGCGATGGCACAACGAAACCCTGTATATAAAAAAATATATAAAAATAGTATAACGGGCACAATTTGGCAAGTCAAATCTCTATACCCGAGAATTCCAGTAGAGGAAGCACCCCTGATTATAGAAGAAAATGAAGATCTTCCGCTGCATATAATGCTGCCTCAAAACGGGAAAATATATCGACAAATAGATGAATCAGCAATGGGATCATCTCTCTCACCTGTGATGCTTAACCTCTTCATGATTTACTTCGAACAGAAGGCAATAGAGAAAGCAAATCTATGGACAAGATACGTTGATAACGTATTTGTTGTATGGTCTTTTGGCAAGGAGGAGCTTCTGAAATTCCTAGACCATCTAAATTCTATTTAACCAAGGATTCAATTCACAATAGAATTTCAAGGGGATAACAGTATGCCTTTTCTAGATGTGCACATCACAATGACCGAAAATGGACCCTTAGAACACACTGTCTATAGAAAACCAACACACAGCAATACATATCTGAAGACTTAATGTCATCACCACCCATCACAGATACAGGCAATGGCAAATACGTTAATCGCTTGGTACTTCATACTCACAAACGGGAAGAATAGAGATGATGTCTTCTCTGTCTCTGTCTGTAAAACGGATACCAAAAACGCATCATCAACAAGGCAATCAGCAAACAACAACCACAACAGAAATTGCAGGACGAAACCCAACGAAAATCGATCGCTGTCCTGCCATAGATCAAAATCGACCGAATATTAAGGAAACAGGAGATATTTACGGATACAAACCTCATCATACTATTAGAACAATATTAGGAAACCCAAAATAAAAAGTTATTTTGGAAAACCAAGGAGTATATAGTGTAGCTTGCGGATCGTACAGTTTGATGTACGCGGGACAGACCAATAGAAGGATTTTAGCCAGCCTCGAAGAACATCAATTAGGCATTAGAAACAAAGTGTGTTTTATTTCAGCACCAACACCAAACAGACCCTAAAATTGATTTTGGTACTTGTACACAAATATTTCTGATTTTTGGATCAGGATTATATGAGAGGCCATCGAGATAGAAAAGTCCTTACACCTAAAAACGAGAGACGGCGTTCTGCATTTATCCAATATGTGGAAAAGGATAATCAAACGGCAGACCGATGCGGGGGTTGTCAATGGAGACATCGCAACTAAGATCGGCACAGGATATAAATACCACACGCATCGCCGATAATCTCCCAGTGTTAGAAGTGATTTACGAGCACGAGCATTTAAAGTGTCAAGTGAGATCTTGCACTCATTTTCTTCTTCACCTCTCTTCTTCAGTGTCGTACTTATTAAGCTATAGGAGAATCTTAAATATACCACACTGCACTAAAAACTTTATCTTTTGAAATAATTTCTAGTGAACTAGGAAATTTTTAACGATCATAATTGTCCACCACTTGTAATATTTTTCTAAAGAATTATAGTAAAAAATGTAATGATCTATGAAAAACAATACAACAGTTAAAAAGGTCTGGTAATGCTTGTCAACATTTTATTACTGTTTGGGAGTGCTGAGTAGCAGTATGTGGCACGCAATCAGCATGGGCGACACATTCATATTCACTATCTGTACGTAAGGCGCAACATAGGACCGTAGTAAATATTTCCTTTGAAGAAGTTTGAAGTCGTCAGTAATATTAGATCGCAGTTAAAATCCGAAAGGAGACTTGCTGTGATCAACTTTACACTTAAAAAGTTGTCGAGAATGCTGAATTTTGGAATAAAACTGGTCATATGAAGTTGGGGCTTACTGTTTTGCGACGACTGATTAGTTTGCAGGACATATTTTGAATCTTTGAGCAAAATGATGACACCATTCTAACTGTACTACTACTGGTTCAGGACAGAATTTCAGAAATTCAGGAGAATGTGTTTCAGGTCAGGCCTTTCCAAAACTTTCAGAAATTTCTAGTATAGCTAATTATATTTTATTATTTCTGTCCGTATTTACTTATTTACAGCGCTTCGATATAACAGATATTGTGGCTATGTTATTAAAGGAAAATTAACTGGTGTAGAATCTCTCCCGAAAGATTTGATTTACCTTGATAGCTAAAACTATAAAATTTATATAGAAGGAAATGGATCTATCGCGAATGCCACTAAATTTCATCCACTAACCTGCATTTTACGCTATTTTTGTTTGAATATTAAGTAAACATTCTTTACAACTCATTATTCTAAAGGGAATTTTACAACATGGCTACAGTTCAAAAATACAAATGAAGGACGATAGCCCCTGCATCTACATGAGTGAAAATCTAATATTAATACCATGAGCAAAATATGGATGCATAATTTAAGAAATGATGGATGGACTATGTTTGCAAATAATAAGATGGTTGACAAAAAACGACCATTGTTAGACAAAATATGAAGCAGTTTTTCAATGAATATATTTTTCTCAACCAAAGATCTTCATCTTCATCTATGTCATGTATGAATAATATAAATATTTATCTACTAGAAATAAAACATAAAAAAGGCAAGTAGTGGTTCAAACCTGGATATTGTTGTTGGAGCAGCTCTACAGAATTTACGTTCATATTCAACTGGTCCACATGATGTTGACTGAAATAGCCAAATTTAAGATTCCTGTGAACATGTCGCATTCCTGAGGTGGGAGTTAAAATGCCCATAATTATCTTCAGTAAGGTTGTTTTGCCCGCGCCATTGTCGCCCACCTAAAATGACGTCATACAAAGTGACTCACTTTGCCAACTAATGAAAAACCTTACAATACAAATTCTAGACTCCATGGTTGCCCCGAGGTTGACATTCGAAAATATTAACCTGTTGTCTGCACTGTATCTAAAACTTGCTTCATCTAATTGTAATATTGGAGGAGATAAAGGCTCCGTTTCTGGTAATCTTAGAACTACTTCAGGTTCTTTGACGATTGGCTTTAATTCCGGCCTAAAAGGTTATATATTTTTGTTAAATTATAAGTCAAGCTGCAATGTTGTGGTCTGTTAACCTACATCTTCTCCAACATTTTGATTTTCGATTGTACCAGTGCAGCCCTATTTGCGTTATATCTAAACCTACAACAAATATAAAAAATATTTTAAAATTACAACTATTGTTAAAGCATGGGTCATTTATATTTCGGGCAAAATACTGCAATAAAAGGATTTAAAAATGTTTAAGAATTTTTGATGATTTAAATTACTGAATGCAATATGTATAAGTAACATTGTTTATTGCAAAATTTGCAAAAATATTGAGATGCACAATTCCAACATTTGATTTGAAAGTTTTTTTTTACTATTACCAATTTTTTTTTTTAAATTGGTTTTTATGGCCTCTTCACCCTGTAAGTGTTAAAAAAAAAAACGAAAAATACCTTGAACTTTATAAATGCAAATAAGTCTAGAACCGACAGAGTTAGAGGAATAAGGAAAAGTTCCAGAAGAGAGCCAGAACTAGTTATCGGGTTTTGTTTCAACCATAGCTCCACAGATAAAAATGATATAATTCCATTCATCTAAATAATACAGTTTTTTCATATCGTCCTGTTAACCTGAATATTCTCGATGGGGGACCACCCAATCAAACCTTCGATTTTGTGGCACGAGAACGTTGTTTGGTATTTATTTTTAAATTATTTAGAGGTTTAAACAGTTAGTAATATAAAGTTTAAAATCCCCTGATCGACGTCCTTTCTGACACCCGCTTTAAACATTCCACGAAATGTTAACCCGTTCGTTCTTAAAAAGTGTTGAAAGTGTGAAAGTGCCAAATGAAAGACATTTTTTCTAATGGATTGTGCAAATACAAACGTAAAAAATCATATTAGTGTATATGGTTATGTAGAAAACTAATTTTGCTATCAAAATATAAAATAAAATGTCCAAATCTATATTGCGGAGTGCTAAAAAATATGAATCTTTCAAATTTAAACTACTATATAATTTTCAAACGGCAACAAAAAAAGTCCTTCATATTTAGACTAACTAGGAATAACTAAGGTGGGGAGAACTTGTTGGAGGATTATTGATTGCCCAACATACCCAGATAAACCAAAATTGTGGAAATTAAAACTCAGTTTTTTGACATCATAATTATTAATAATAAGAGAACAGTTCTCTCGAGGAGCTATAATATTGCACTTCTGAAGCCGCTGTTCTTTAAAAAAGGAATATATTATTTTAAAATTAAGAATATAAAAATTCAACAAAATTTCTGGGAAGTATAAATAATAATTACTACTAAATTGATGTAATTTTATTGTGAATGCATTTTTCACGATTTCCAATGATATTTTTTCAAATATCTCGCGTACCCTGTAGAATATTTGAATAGAAAACAAACACAGTTTACGATACTGTTCAAACAAAATTATTCATTCTTTAACAGTTTTTTTATTTACAGCTAATAATTTACCTACAAAAACGGAAATTTTCAGGATTTTTTTGATTTTTTTTGCCCATAAGGTGTCCTTTATGGGCTGTATAAAATTCAAGTAAAGTTCGAAGGAGAGGCCCTGGAAACCCTGAAACCATGGTCATAATGGTAAATAATGTCGTCGCGTTTAGTGAAATAGTGATTTTCATATCGGTTTTCCCAAATATCTAGAGCAGCGTCTTGATTTATGGCTAATAATTTACTCTGGAAAAGAAAAATTTTCAGGGTCTTTCAGATTTTTCTCTATAATTAAAAAACCCTGTATATAATCGAAAAAATTTTGAAATAAAAGTTATAGTACCGGGTCTTCTGCATCTCCTGGTTAAATAATTTGCCTGTTCAAGTTTTTTTTTCGGCAAACAAAAATAATCCAAAAAAGTTTTACAAAACTAAATTTCTTTGCTAAATTTGAAATTCATAGCTGTGCAATATATTTTTTAAAATAGCACAGAATATCCCAACAAATAAGTGAAAACCTTAAATACAAAGGTTTTAGCTGTACATACGTGCTATATGATCATGAAAAAGCAACTGATAACGAATACGGGGGACACCCTGTATATTTTTGAAAATTATGTAGACTAAAGGCTTTCCATTCAAGAATTTTTTTGAATGTGTAAACAATTTTTAGAATTGAAGATTGAAACATACTTCCCGACCATCCAGCTCTCAAGATTTCTCCATATGTATTCCAAATTACAAGTTTATAGCTTGAAATTTATCATGTTTCATCGCGATGTTTAAAAGACGGTCGAAAGTAAAGGGAAGTAAGTCTCAATTTCGTAACTCAGGCCGTTCAAAAAATTATTCCGTAAAAACCAAAAGACAAGAACTGAGAACCCAGAAGGGGCAGACGAATTCTTTGATTGGATGTAATTTTTAATTACTACACTTTGTTCCCTTAAGGTTTTCCATCTCACCCTTTTAAAATAGGTTGTAATATAATTTTAACTAAACTAACCAAAAATGCAAAATAAAAGCAAATTTTGCAGAAACAATAATAAGGCTAAAGTATCATCAAGACATCTTTCATTTAAACTTCATATTGAAAAACCTTTTCTGTAGCATGCCTCATGAATGAAAAAGAAAAAATATATGTAACCTATCAATAAACTCCTGCACATGCTGCCTTTGTTGCATCTGAGCCTCATATTCTCTTTGCTGATTTTTTATCTTTTCATTCTTGGTCTTTTCAAATTGTTCATAATTTCCCCGGTAGGCATCTATCCTTTGTGAGTGCAAGTGCAGGATATCCGTAGGTACCGTTTCCAAAAAGTTTCGGTCATGTGATACCACCAACAATGTTGTCGGCCATAATTGGAGATAGTTTTCCAGCCATATGATCGCCTTGATGTCCAGCATGTTGGTCGGTTCATCAAGCAATAGCAAATCGGGCCTACACAATTATTTTAATATTGCTATTCACATGAAAAAGTTAAATTAAGTGTTCACCTTGAGAAAAGGGCCCTTGCAAGCGCTAACCTCATTCTCCATCCACCTGAGAATGTCCTTGTAGGATTTTGCTGCTGTTCAAAACTAAATCCCAAACCATTTAAAATAATGGATGCTCGCGCAGGTGCTTTATCAGCTTCAATATTCTGCAGTTGAGCATAAACCTCATTTAACTGGGTATTCAAATCTGGATCGGTAGACCCCGCGTTGATTGCAATACTGATTTCTTTTTCTCTTTCTAACAAAGTTTGTCTTAAAATATCACATTCTAAGACACTATCTATAGCCAAAGTATCATCTCCTGTTACCTAAAAATTGAAGTTATGATAAGCCCAGTCATAATCATACAATTTCCTTGCTTCTTGTTCCACATGAAGGATAGAAATATGAGATGGTATCCGTAACTGTCCTGATGAGATCATTTTTAATAAAGTACTCTTTCCTAATCCATTACGACCCACCAAACCGTATCTCCGACCAAAAGCCAACATTAAGTCTGCACCTTGAAGTAATACCCTAAAATATTAAAACAGTTACTGCATTTACAATGTAATTTATGAATTGGCAATTTAACCTGTCCCCATATGCTATATCAAAATTTTCTATTCTGATATCTTGTGCTCTGTTATTGCCTTTGGCTTCCATCTTGCTTTCCTTTTTGTTAACGACCTGAGAAGCAGTGGCACTTTGCAACTTGGGCACCACTATACTTTTCACCTCTTTAGTTCTTTTTTCTTGTTTTTCTTGCAGTTTAGCCTCAGCCTTTTCAAGTTTTCTCGCATTTACTTTCTAAAAAATGTTATAGATACGGTTTTATTACAGCACGGGAACAAACTTGTACAAACAAACCAATGAATCATCTCTTTGTGCCACCCAAATGCTTTTAATTTCATCTACATTTGTCTCCAAATTTCCTGCCATTGAGGCTAAATGTACAGGAGCATCTAGGATTTTCATATTGCCATTACCTTTAACAACTTTGCCAGGTCTCAGCATGGTAAGCAATTCATTGCAGATATGCCTAAAAATTTTAATTTGCGATGAGATTTGTACAGTCAGATAACTTCTAAAGTGAATTGAGAGCACCAAAAAATGTATTATCGTGCAATGTTGAGGGTGCTTACTTTATGTCTGCTTCACTTTTGTCGGTTGACACTTCATGTAAAACTTCTCCGATAGCATCGTAAACCTCGTCACTGTCTTCGAAGTCATCAACCCCGTTTCGCAAAACCCCTTGAAAGTTTTTTTTAATAAAATTAAAAGTGATATTGAAATGAAAGGATTTTTTGATACCCTCGACGTATTGCTTCAAGTCCTCGTCAATCGATGGGAAAATATTCTTAATATAGTCACTACATTCCGTCATTTTTTCAGACAATTGTTTCCTTAATTTAAATTTAACAAATAGGGAATACGCCACTTAATATATAACCTAGAAAATTGACACCCATACCATTAATCACTAATACGTAATTTTCTTTTTTGCTCAGTTTTCGATTTGATTATGATTTTTTTTTATATTCAGATAATAAAAATACAAAAAATATGATATAAAGTGAAAAGTTTAAAGGGGTTTTCTCACAAAGGTGAGTAACTAGCATACGTTAATTGTCCAACGTGCCGAGCCAATCAGAAGGCAGGAGATCAATGTAATACGAAGCGCGCCTCGTTTGATATCGGGTTTAATCGTATAGCAGCCCACCAATTTTAAACGGTTAATTTTTATTATACCGCGAAGACGACAGAATCCGTTGGATTTTTGCCGATATAGGAAGGATATATTTGCTCTTGAAATCGAGATTAATAAGCGACTTATATTTTTTGTGATTAATTATTGATATTTATTTCAGGCTGTTTGCCTTTAAAATGGAGCTTGAAAGGCAAGTTTATTGCTTTAATTTGATATTTGTAGGTTATGTTATGATGTCTCGTAATTTAATTTTTAATTTTTTAGAAATAACTTAACTTGCCAATTTTGTGAGATGGAATATTCAAGTATATCGACCAAACACCGACATATACGGGCAAAACACTCTGGCCAAGAGGGATCTAGATCTGAAAGAATGCATCATATTTTATGCCCAATATGCACAGACAGGACTATTTCTTTTTTACTTCATACAGACTTAATTAAAAAAAATTTAAATCCTTTTCATTGCTTAACTATTAATGAATCTACTTTGCATTTTAGGAATTTTGAAGAGTTTTCAGTTTGGAGGACCCAAGAGAATAGGGAAGTAAATTACCCTTGCCGTACACGAAAAAAATATCAACACGGTGAAGAAAAAATATTTTATGAGTGTAACAGAAGTAATTAAAAAGGTTGTGTGTTTACTAATATGTGAGTAGGCATATAATGTCTCATATTTTTTTTAAGGATTTTTCAGCTCAGCTAAAAAACGAATTGTGAAAACTGGAGGGGGACATGTCCTTCAAGAATTGTAGTTAACATTTTAACTGAGGGTAAATAATATAATATTGTTATCTACAGATTAACTATATTTTTTTAGGATTTGTGACGGTAAACTTTGTCGAAAAACATGTAGGACACATTGATGAACTAAGGACCAAGCGATTATCAAAAACTGAACAGGAGACTATTGTCGAAAAACTAATTGCAGGAGTTTCAAATAATAGAATAATTGTAGATTCACGAATAATTCAAAATGATCATTTGCAGAGAATAAACCTTGTCACGAGAGGAGATTTCGCATACTTAATCAGGAAATTTAAAATTGTTAAGAGGAGAGATGCAGATAACATGATAGCAGTAGCACTAAAAGTTGCAAGCAAGAAAAGTGGTAAGTACAATTATTATTATTTAAAATGTAGGAAAAGCATTGTATATTACTTTTGCACAAAAAAATAGTATGAGTAGTGTTATATTAATTAGATATTTAAGTTTGCTATGGATAAATTTAGGTTGTTTAAAGTTTTATATATATTATTGAGTTATTCTGCTTAACTTTTAGTGTGTGTTAAAGCAATATAAATTCCTTGGTAATTTGCTTTATGGTGAAGGTGGTAGAGATTTGCTTTCATTGTAGGTGAGAGTTTTTCTGGGTTAAATGATGGAGATTTTGCAATTGGGTATATGAACGGTATTATGGAGACAAAGCTTCCAGCTTTTACTTAAGTAATTTGTATAGATAGAACACATGGAACAAACAAGAAAAATCTGGATTTAACTATATTATTGTTAAAGATGAGAATAATATTGGTTTTCCTGTTGCATTTTTATTTTCTAATAGATTAGATCAAGTAATTCAACAAATATTTTTTAGTGCTTTACAGGTTAAACTAGGGGAAACAGTAAAGGCTGAATACATAATGAGTGATGATGACCCAAAATACTACAATGCTTGGTGCCAAGTGATGGGTACAAACCAGAAACCTAGAAGACTTCTTTGTACATGGCATGTTATCAAAAATTGGAATATTCAAGGTAATGATGGAAGCAGATAAAATAAATGACAATAATTTTATATTCATCAAATGCCAATAGCTACCAACATAAAATTACCCTAGAAGCTCATAAGAAAACAGAAGAGATGGTTGAAAAGGTAAACGTTTCGAGTAATAGTAATTTTAAGGTGCAATCTGGTTCGGTAAGTAATAAACATTATTTTGTATCCTATAATGAGGCATGTGATGTGGAATGCAGAACTGGATATTGCAACAAATGTAAAATATGTTTACATAATTAGCGCTGTAAATGTCCAGAAAATGCTGTTAAAACTGTTATTTGTAAACATATACAAGCTGTAGCAATGTTTGAGCAGAGATGCGAGTCTGTTTTAGGTACTGTAAGCTCCGATGATGAAAAGAGGAATGATTTGCATATTGATGAGCTATCAACATTCCGGGTACGTTACCAAGATGATATTACCCATTTTATTCAGGAAACGAAGCCCGTTCTCCATGTAGACACTATTGCATTTGAAGATAGGCGACAGGTTTGAAAAAATTAAAATTCGTAAAAAGAAAAATTGAGAAGCAAACATATTATCCTAATAAAAAATAATATAACTATTTATAAACCTTTCATTTTCATATAATATTTTATTTTTTAGATAATTGCATACTTTAATCAGTGTTTTATTTATTGCATAGTTTTTAATTAATAAATAATAATGGTATGATATAAGATGTAAATAAATTTTATTGTCATATTTTATAAGTCAATTTACACTCAAAATACAAATAAAAGCAGTATAAACACATTGTCAATTTTATTTTATAAACTTTAAATAGAATTAACACATTAACCAAAGTTTACTTGGTCAATGATTAACAACAAGCGATGCGACATGCGTTCTCCAATCTGTCGAGAAAGTAAAGAGCGCTATGCGGATGCCAACTTTAAACACCTCCGATTCGATTTGAATTTGGCGCCATAGAGAAAACTAGCCGCCGCGTTCTGATTGGCTCGGCACGTTGGACAATTAACGTATGCTTGAGTAACTTAACTTACCAAAATTGGACGAATTTTAACAATGGAAAAAAGGTTCAAGTGTTTTTTTTTAATTAGTGAAACTTGTTGAAGACAAGAAGATTGCTGGAGCCGTATTTTGAGGTCGAATTATTGTCCTTTTGTTCAAACAAAATAAATTTTTTCGATAAACTAATCACTTCGTATGACGTATTTTGAAAACGGCTCGTCGTTTACTTAGCGCATTTGAGTACGTCATTGACATCCTTATATATTTGCCCATCGTAAAACGAAAAGATGTAGAAGAATTTTTTATATGTAAGAACAACTACCAAAATTGGCCGAATAATCCTAGCAGTCGTGGCCAACAGAAGTAAAAGAAAAGAAGAACCATCAAAATATGCATGGGTTAAATTTTATTTTTAATATATTTTTTGTATATTGAAGCAATGGTAAATGTTTGCAGCCGTGGTGACATCGATGGTGCTTTTTTAACCTTTGTTTTAGCCCAAGGAGAAGCCAGAATATACTAGCACCCCCAACGCGATGCCGCGAGTTTTGGGGCGTCGAGGAATTAAGGACCCAGGGAATCTGCAGTCTAGTTCGCCATTATCACGAAGCTCTTTCAGTCAAGATACTTGTAATCCAGACACAAATAATGAACAAATTAGCTATGAGAGTACTGATGATTCTGAGGAGATGCACCAATTCAACAGTGACACTGAGAAAAATGAAAGAAAGGAATGGTACATTTCAGAAAGTGTGCCAAACCAGTCTAATTCAAACAACACAAAATTTGGATTAATTGTGGTTTTAATGGTAATATGTGCACTGTTGTTGAAAAATCTTGAATTCAGTAGTGCTGATAAAACTAGTTTGGATGATTTAATAAAAGCTGGTCAACAGAATTTCACCAAACAGGATTCAAATTTTTGGCCAAGCATTAAAGTCAACATTAGGGAAATATTGGAACTTAAACGACCACGAACAATCCTTTTCATTTATGAGACTCAATCAGAGTTTACTGTACAAAAAATCATAAATAGTATTTCAAAGATTGGTGTATGCCATCTAACAAGTTGCTCCAAAATACCGGTTACAATAACAGGTTTGTCTTTAAGTAAGCCAGAGTTTATTAAAGACTATGGAAAAGTTATAAATCAGTTCCGTGAAAATTTGACTGATAGCGGAGTAATGGTGGTTAAAAATATAGAGGCAATACCGGGTGTGGTTGCACAAGCGTTCCACAGTATTTGTGATGATTATAACTCAGTTGAAAAGCGGGCCTTAATTCTTTTAACCATGACAATGGATGCATTCCCTGGAACACATTCTTCATTGCTTGATTCTGTAGAAGAAAAATTGCAGAAGTTGTGGAAAGATATCAGCTTGGAAGGTGTCTTCCATCCCCTTTTCACAAGGATAACCAGCACAATCTTGCAAGTACATTCTGAAGAGATAGCTTTTTCACATTTATGATATAAATTTTATTTATTCATGTTTGTACTCCATAATTAATTTTTTGATCTCGCAATAAACCTGGGTACTTCATTTGATTGGTTTTAGTTCAGGAGCAGAATATTAAATAGGGTTGTCCTGACATAGCTCCCCTATTTCAAATTCACATTTTGGAAAGACATATTTTCTTCTATTTATTACAATAGATGGAATTGTTTGAAGGGTAAACCACTCTCCGAAATTGGAGCACTACATTTCACAAAGATTTCGCCAGTTTCAGATTTCACTCATTCTGCAAATATTTCACAGATTTATAAATGATTTTCCAAATTTGAACCATTTTGAAAAAGATTTTTAGGTTATGTGGAAATGTTTTATATTCCCTCTTAATTGAAAACTATTAAGTAAAAATAATATACTTTTTTTGAAATATGGGAAATAATGCTGCAACTACCAGTGTTAAATTAATAAATACAAATTCTATAAATTTTCAAAAAGGACATGAAAATGATATTTTTGATTTTTTTTTTTCAAAATTTTCTTCTTGCCGCTTACATAATAGACGAGCGATGGGCATTCGCCATTTTATAGAAAAACGCTATATATTTGCTAAAATATTCTTCACATTCATATTCACATACGAATATAAAATTTGTAATGCTACTTCATGGTAGTATATAAAAAAAAATCGTTGGCTTACATCCAAAATTTTTTTAGAAACTGTTTTTCGAAAAATAGAAAATATTTTTTTAGATAGGTTGCGGTTTATGTGTATCGAATGCGTCGATACCACTAACGGATAATCACAAATTTCATCAAAATTTGACTTGGGGTTAGGGGTTGAAATAAGCAAAAAACGGATTTTGGAAAAACCCAAAATATTTTTTTTAGATACGTTCCTGTCTATGTCCAGCAATTGTGTGGACACTACTAGCGTATAATCACAAAAGGGATATTTCTTTAAAATTCGAACAACGCAACTTGGGGATTAGGGGTTAAAATAAGCAAAAACACAAAATATTTTTTTTTAAATACGTTCCGGTTTATGTACAGCGATTATGTTGGTACTACTAACGTATAATCACAAAAGGGATATTTCATCAAAATTTGAATAAAGCAACTTGGGGATTAGGGGTTGAAATAAGCAAAAAACGGATTCTGGGGAAACAGAAAATATTTCTTTTAGATATGTGAGTAGACCTCATTGACCTCCATCTTCGATAAATATTTCAACCTTCTCGGAGCAACGTAAGTATTTAAAAAAAATAAAATTCTAAATTTTTAAGGAAAATTATGTCGAACATCAAAACAAAAAATCGAAAATATTAACTAAAAATGGGGGGGTTGGGAGGGGATTTTATAGTATCTGTGAATAGACCTTATTGACCTCCCATCTTGAAAAAAAAATTCAATCCTCGCAACGTATTTTAAAAAAACACTAGAAATGTAAATGTTCTGAGTATAATGTTTCTAATTCAAGAGTAGGCGGCTATAAGATTTATTTTTATCCTTTATTTTGATTGGTTCAGCGATTATACGTGCTATTTTCTTAAGCTTTAATCCTATTGGTCTATGCGTTTGACTATAGATAGTAAGCTCTGCATGTAGTCGAAGACCCACTCAACCAATATAATATAGTTGTCTATGGACTCACTGCATTATACATTTTCGTTGGAATAACGTCGTTAATCACAACGGTATCGAAACGTAATAGTATATTATGCAACAAGTGCGGTAAACGCCATTTGACTCGCGAGCTTATTTGACACGAGCGGAGCGTTGCATACTATAGTTTTTCTACGACCGTTAGTTTTTGGGTACATTTTCGCAAAATACGAATCCATTCACTGACATGACTGTCAGAATTGACAAACGTCAAAATTCAAAGCGTGGGAAATATCTCCGAAAACATCTGATTGCTCTCAAACCCGTGCTGTAAAATCCCGGAAATGTCCGAAGTGGCTCGGACTCGTGGGAAACGAAACTGACGAGGTAAAGGGACGCTTCCCGCACGCTAGATCGGTGTGTGATTAGGTATTTTACAGACGGGAGTAGAAAAAATATTTAAAGATTTTTAAGGAAATTTCGGGGTTTTGAGATGCGCTGATTTAAAATTGTGTCCCACGTTTCGTGTTAGCAGGAAGCTATCTTCAGAGCGTTAATTCGTAATAATTGGAATTTGAAGGTGGTTCCGGAGGTTTTGAGGTGCGCTGAAGACGATGCAATGATTTAAAATTGTGTCCGACGTTTCGTTTTAGCAGGGGCCATCTGCAGAGCATTAATTTGTAATAATTGGTATTTGAAGGTGGTTCCGGAGGTTTTGAGGTACGCTGAAGATGATGCAATAATTTAAAATTGTGTCCGACGTTTCGTTTTTGCAGGAAGCCATCTTCAGAGTACTAATTGGATTTTGAAGGTGGTTCCGGAGGTTTTGAGGTGCGCTGCAGACGATGCAACGATTTAAAATTGTGTCCGACGTTTCGTTTTAGCAGGAAGCTATCTTCAGAGCATTAATTTGTAATGATTGGATTTTGAAGGTGGTTCCGGAGGTTTTGAGGTGCGCTGAAGATGATGCAATAATTTAAAATTGTGTCCGACGTTTCGTTTTAGCAGGGGCCATCTGCAGAGCATTAATTTGTAATAATTGGTATTTGAAGGTGGTTCCGGAGGTTTTGAGGTACGCTGAAGATGATGCAATAATTTAAAATTGTGTCCGACGTTTCGTTTTTGCAGGAAGCCATCTTCAGAGTACTAATTGGATTTTGAAGGTGGTTCCGGAGGTTTTGAGGTGCGCTGCAGACGATGCAACGATTTAAAATTGTGTCCGACGTTTCGTTTTAGCAGGAAGCTATCTTCAGAGCATTAATTTGTAATAATTGGATTTTGAAGGTGGTTCCGGAGGTTTTGAGGTGCGCTGAAGATGATGCAATGATTTAAAATTGTGTCCGACGTTTCGTTTTAGCAGGGGCCATCTGCAGAGCATTAATTTGTAATAATTGGTATTTGAAGGTGGTTCCGGAGGTTTTGAGGTACGCTGAAGATGATGCAATAATTTAAAATTGTGTCCGACGTTTCGTTTTTGCAGGAAGCCATATTCAGAGTACTAATTGGATTTTGAAGGTGGTTCCGGAGGTTTTGAGGTGCGCTGCAGACGATGCAACGATTTAAAATTGTGTCCGACGTTTCGTTTTAGCAGGAAGCTATCTTCAGAGCATTAATTTGTAATAATTGGATTTTGAAGGTGGTTCCGGAGGTTTTGAGGTGCGCTGAAGATGATGCAATAATTTAAAATTGTGTCCGACGTTTCGTTTTCGCAGGAAGCCATCTTCAGAGCACTAATTCGTAATAATTAGAATTTGAAGGTGATTCCGGGGGTTTTAAGGTGCGCTGCAGACGATGCAATTATTTAAAATTGTGTCCGACGTTTCGTTTTGGCAGGAAGCCATCTTCAGAGCATTAATTTATAGTAATTGGTATTTGAAGGTGGTTCCGGAGGTTTTAAGATGCGCTGAAGACGATGCAATGATTTAAAATTGTGTCCGACGTTTCGTTTTAGCAGGAAGCTATCTTCAGAGCATTAATTCGCAAGAATTGGAATTTGAAGGTGGTTCCAGAGGTTTTGAGGTGCGCTGAAGATGATGCAATAATTTAAAATTGTGTTCGACGTTTCGTTTTTGCAGGAAGCCATCTTCAGAGCGCTAATTCGTAATAATTAGAATTTGAAGATGATTCCGGTGGTTTTAAGGTGCGCTGAAGACGATGCAATGATTTCAAATTGTGTCTGACGTTTTGTTCTAGCAGCAAGCTATCTTCAGAGCATTAATTCGTAATAATTGGAATTTGAAGGTGGTTCCCGGAGGTTTTGAGGTGCGCTGAAGATGATGCAATAATTTCAAATTGTGTCCGACGTTTCGTGTTAGCAGGAAGCTATCTTCAGAGCATTAATTCGCAAGAATTGGAATTTGAAGGTGGTTCCGGGGGTTTTAAGGTGCGCTGAAGACGATGCAATGATTTCAAATTGTGTCTGACGTTTTGTTCTAGCAGCAAGCTATCTTCAGAGCATTAATTCGTAATAATTGGAATTTGAAGGTGGTTCCAGAGGTTTTGAGGTGCGCTGAAGATGATGCAATAATTTAAAATTGTGTTCGACGTTTCGTTTTTGCAGGAAGCCATCTTCAGAGCGCTAATTCGTAATAATTAGAATTTGAAGATGATTCCGGTGGTTTTAAGGTGCGCTGAAGACGATGCAATGATTTAAAATTGTGTCCGACGTTTCGTTTTAGCAGGGGCCATCTGCAGAGCATTAATTTGTAATAATTGGTATTTGAAGGTGGTTCCTGAGGTTTTGAGATGCGCTGAAGACGATGCAATGATTTAAAATTATGTCCGACGTTTCGTTTTAGCAGGAAGCTATCTTCAGAGCATTAATTCGTAATAATTGGAATTTGAAGGTGGTTCCGGAGGTTTTGAGGTGCGCTGAAGATGATGCAATAATTTAAAATTGTGTCCGACGTTTCGTTTTCGCAGGGATCCATCTTAAGGGCACTAATTCGTAATAGTTAGAATTTGAAGGTGATTCCTGGGGTTTTAAGTTGCGCTGAAGACGATGCAGTGATTTAAAATTGTGTCCGACGTTTCGTTTTACCAGGGGCCATCTGCAGAGCATTAATTTGTAATAATTGGTATTTGAAGGTGGTTCCGGAGGTTTTGAGATGCGCTGAAGACGATGCAATGATTTAAAATTATGTCCGACATTTCGTTTTAGTAGGAAGCTATCTTCAGAGCATTAATTCGTAATAATTGGAATTTGAAGGTGGTTCCGGAGGTTTTGAGGTGCGCTGAAGATGATGCAATAATTTAAAATTGTGTCCGACGTTTCGTTTTCGCAGGAAGCCATCTTCAGAGCACTAATTCGTAATAGTTAGAATTTGAAGGTGATTCCTGGGGTTTTAAGGTGCGCTGAAGACGATGAAGTGATTTAAAATTGTGTCCGACGTTTCGTTTTAGCAGGGGCCATCTGCAGAGCATTAATTTGTAATAATTGGTATTTGAAGGTGGTTCCGGAGGTTTTGAGATGCGCTGAAGACGATGCAATGATTTAAAATTATGTCCGACGTTTCGTTTTCGCAGGAAGCCCTCTTCAGAGCACTAATTCGTAATAATTAGAATTTGAAGGTGGTTCCGGGGGTTTTAAGGTGCGCTGAAGACGATGCAATGATTTAAAATTGTGTCCGATGTTTTGTTCTAGCAGGAAGCTATCTTCAGAGCATTAATTCGTAAGAATTGGAATTTGAAGGTGGTTCCGGGGGTTTTAAGGTGCGCTGAAGACGATGCAATGATTTAAAATTGTGTCCGATGTTTTGTTCTAGCAGGAAGCTATCTTCAGAGCATTAATTCGTAATAATTGGAATTTGAAGGTGGTTCCGGAGGATTTTTTTATTGTAATCATCGACTTTTTTTTATGTTATCATGGAGTTTTTTGTTTAAAGTACGTGCTTAACGTGACGGAAACCTTTATAATAAATGTTTTCTTTTCCTTCTTAATTTTGTTTTAATTATTGTCCTTCAACGTTCATTAAAATAATTAAAAAAAATAATAAAGTGCTAAAAGTATCGATATGAGTAAGTATCGATACTTTAGGAGCATTTATTTGAGTAGTATCGAAAAAAGATTTGAGTACTATCGAAATGAGTAGGTATCGATACTTTAATGGTATCGGAACATCCCTAGGAGCTCTTTCGCCGACTTCGTCTCCGACAATTGGCAATAGAGCGCGCTTCACTCCGCCCAATTTTTAAACCATCACAGATTGGAATTTGAAGGTGGTTCCGAGGATTTTGAGGTGCGCTGAAGATGATGCAATAATTTAAAATTGTGTCCGACGTTTCGTTTTCGCAGGAAGCCATCTTCAGAGCACTAATTTGTAATAATTAGAATTTGAAGGTGATTCCTGGGGTTTTAAGATGCGCTGAAGACGATGCAGTGATTTAAAATTGTGTCCGGCGTTTCGTTTTAGCAGGAAGCCATCTGCAGAGCATTAATTCGTAAGAATTGGAATTTGAAGGTGGTTCCGGGGGTTTTAAGGTGCGCTGAAGACGATGCAATGATTTAAAATTGTGTCCGACGTTTCGTTTTAGCAGGAAGCTATCTCCAGAGCATTAGCTCGTAATAATTGGATTTTGAAGGTAGTTCCGGAGGTTTTGAGGTGTGCTGCAGACGATGCAATTATTTAAAATTGTGTCCGACGTTTCGTTTTGGCAGGAAGCCATCTTCAGAGCATTAATTCGTAAGACTTGGAATTTGAAGGTGGTTCCGGTGGTTTTAAGGTGCGGTGAAGACGATACAATGATTTAAAATTGTGTCCGACGTTTTGTTCTAGCAGGAAGCTATCTTCAGAGCATTAATTCGTAATAATTGAAATTTGAAGGTGGTTCCGGAGGTTTTGAGGTGCGCTGAAGATGATGCAATAATTTAAAATTGTGTCCGACGTTTCGTTTTTGCAGGAAGTCATCATCAGACATTAATACGTTTCGAGCGAAGGTAATTTGAAATAACATCAATGGAAATCGCAATTACTCGTAAAAAGTTTTATATTTAACAAAGTATACAATGATATTGAAACTCGGCTAGGGTACAAGCATAATAAAATTACATTTTGCGAAAGTTCCATAGTGATCCGCATTAGCACGATAGAAAAACAATGCTTTCTCCTAGGACAAGAAGTCACTAAGCGGCTTCTCTGAAATACAAAGCCGCTCTGCGAAAGCAATCTTGTTACTTATGTTATCGTCATTTATGATCTGATACCCTGCTTCCTTGTGATTGCATTCTATCTAGTCCTATATTTCTTTATTGTCTATTTCTTCCAAACCATTTATTTGCATAACACACATACATACAATAAAATCCCGTTTCGTCCCTATTACACACTTACTCAGGTTTTAGTTCGTGCTCGGTCAAAAGATTTTCAAAATCATAGCAAAATTCTACCATAGCAACGTCATTAGCACTTAATTTCTCCCCTTGAACAGCCAATTCTCATATTCCATCTCGTTTTTTAAATCTGTAAAGCCAACCAGAAGATGCAGAGAAGTTGCCTTTAATTTTTAATTGCTGGTGAAACTTTGCAGCTTGCCTAGCACACATAGGTCCTGATATCGGAACCCCTTCCGATCTCTTCTGCAAGAACCACCTGCTCATAGCATGATCAAGTTGTCGAAAACTAGACCCTTTTAGTGATTTTCGATCAGAAATAGCTTTAGCACTATCTGGTTTAGTTTCGAAGCTTTATAATTTGGCTTTTCTCTTTACAATGTCACGAACTGTTTGTTTTCTAATGTTATACTTTTTAGCCAACACAGAAACACATGTCAAATTGCCTTAAAGTTTGCATTTTTTGCTCAATATTTAAAACATTGCGTTTACGCATAGCACCGGTACGCTCCACTTTGTGCCTCTGTTTACGTTTAACTAACTAACCCAAACTAATGAGTCAGTCGATCAGTATTCGGCAAATATAGTTGGTTAAAACATGGATTCCCCGACACAAATTTAGGGATTCCCCGAAAAGAACGACACAGTGCATGCAGCGACCATGCGCTGCCAACCTCTGACCGTTAGCACGGATAATCCGCGCACGGTTGATCAATTTAAAATGCCGCCCGGATAAAGCGCGCACGGATAATCGGGGTTCTACTGTAATAAGTATCTGGAAGGTGCTAATTCAAAATCCAGAAATAACCACCTTGGTGAGTGGAAGAACAAAGGAAATTACAACTTGGGAATATAAGTTAAGCCTACTTCAGGAGTACATATCTTCCACTATCACAAGAGTACAATACATGACAAAAACTTTCAGATAGATGAGAGGGTAAATAGTCCTCAGATAGAAACAGAGTTGTTAAGGCAAGCAGGGCAAGTGATAGAAATCCTTAATATTTTGAACCTCATAATCTCTAATTATAGGGAAGCTATCAGCTAAAGAAGCTGGTTTTTGTAATAAAGTTGACAACTATCTGCTAGGCTTTGATTTCAGTGAGAAATCATCAAAGAACATAAGAAGTTAGGTAAATAAACCTCCATTTGTAGCAAATAAAAAGCCTCTTCTGCCTAAGTCCAACCAGTCAGAAGCTCGAGGGCTTTAAACTCCTGGGGCCCATCTCGGAAGGGGGAGAAACCAAGGACCAAGAACGAATAGGACCACTCCTACTAAACGAAACACTAAGAAAGCAAGATACACGTACAAGGCTAAATAAGAAGTAAGTATACGAGCCAAAAATACTTGTCTCATGGCTAGTCTCCGAAGTAATTACATGCATAGCTTATTTGGATAATTATGCATCAAGCATAGCTTATTTGGATGATTATGCATCAAGATTCTTAGATCTGTTCTATACATGCACATAAAATATGTCAATTTTTAGAGTCACTTGGGTTTAATGCTAACTATGACAAATTAAATTTAAATCCAAAAAACGAACATAACACTAAAATGCATATTTCATTAACACTTGAAAAAAGAGAAAAAAATGTTGTCACTTCTAAACCAATTACTGGGAGGGCTTGTGGTAGCTTGACCAGCCATTAAGCATGGTTGGCTTTACACAAAGGAATTGGAAAAATTGAAGACTTTATCTATGACCTCGAATAATGACAATTACAGTACATATGTGTCATTGCCAGAGGCTCGAAAATCAGATATGTTTTTGGTGGCAAAAAGCTATTAAAAGTTCTTTTAATGTGATAAGGCAAGACAAGTTTAACTGTGACTATGTTTAGTGATTTCAGTCTATCAGGTTGGGGAGGGGTCATGTCCGATAATGAGACTCATGGAAGGTGGACAGCAAAAGATAAATCTAGGCACATACATTTTATTGAGTTGAATTTTACTTTTTACTTGTTCCTGCCGTCAGGTCTGAGAGTATCCTCTTGCGCGTTGACACCACTGCCATCGCCTATATCGTATGGTTAGTGCGAAATATCCAGACCTAACATCCTTAACCAGAGAAATTTGGCAGTGGTGTGAAGAACGTGATACCTGGTAAAGAAAACTCTCAAGCTGATAAAAAATCTACAACTCCAATATCAGAAGCGGACTTTGAATTAGATAACAAGTTATATCTAAAAATTGCAGACGATTTCGCCCTACTTTTTACATCCTACATAAATAACGAAGGCCAAAAATATATCTCAAGATTCCGTCACTCCAATGGCTTTGCAGTGGACGCTCTCACAGGGACTTCTTCTTAAAGTGCCTATCCATTACGGATGTTGGCGATCATCATGGCAATTTTTATCTTGTCAGCAGCAATACGGAAAAGTTAAGGTGTTGTTTTATTAAACCAGGATCTGAGTTTCTTCAACCAGGACGATCGTCTTCTTCCTGGGCCTCTTTTTCCAAAAATTTTTCCCGGCAAGATGGATTGAAGCAAGGTGTATCTCGATTCGTTTCTCATTATGTGGCCGAAGTACTGTAGCTTGCGTATTTTGATGGTGTTGATTATTTCACTATCTTTTTTCATTCATCGAAGTACTTCTTCATTAGTAACACTATCAGTCCAAGGGATTTTTAATATTCGCATGTATAGTCACTTTTCGAACGCTTCTAACTTGCTACACATATCTTCATTTACAGTCCATGATTCACAGTGTCTTTCCAACAACTTATTTTTCTATGCATTTCCACCTTTTTATCTGATTCCAAGAATACTTAATAGAGTAATGTTGGAAAAAGCGATGGGAATTATGATAGTTCCTAATTGGACTACCAACCTTGGTATCCCATATGATGTAAACTTCCGCCCAAGGAACTCATAACCCTGTTATCTTCAATTTCAGGTCATCAAATATTCAAAACCTTTCCATGGAGTAAGGACTATTATCCCTTGCCAACACTGCTGAACTCCCCTGTTGAATCCGCTGAAGAATGTATAAGAAGTAGATCCAGAAAGATGTTTTAAAATTCTTTGCCAATCTGGTCAAATACAAAAATTTTAAATATGGATCCTTCCAACAGTTTCTGCTCAGTTGGAAGTCGGCTCAATATTAGATGCTTTCTCAAGGATATATTTATAATAAAACCACCAACCACATTATGGGATGGGATGGAGTAGAGCTGCCATGTTTTATCATTTGCTACCTCAGAAGATCCAAAAAAATTGGCTAAAACCCTTCTGAAAATTAAATTCTAAAGAGTGACTTTTGTTCTCTTTCTTTGTTGTAAATATTTCAAAATTTACATTTGAAACAATTTTTCAGATTCGATTAATAGAACTATCCTTGATTAACAGAAAGGTAATTTCTATGATACATAATAAATAACAGGAGAAAAGACCTTTAGTCTTACCACAGCTACGCAGTTTCTATAAGTGATATAAGACAGGACAACTTATTATTACTAGATTAAAAGAACTTACCTGTGAAGTTCTGTCCTACAACAATAATTCCTGTTCCAGCCGTTTTTTCACCATGTTAAGGTAAGGTTTAAACTAAAATGAGAATAGGGATATTCCGATACTAGTAAATACGAGTAAGTACTATATATTTTTGATTCGATACCAAGTATTTATAGAATCGAATCAATCTTGCGATACTTACTCGGTATCGTAACAAAAGTACTTGGCATAGACAACTATATTATATTGGTTAGTACTTGGTATCAAATGGAATCAGTCTCACCATTAAAAAAAGCCGAACGCATCAGACAAACATAATCTCTATCTGATGATATGGTGACGCATTGTCTCGCGCCAGCCAAGCCGAACTCGTCTGACTTCACTCGACCGAGCCCGAGCCAAAAGCGAGAAAGATGCCAAGACGCAAGATGAAAGACGCAAACCTTTATAATAAAAGTTTTCTTTTCCTTCTTAATTTTTTTTCAATTATTGTCTTTCAAAGTTCAAAAATAAAAAAATAATAAACTGCTAAAAGTATGGATATGAGTAAGTATCGATACTTTAGGAGTATTTATTTGAGTAGTATCGAAAAATGATTTGAGTACTATCGAAATGAGTAGGTATCGATACTTTAATGGTATCGGAACATCTCTAAATGAGAAGTTGGCGGCAGAATTGGAAATAGGCACACCTGCTGTTTGAAATACGTGAGCCTAATTCGCCAGAAGCGATACTACCCAGTTTCTATAAGTGATATCTATGGAGAGATAACTATGATTATTGGGATGGAACTTCACAGGTCATAAAACCCACGTTATCAACTGTTACTGGGAAAGGTTGAAATGAATTTTGTTAGCTTACTCGCAAAAATGAAAAGATAATATTGAACTAAGAAATAACCGTGGCCAAATAATTCTGGTTCATTTGGTCAATAGAAGTGAAGAAGAAGAACAAGTAGTAACCAAACTTTGCTTGTTTGGTCAAGACGAGGAGGACTGTATTGAATGTCTTGTTTATAGATATATTTTTTTTTAATTATAAACTTATTACTTCATAACGGAAGTTCTTAGAGAAATGTAGAAAAAATGGCAGCAAACATTTTAGAAGGTGATGTTCTGAAAAATTCAAAAAGAATTTGTAGCAATAATTCATCAGCTTTCAATAAGTCCCATATTTTGGAAATTTTGAACAACAGACCCATTGGAAATGTAAAGAAGCGATTAGGATTCAGCGATAATTTAATTTTTAATTTGTATAACTCATTTGACTCAGTGCAACAAAGTAATTATCATTTTGATAAGTATTGGGGAGGTATATTTAATCTCGAATTCAGTTTGGATGGGTAAGTGTAGAATCATGTTTTGCTTTGTTGTTATACCAAGAAAATTCTAGAAAACTCGTAGTCGCAGCCTGTGAAGGGAAGCAGATTTTGTTATTTGACGCAGCAAATCATAAACAACTTAAAGTGGTGGAAAATGCACATCAAAATTGTGTCAACTGTGTCAGGTTGGTATTTGAAATCACTTGATTTATGGCAATGCTACATTTTTGAAAAGGATTTTACATTAAATTTATGGGGATGAGGACAAGATTGTTTCTTTTCTTTTGAATTTACAATTCCGCTTTGAGAAATGGACCACTTTTGGGATGGTTTGGTTTATTAAAAAAATTATCTTAACTGGCATTTAAATCATTAACAAATTAAGTTTGACCAGAAAATACAAGTTATTAATGACAACATATTATTTGGGCAAAAAATAGTTTGGTGTAAATAGAAATCGATTATGTAAAGATACAAGTGTGTTTTAGATTCTTAAATGAACAAACATTTGCAACTTCTTCAGATGATACTTTGATAAAGTTATGGGATGTAAGAAACATAAAATCAGCAGTAGTGACCTTGCATGGGCATACAAACTGGGTAAGATTATTTGAAAAATGATGAAATATGAAATTAAAATGAGAGTAATATAAATTCTAAAGTTTTATTAGTTGGAGATGTGCAAATACCATTGGATTTTAATCTCAATAGGTGAAGAATATTGAATGGTCTGAGCAGGAACAAGTAATGGTAACATCAGCTTTTGATGGAACTATCTATGCCTGGAATTTAGCCAACATTACTGAAACCAATATGCTTTTTGACAAGGTTTTTTTAATGAAGGGGTTGATGCGCATGAAATTAACTCCTGATGGTACAAAGATGATAATTGCTACAACAACAGGTTATATGATAATTATACATGACTTGAATTTATTGACTTTGGCTACAGATTTAAAATATTTTCAGGTAAGTCTATATAATAACCAAAGATGTGAGTTTATTGGAGAAAATATAGCTGGATAGTTAAAATTTGTAGATGTTAGGAAAAAATTGCCTATTAAACACAATTGGTAAATTACCCGTGAAATCTTATGTACCAGCTCTGTGAAATCCACGGAATATTTATAAAATTATAACATGTTCCCTTCCCTGTATATGTATTTTTAAAGTGGTTTTAAAATAGCTTTTTTTTATATATTTTTAATACATATATATAATCTAGTCCCTTCCTGCCCCTACGGTATGAGGGTGGCATTTCTACATGTAATTTAGCGTACTACCTATTAAAAGTTTCCAGTTTTCTGTAATCAGTGTCAAATTTTTAGATTGTACCCATGTTCTTCCATTCTTTTTTAAAATCTTTCCCAAGGTGCTGTCTCAGATTTCTCTGGGTCTTCCTCTTTTTCGTTTTCTCTCATTTTGCTCTGCCACAATTTTTTAATCAGTACAGTGGCAATACCAGCCAAGTTATATTTTTAATTTATTAACTATTTTTCAAAATCAATTCAAATTTGTAAAAATTATTTGAAAATTCATACAATATCTGCGCAATTCGTAAAATCTGTGAAATTATTATTGACAGTCTAGATACACACAGTAATTTTATATATATTTCGCCAAAAGAACTATACGATGGTGACATTTTGTTTCCATTTCTTTCACTGATGTTATAGGTTAGGACCAAAATAGAAACTCTTATAACTAATAATATAAAAAAAATCTAATATGTGATTGGATAATTATTTTTATTTTATTGGTACATTACGTCTAAAGGTGGCTTCCCACGGCCCGTGTTTTTGCAGGCCCGGACGCGCCGGCTCGCGCCAACGCGCCGTAGGAAAACGGTCGCCTGAGGTGGCGCGGGGAGGTGCGACGGATCCGCAACGAGTCGGTAAATTCAAAGGCGCGAATCGGCGCGGCGCGTTCATGCCTGTGCAGACCTGTTGTTATTGGGGTAGACAGACTTCGTCATTGTTTTTGCGGCTCTGCAACAAGTTGTTTTGGTGTTTTTTAAGTGTTAATATGGAGAGAATGAACGAAATTAGTTACACATTTATTAATTTATATCAAAATGAACCCGCGTTATGGGATACAAAAAGTGACCGTCATAAAAACCGAAACGAGTGGCACGATTCGCGGAGTCGTATTCAAGATAGATTAAAAGACAGTATTGGTGGCATTACGATTATGTATGACAGCGGCTGCGGCAACAGTTTTTTCTTCTTCCGACATTACTGATAATCACCAAAAACAAGTTGTTTGCAATCACCAACCCCTAACATCAGTAAACACAAAAATATGTAGACAGCTGATTTGTTTTGAAAAGGTACTTGGGCACAAACACGCCGCGCCGTGGGAAGAGTTCCGCCTGAAGCCCGTTCCGATCCACGCGCTGCCCATTTTCGCGTCGCAGTCTGTAAAATTACGGGCCGTGGGAAGCTACCTTAAGGTGTGATATTTGATTGCATGCTAACCACGTTTGACAATTAGCAGTTGGTTACTGTAACAGTACAACTAAGTGAAAATATTATTCTGTTTTTTTCCTATTTACAATATATTGTAATTTGTATTATCAAAGAGAAATTACGAATTACCGAAATTCCTAACTAATGTGTTAGCATGCCTTTTTCTAAACTAAATTTTGAAAAAAAATTTATATGTAGATATTAAATGTATGTCCCTTTAACAAATTTATATCAAAAAAAGGTTTTAAATGTATTTTTTATACATAATTTTTATTCAATATTTTCTTAATCATACGGCATACAAAAATGTTCCACATAACCTAAAAATTATTTTTCAAAATCGGCGAAATATGGAAAATCATTTAGAAATCTGTGATTGATATATAAATGCAGTGAAATCTGCGAAATCATTATGGTTGTGTGAAATATGGTGTACCAATTTTGGTCGGTTAGACAAAGATTATTATTGTTATTATTATTATTATTATTAACAAAAACTCGTCTTATCAAAAAAGTTATTTTAAGTATAAGTATGTTTTAGCCAAATTTATACAGATTAATGCAGATGAGTGATCAAAGTTTTCCTGTAGCAACACCCTATAATCATTTATTTAATCCACATAGAAAACGAAATCGTATTGAATTCATTGATGATTTTCCTAATGAAGCAGAAGCTATAAGCTCACTTCAAATCCATCCACACGGATGGAGTGCTGTATCACGGAATCTAAATGGTTCAGAAAATGAAGAGGTGAGTTTGAAATGTTATGTTTGTAAGAAGTGAAGTCCTGTATTACGATATTATTTTAGTGGACGACCGTTCATGATATACAGGACAGAGACCCAAAAGATTATGAAAATGCTTATGTAATCATTGAAGACATTAATACAGACGATGATTCGGACGAATTTAACAATCGACGCCCAACAGATCTCTGGATGGGATATATTTCCATTGACGATTATAACAATTTTAACAGAAGCCGTCAGGAAGATCAGAACATCTATGAGAATGTTCAGATTCCTTCGATGGGGATTGTCAGTAGTGGATTGATAGGATTAAGTGCTTCTTACAGTACCTATTTCCAGCATCATCCAGAAGAAAAAAATAAAATTATTCGAAACCTTCCAAGAATGACTCATTATATTAAGGAGAAAAGTCTGGGCAAAGGTTTTATCAAGGAGCTATGTTTTTCATCAGATGGGCGCATTATTTGTTCTCCTTATGACAAAGGAGTCCGACTGCTGGCTTTTAATGAATATTGTCACGAACTGTCCATGTGTGTACCAGAAATACCACAGCAGCTAAAAACCATAGTTGAAATGAATGACTACCATAGGGATATTGTTGTCTCTTGTAAATTTAGTCCAACACACTATCAACTTGTTAGTGGTTGTTTAGGCAGTGACATTAAGTGGTACCAACCTGTTCTATAGTGTGTTTTCTTAGGCAGATGGTGAATAACAATTAGAGTAAGGTAAAAGTTTGTTTATACCAAGTCAGTGTAAGTTTATCCAACAATAAAGTTTCTACTGTCCCTTGCGTTTAATTGGTCTCATTTTAATCGTCGGTAATATGATTTTGATCTGAGAATGGGCTTTATACCATGTTCTCCAAGCTTCAATATGCTTTTGTAGACTCACTATCAGCCAGGACGAGTAAGTAAAATCAATTGCCGCCATTCCTGAAAGTTTAAATAAACATTTTCTTAAAAAGCGCGTATTGGACAAAATTTTGAATTTCTATATTAAGTTTTATATAGTTTGAGCTGGTCGGCAGCAAAATGAGATAAGAACGGGACCGACACCACGAAATAAGAACATATAAGGAGTATTAACTTCCTAAGAATGTCTTCTAAACAATACCGTCAAAGTAAACATCTAATTTTAAATTGTGAACGAAAAGGGCATAGCGTTTTAAACCAGACGGCAAGAAGGTGCGAAAAAATTTTTGATATGCAAGTCGCCCTTGCGGATTTCATAAAAGCTCGAGAATTACTGCCGCTGAATCCATGTCCCACGTTACCTTCTTTTTAAAGTGGATTGACTGGTCAGGTAAGAGTTAAGTTATGAGTTTGTTTTGGAACGATGGGAGCGCGAGTATAATAAGCCTGTAATTGAAGTTTATCAAAGTGGGGGTACTTTTTCATCGACCGTAGTTTTTGGATACATTTTTGCAAAATGGTATATTTCAGCACACGATAAATGGCCATGACTGTTTGACCTATCATTACCCCCAATAAACCGATAAAAAGCCGATATATAGTAGCGCTTTGCCATTATTAGTTTTAGTCCCATTAGTGGTGAGATGGATATGCTTAGACCGTGATTGGGGGTGGAGGAGAGTAATGAACCAAAAATAAAAATCGTCATGAAGGTAAAATTTATATAATACCTATATTTTTATCCTTATAATCACATCATTGCATATACTGGTTCTACGTATTTAAATTTGAAAAAACTGTTTGAAAAGACATCAGTCAAGGTTTACTATAAAATTCCTGAAACTTAAACATAAAACCATAAAACAAGCTATAAATTATATTTTTTAATGCAAAATTTGTCGGAAGGTCTCCTAAAAACACCAGCGAACATGGAAGCTGTCATCGGAAAGACAGTGAAATTAACTGGAAATCAATTTTGCGTCGATTCGTTGAGAATGATTCACTAGAAATGAAAGAACGGCGTGACAAAGGCATGATGAAAGTTTAGAATGTTTTGTACTTTCAGCAAAAAATATTAAAGACTGCTTAATTTTTTAAAGAAATGTCCACAAGCTACGGTAATTCTACTTTCAAATTGTTGATACATCAAACTTGCAGACGTTTCGCCAATAATTCTGTTTGCTTCTTCAAAGCTTGAACGAAACTGGCTAGCATTCTGCTCAGTACCTGCTTACATATTGGCGCCGAGCAAAGAGTTAAGATAGAGCTGAAAATCGCGTATACACGATCTAATTGTGTCCAAGTACTAAAGTACTGTCATGGCGGTTTAAAGTAATGCGTCACACTGAAATTACTACAGTAGCTTGTAGCGGATAACAGCACTTTATTTATATTTTAATAAAAAAAAAATAATTAAGAAAGCGGGGTAATGTGAAAGGATGTCTAGGAAGACCAGAAAAAGATAAAGACCATTCTTTTTGAACCGTGCGAGCTAAAGGAGGGGCATAAATATTGTCCTAGATGACTGATCCCCATATTGGTGACAGGTCGCGGTTAAGATTGTTTAGTTGCTTCTAGATTTCTATGGATTCTCGGAGTTGTCTTTGGTAAAAGAATTGATTACATGCAAGACGTTTAGTTTTATCAAGTAAGATGTGGTTTTATGATTGTGTCCGGCAACTGCTGATGAGTAGTCATGTTGTTTGATTATCAACTAATCACTGCGATTTAAACCGTACAGAAATGATATGGGCGCAATAATATAAACCCAAAAATGTCCGCCAATTTAATTGATGTTATTAAAAATGTGTTAATCATGTTCGGAACGTAGAAAATAATTATAAAAAACTTATTAAAAAAATCTTTGGATGACGTGTACAGATTCAAACTATTCTGAGGACTACTTTTATTTAATGCATATTTATTATTTATGTAACTAGAATTATACAGTACTCAATAAAACATATTTTTATATACATGGTGTTTTCTAATTGAATGTGGGCGAGTTTTGGTTAATTTTAAAAAGAAAATTTCATATGAACATATGTCCTAAACGACTTAACTTTTGAGATACAGGTTGGTAAAGTTTTCAAAAATAAGATATTTTTTTAATATCTGTAGTACCACTTTAGAGATTTTAATGAAATTTGGCACACATGTACTAAGAGGCATTATTCAGTGTACCACAATTTTTTTAAACTACGCCAATGGCGGGCGTACGGAATTTTATATGTCTATTTTGGCAGACATTGATGGTATGTCACTGATTTCTCTTAAAATAAAAATTATTCTTACAATCTCTAATCATTTCTAAAGAAATTTAATTTCTTGATATTTTTCAATCCGTTGTACGGTTTTAGCTGTTCTCTGCACGGTCATAACAATATCATTAACCAATCGTCTATATGTGTTTTATTAAAATATCTTAAAAAATCGAAGTACGAATATGAAGTACGTAAACTTGAATTTTTATTATTTATCTTGTTGTTAGGATGTTATGTTATTTCATTATCTGTAAATGTACAAAGAACAGTCTTTTCATTTTCTTTTTCTGAAGGACACTAGTTGGTAAATAAAAACCAAATATTTTGTTTTAGATAGGTATTTTATTTTTCACAAAAAAACTTGATTTAAACAGTGCAGTGGCGACCTAATTAACCAAAATATCATTTATCAAAGATGTTATGCTTTCACGGCCAGAAACTACATTACTAAATATTTCCGGGTTTTTGAGCCGTGGTCCCGAGATTAAACTCGACGTTTCGTCTACAACTGCGGTAGACATTTTCAAGAGCGGCGATGCGGTAACGGTCGAAGTGTTCTTCCGTACTGCTCTCCGATGACTGGTTGGTTGACTGGAAGATCTGCCGTATTTAAGCGCGCTGTAGTGGGCGTGACCTCGGTGGCGGGCTTGGGTTGAGCTTGTCTGGGTAAACACGTTGTTTTGTTGATGACCTGAGTCCATGTTTTACTGATATTGAGACCTTCTTCTTTTCTATTGAAATTATTCTGATGTTTTTGAATTTCAATAGCTTCTCTGATAAGACGTGGATAAAAATGTGGTGTTTTGTCCAGTACCTGCGTGTCTTTGAACATGATACGATGGTCACCTTTGTAAAAAGCATGTTCTGCCACTGCTGATTTTTCCGTGTGTCCAAGCCGGCAGTTCCTTTTATGTTCTTTTAGCCTAGTTTCAATGCTTCTCTTTGTGGTACCTATATATACCGAGCCACAGGAACACGGAATGCGGTATATCCCTGGTGAAGAAAAGGCGTCCCTTGTATCCTTGGCAGACCTGAGGCTTTGTCTGATTGTAGTCGTTGGTTTAAAGATGACCCGAACGTTGTGTCGTTCTAAATGTTTACCGATCCTGTCTGTGACGTTCTTAATAAAAGGAAATGATACATTCCCTTGAGGTTCCTTTGTCGTATCTCTTGTCTTAGATCTTCTATTTTTCATAGCTTTTTGTATTTCAGAGGTGGTATATCCGTTATTTTTCAGGGAATCGGTCAAGTGATTAATCTCTTCACGTAGGTACTTGGGTTCGCTAATCCGATTAGCCCTTGTCATTAAGGTTTTTATTACCCCCATTTTCTGTCTCGGATGGTGATTAGATAATTTGTTCAGGTAACGTTCCGTGTGAGTGGGTTTTCGATAAACTTTATGACCCAATTTTCCATTTGGTCGCCTTTCTACCTGCACATCTAAGAATGCCAACCTGCCGTCCTTTTCTGTCTCCATGGTAAATTTTATTTTATTGTTAATGGAATTGAGATGCGCCAAGAAGATTTGAAGCTCCTTTTCGCCGTGGCTCCATATTACAAATGTGTCGTCCACGTAGCGGAACCAACACTTGGGCTTCTTTTGGGCAGTATTTAATGCCTGCTGTTCAAACTTTTCCATGAAAAAATTTGCTATGACCGGGCTTAATGGGCTTCCCATGGCTACACCGTCAACTTGTTCATAAAACTCCTTGTTCCATTGGAAATAAGTGGTGGTTAAGCAGTGTCGGAAAAGTTCTGTGACATCGTTCCGAAAACGTGCAGATATTAAATCCAAAGTATCTTTGACTGGCACCATAGTGAACAAAGAAACAACATCGAAGCTCACTAATATGTCTTTGGGTGACAATGTGATGTTTTTGATCTTTTGTATATAAGTCGAGTCCTTGATGTGTGATGCTATCCTCCCTATGAGTGGTTCAAGGAGCGAAGCCACCGAAGAGTAATGTCTCATCGAAGGAAAAGAGAGCAATTAGAGACCTCAATAAAGACATAAGCGTTATAGTCCTTCCAGCTGACAAGGGGAACGCGACTGTAGTACTAAATACCGTAGACTACGAAAAGAAAATTGGTGATCTGCTAGACCCCAAAACATACAAAAAGTTGCAACAGGACCCAACCAACCGCATCCTAAAGAAAACAAATACGTTAATCAAGAAGTCATCTATCGAACCAGAAATCCAGCGAAAACTAAGCAATTCGGAGGCATTACCACCAAGATTATACGGATTGCCAAAAATCCATAAAGAGGCAGTACCCTTGAGACCCATAGTTAGCGCTATAGGTTCCCCGACTTACCATCTCGCCAAGCATCTAACCAAACTCCTTGAACCACTCATAGGGAGGACAGCATCACACATCAAGGACTCGACTCAGTTTATACAGAAGATCAAAAACATCACATTGTCACCCAAAGACATATTAGTGAGCTTCGATGTTGTTTCTTTGTTCACTATGGTGCCAGTCAAAGAGACTTTGGATTTAATATCTGCACGTTTTCGGAACGATGTCACAGAACTTTTCCGACACTGCTTAACCACCACTTATTTCCAATGGAACAAGGAGTTTTATGAACAAGTTGACGGTGTAGCCATGGGAAGCCCATTAAGCCCGGTCATAGCAAATTTTTTCATGGAAAAGTTTGAACAGCAGGCATTAAATACTGCCCAAAAGAAGCCCAAGTGTTGGTTCCGCTACGTGGACGACACATTTGTAATATGGAGCCACGGCGAAAAGGAG